CAGCTTTCCATGTTCAGGATCAGTGGGAATTGCACTCTTGCCTCAGAAACATGGATTGTCGACCGTTCGCCGTCACGATCATGTGCCGACATATTATGGACCGCAAGGCAGCTCTACCATTGATCACATTTTCACGCGCAGGGTCCAACAGGATTCGCGTGCCAAACGGGGGCATGTGATCCCATATTTTCCCGTGGCAGGGTGGAGACACTACCGTGATCATGTTCCCTTGACGGCGAGTTTTGCCCTTGGAAGTGGTCGGCGCGGCAGGCTATCATTGACCAGCTGGTAGTGAACTTCGGCAGCACTTCGACGCAGCTGCCAGGCACCTTCACTTGATTACTTGCAATCATTCACGCAGTGGAGTAGAGATTATTGACATGACCTTGCTGTTTCCACCAACCCTTCTGTTTTACCCCTTATTCCTTTGGTGACTATAGGGGGGGTGGTTGATAATAGGTGCTCCCTTGAATGGTTGTTGCCTACTTCTGGAAGACTGGTTGCGTGCGTGTGGAGGCACTACCACACTTGGTGTCGCACACGTAAATGTCTGCGTCAGTACACCAGATGTGAAGACCCGCAAATTCCGTTCCCTCACAAGCCAGGCCTCTGTGGCCGCCTCCAGCTATGATCTGAGAACGCTGTACGGTGTCATTCGTCACCTGCGTCCCAAACAACCGAGACATTTGATCCGTTTTAGGGACTCTGCTGGTTTGGCTCTGAGCCCACGCGAGGATTTGATGGTGCTTCGTGAACATTACCAACATGTATTCTGTGTTCCTCGACCTCCAGTCCCAGCCTTGCCGTGTGAGCGTTTGCAAGACATGTCTTTTTCGGTTGAAGAACTCGCTCATGCATTTGCCAAGGTTCGTCTTCATAAAAGCTGTCGGCCCTCACTCGCTGCCGCCGGCTCTGGTGAGGGCCTTGTCTGAACCCCTTGCAGAGCATTGCCATGCATTGTTGTCTCAGTTGTGGTTGGTTGATGGATTGATCATCCCATCTTGTTGGAAACATGCATGGTTGACACTTTTGGCCAAACGCACTGTCAAGTCTCCCAAGGACATCCGTCCGATCGCCTTAACGGACCTGCTGGGGAAGACGGTGTTGAGCCTGATTGTCATGAAGCCCAAACGCTCCACAGCTGATGCATTGATTCTTGCATTCGCGCACTTGCGAACCACCTGCCAAGCTTGTCAGCAGGCCTCCTCAACCGTCTGGCAACGTCGGGATGGAGGCCATGCGCACTGGTTGGCCGGAGGTTGTTGCTTGAGCTTGGACTTGAGTGAAGCGTTTGATAGACTTCCACGCCACTTACTCCGTGAAGGTTTTGATCTCACTCCATGTCCCCCCTCCCTGATTGCTTTGTTGCAGGCATGGCTCACTGATGCCCGCTACACTCTTTCTCACCGAGGGGAAGGCTGTGTGGCAAGCCCTTTGGAATGGAACGTGTTCACGTTCGCAGTTTTTGACCGCCTCCAAAACCATCCAGCCTGGGGACATGAGTGGATTCTCGCTCACTTGCTGGCGTTTGCTGACGATTTGCTCAGGTACTTAGGTACTGGAGCTTCACGGGCGTGGATGATGTCAGAAAGGCCTTGGTTGACATTGGCACGTTGCTTGACCTTTCAGAGTCATGCGGACTGAAGATCAACTACACCAAAACTGCCCTCTTGTTTCGGGTGGCTGGCTTCAAGGCTCAAGCTTTGCTTCGTGAACTTGTTCAGGTGGACGGCCATGAGAAATTTCTTCTCATCCCCCGGGATGGGGGACTTACCACTAGTTTGCCGATCACACGTGCTCATACATATCTAGGAGTTAAGATCAGTTACTATAACTTTGAACAATTGACCATGAAACACTGCCTACGCGTTGGCAGACTCTCATGTACACGCTTGAGATCAGTTCTCCTTCGACGGCGCGCGCTGTCCCTGCATGACCGAGTGAGAGTTTGGTCGACCTGTGTCAAAACCTCATACACTTATGAACTCATGGCATGTGGGGTCGCGAAAATGGGTCTGGAGGTTCTTGAGAAGGCGTGCCTGCGTGATCTCCCACGAATTGCCGGGGACAGTTGTCCCGCAACTCTTCGAGAAGGCCGCCCAGTAGAAACAATCTCAGTCCACGACGGCCCAGGCTGCTCCTCTCAGGATCGTCCTCGTGCAGCGTCTACTTCAGGGGTTGAAGACCGTCTAACCAAGGTGGTGAAGGCTGGGATGGGCGACGCGTTGAGACAACGTGCGGTGACCAACCGCTTCATGACTCTCGAGGGGGAATGGAACTTCCTCACCTGGAACGCTCAAGCGAAACAGTTGGAGGTGATGTGCTCTCTTCCGGGTGCAAAGCTGATGTCTTGTCTGGAGGAGGCCGCCAGGTCCTTCGCTTTAAAAGTCTTCAGAAGCCTGTAGACAACCCGCACTTCTGGTGGAGGGCCGTCTGAGGGGCCCATCAGCCCCGCCCGACGGCGCTGGCTGAACGCCACTTTGGTTTCCTTTTTGTGGGCTCGTTTCCACCGCGCTGATGCGAGGTGGCAGGATTTGGGGCATGGATGCAAGACCATCCAAACCTTGTTTTCACGAGCTGGTCCATGTTTAGATCTGGTGCAATTGGTGGAAATGCAACTGTTTAATACCTGGACCTGCTTAGGACAACAGGAACTCTACGAGTTTGTGCAACATTGGCTGAAGCCAAGACTCTTTGCTTGCTCATGGGAGCGTCGATTCGACCAGAGCGGTGAAACTCAGTGTCATGATCGAGGAGCTTGCCTCGTTCCGGTGCTGCTGACACCATCGCCTCAGACCGACTCAAAAATAGCTCTTCAAACCCTATAGTTGACGAGTGGGAAACCTTGTATGGCATGAGAGCGGCCTTGACCACCAATCCCAAGCACACTGCACTCATCTTTGACAAGTCCGTGTGCCTGCAAGGTCGCTATACCAGAAAGCGGGCAGCTGGAGGTCTCGCAGACAGTGGAGCTTCCAGTGTTTCGTTCAGACTTTAACCTTGCCAGTGACCCTGTCACTTATCAGGTACCGGAGGACATTATCGCGCAGTATCTCGCACTTCATCCGGCTGGGCATCCATGGACGATTCCAAAGAAGCTGTTCCGACTGACCCTAGACCCTATCCACCTGCTTCCTACACAGCATGTCATGCTGTTGTGGATGGTACGTGCGGAGGCCTACTTTGTTTGTGATCCACCCCAGGTCCATCCCTCCTTTTTCGTGATGAGCTCATCGTTCACACCCTTCGTTTTGCGCGGGAGGGGGATTGGCAGCCGTTCCAGGCGTTGGATACGCCGTTGTGCCGACCGTTCAGGACAACTTGTGTGGTCTGCGGCCTCTACGTACCAAGTGGGCCACTGCTGGAGCTCCATGTGCAACAAACTCACGCCGGTTACTTGGAAGCCGCCCGTCAAGCTATGAGTCACCTTGTATCAGCTGCTTTGTTTGACACTATCCCCTGCACCTTGTGTCATGGGGAGCTTCGGCCGGGGGCGCATTGGAAACCCTCCAACCACGTTTGCCAAATGGCCTTAGACCTGGGACTGGGTTTTGTCTACCATGCGCGCGAGCGAGCTCCGTTGGGAACCATTTCTGATTTTGACACGCCGCCAACTCAGCGTGCCCTGCGAAGGTTGCAATCCCCCACCAACCATGCTGCTGCGCTGATGGAACGAGAGAGACTTGGCTGGGCAGATCTTGCGGATGCCGGCGCTGTTGCCCTTGGGCGCCACTTGGCTGCTGTGCGAGCGGCGGATGGAAGTGCAGCTACTGCTGCTGAATCTGATGGGGGGAGCAGCGGCTGGTCTTGCACAGTTCTTTAGCCAGCTGGTGGATTCGAGTACAGGTCGATCAGACTGATCTTTTCCTTTTCCTTTTTGAGTGGTGATCACCACACGAACCACATAGAAGTCACCGGGCTCTGCCTTCATGGCCACGACACTGCTCGTGGGCAAGGGCCGCATGCGACTGACCCTCGCAGCGCCACGAGAGAGAGAGAGAGAGAGGTCGTCGTCGTCGTCGTCGTTGTTTTTCGCGTTCAATCAGTCAACCGTGGAAGCCATGAAACACGATGAAAAACCCGGAACGTGGATGAATGTGGTGCATCACGAACTACGAAGTACAAAGCACAAAAATGGCAGCTGAACAGTGTGGATTTCTCGCAGTATCCACAGCCACACTGGGTGACACATGTTTCTTGAGGCCCAAACCTTCGGCTTCGAGCGGGTGGACTACGTGTGGTACCGAAACCCGGCGGCCAGCGTGCCGGATTTGTTTCATGTCCAGGCTGCTGGGATGCACTTGACTTGCGTGTGTCTTAAACTTGGACCTCAAAAACCCCGGGAAAAAGGGAAATAGACCTAAACCCATTGGTCCGGGATCTCGTTATTTAATACACGCCCATTCTTCTCGTGCAGGACTTGTGTATGAGTAAAGTTTTGCACGGAATGTCATTCATTTATGTTTCGTGTTTAAAGAAAATGTACATAGTCCAAAACAGATCAAAACAGTATGACAGTAGAGGATGATTTTGTGGTAGCCTACTCAGAACTTGAATGATTTGAGGTTTTCTGGATCGTCCCTGAGTCGTGAAGTGACTAATTCGTGCAGAGCCAGCGCCTGTTTGGCGCCGGCGCACGGCACCTACTGGCCTCCAACCTAAAAACCATGATGACCGTTTGGCGTCGGAATTTCAAGACCGACGGACGCACAGTGAGCTCTTGGTGCGCAGACCTGGGGAGCCAAAAAGGAACGCAGTCACAAAGCAGACATGTGCAGACTCAGATCATTTAATCAGACTATGCCATATTTGAGCAAGGCTTGAGCAATAAAAGGTTGCTGTTCTTAATTACCGTGGACCGTGATCTCGACAGATTACTAGACGGAGGTTTGGGATGGCAGTCCCAAGCGAGCTTTGCCAGAATCATCCAGAATCCATCAGAATTCAGCATTGCAGTGCTGCAAACTGTCTCTGCACCTCCTTTGGTCGCGGGTGGTGAGGCCATCGTGGACACTGCCGTGTGGGTCCAAAATATCGACTCCAAGATGCTGAAGAACGAACAATCCCTGAGGAGTGGGAGACGGGAGGAGGGGGTCCAGGCCATCGCTTCGCCTTGGCCGCCGCCCTTGTCTATCCTTTTACAGACCCAACCGAAGGGTTTTCCCAAAGGCTACTGTATTGTGCTACAGGTCTTCACATGAACCTTGTGTAGATAACATGGGGTGACCCTGGGTCGACGACTGCGACTCCAGTATACTCCAGTAAGGAAATCAAATCGAGCGTTGCCACTTTCCAAAGCGGAAGTCGGTGTGATCAGCACAGGGAAGGTGATTCTTTGTGAAACGTGCACGTCCCAGACCTGTGTCTAGGACAGAGCGCGACGGAATTGAGAAGAAGTTCAAGAAGGAGCGGATGCTTCAGAGCTTGACACATGACATTGACTCAACACTTTGCTGTGGCTCAACCATCTACACTGCAACCAGTTCTCTGCGTGTGTTTTATTCCTCATCAAAGGTCAAAGTTCAAAGGTCGCTGCACTCACCAGATGTTCCATTTTCAGATCCGGATTGCATGGAAACACGCATGGACACACACAACAACATACAACAACCGCGTCCTCTGATGTCCCGACCTGATCTGTGACAACAGGACCGGCAGGCCTTTGAGGATGACCTCACTGGTTACCTGGCGATGGTGAACAAGTGGGGGGCCCCGGGGCTCATGGCTTTTCGCAACTTGACTAGACACCTGACACCTGTGAGTCTTTGAATGTCTTTGAACTGGGCTTACTTTCCTAACAGGATTGCTTGAAAGGGAAAGACACATTCAATGGAAGAAACCGACCTTTTGGGTATTCACTTGTTCCGGATTACTGCAGCAGGATTCCTCACAAAGCTGGATCGCTTTGTGACACGGAATTCCCCGGCGTAGGTTCAAGGAAGCCGGGGACTTGAAGAAGATGGACGACAACTCGGAACGAATCGTGCTCCTCAAGGCTAGGCAAAGTAAGCAATTCATTTTAGATGCCTTTTGAATCTTTTAGAATGGATACTATTCGATCCATTTCGATCCAAGCATAAGCACAAGCACTAGAGTCACTAGAGTTCGACTGGATGTGTCTTTTCGATAAGACAGTCTCACTGGATGCTTTTCCATGTTTCTGCTTTCTTCCTCTTGATGGCACTGACACTTTCTATGAAAAACCACCACCCAAAAAAGCATTCGTCGCCCTTCCTCCTCTTCCAGGATCACCTGCAGCATGCGCGCAACGAAGCAGAAAAGATCAGGGAAAAAGAGGCCCCGACCTCAGGGCCCCGGACATCACAAGGGGGAGACGCCCGTGGAACCGGAAAGCCGGGACTAAAAACAACGACACATGTTTTTTTCCATCCGCTTTATGAACGGACCCGTGAACAAAATATAACGAATTTGATAGATGCACAGCACATGGATAGAAGGGGCTTTTTGCATCTTCCCCAAAATCCACGGGTCATTTCTCGAACGTATCTGCCACCAGATCCTGCTTGGCTGGGATCCCTCGGACTTCGAGAAGCTCACGGAGGCGCGCTGAACCGCGGATGCGGACCTCGCGTGCCATGCTGCCATGAGCTGTAAGAGTCAAGCTGCGATGAGCTGCGAAGAGTCAAGGGGCTTTGAGTGAAGATCACAAAACGCCAGAACATGATAGGCACCACCACCGAAGCGATCACCATGCGTAAGACCACAGCTTTTGGATCTTTTGGATATGGGAGATATAAAGGGGATACTATGCTCCCTCAAAAGCGATCACATTGTTGATGACTTTTCAACAAACATTTATCAACTTGGAAGTCTTGTATACAATCTTTCCCTTATGAACACGGTGCTGCCAGATGGTCAATTCAGCCATGCAACCATTGAAGACTCCGCCATGCTGACTCTGGTGGCAGTTCTGGTGGCATATCCTTGCGATGTCCTTCCCACATCTCACCCGCAGTCACTTCAACTGCATAGTCTCTTCTGCCAAAATGAACCAGTCAAAACAGTAAGCATGCAAGTACCCTCCCAGACCCCGTTCACCACCTTATACAACCAGACTTTAAGCTGTTTCTTGGCATGTCTTTTTATCCCGAGCAAGTTGTGGCGCCAGGCCATCGACAAGTTGGCTCCCTACGACGATTTGTGGGAGTTGGTCCATAAGTGGACCACTGAGGCCAGGACGAGCGTCATGCCGTGGGAGAACAACCGGCCACGTTGGAGAAGTGTGGGTCATTCGGACGTGTGATCCGTCCGAAAATGGCCCACTGGGACGGAGACTGGGTGTCTCAAAGCGGAGACACCTGCCTGTTACACTTTGGGTCATAGATGGACACACTGATTGATTGAATCTGGCCCATCAGGCCCGAGTGTCTTGATGTGTCTTGGGCCCTTTCACCAACCCAAAACCGGCTTTGGGGCCTGCGTCTTCACGCTGGGTCTCCGTTGTGTCAGGAGAAGAAGTGGATGCGTGGGCCCCTCTTCTCCTTGGAGCCCGAGGCAGTGGATGCCACGGCCAACAGCCTGGCGAAACGGGCCATGAAGCTTCAGGCGCCCAAGCGAGAAAGAACAGGGATGGACACCAGGAAAAACGGGCTTATTAGGTGCTGACTAAGTCAGACTTGTAATAATAGGACTTTCAGTGTGAAAGATGTCTTCCACGAACTGATGAGTTAGTTGCATATAACATTGCACAACCAATCGAGTCATATTTATATATACAATCATATTAAATACGTCAGGTCATCATTTGAGAGTTGTGATGATTCTTTCGCTCAACAAGAGACACCAAGCTCGGCTATCCGCTCTCCGTTCCCGAACACAGGGAACACGAAACAGGGGATTTCGCCTGTCAGGAATTCTCCATGAGAATCCTGGGGTGTCAGGAAGAAGCCGACTAGGAGCACTGACGCTACTAGGGGCTCCTGGCATCGCTACTAGGAGCAAGGACGCTACCAGGAGCAAGGACGCTACTAGGGGCTCCTGGCCTTACTGCTAGGAGCAAGGACGCTACTAGGGGCTCCAATCCTGGGGTGTCGGGAGACGCCGGCTCCAGGGCTTTTTCGAGTCCCAGAACCTCCAAGCGCCGGTCTTCGTGGCGAAGAAGATCAAGAAGGCGCTGACAGGTGACGGTTGGAGAAGAACTCGGGTTTACTATGAATGATGACAGGAAGCGGATACATTTAAGCAGTACCTGCCGCTGATCCACGCGTTATGAGCCTTGGCAGAAGCTACGAAATCAGATCGGATGGTGATTGGCTATTGGAAATGACATGATATGAAATGATATGACCATATCACACTCCCAAAAACCACAGCTGCCGATCTTGAAGTCGATCTCTTTTCATCCAAACCTCAGGTGGTCACGAACTGGGATTCTGTGGACTGCCGAGGCAACCCGGGCCTTCGGCCTCGGCACTGGGAGGAGATCTCCGAGGCCGGGCTCTCGTGATTGGACGCTGCGCCTTGAAGTCTGAGTGTTAGGATCAGAGAACAAAATCACCATCGCTTTCTTCAGTCTAAATGTAAATCAAATTTTGGGTTGCCTGTTTTGAGACACCGATTTTAGGTTAAACTCCATGTCGTTTGTGTTCTTTCCTTCGCTCCCCCTCAAACGTCTTGAAGTGGGAAGACGTGAGAACAAGTTGCCCTGTTTCAGGCGGAGCAGCTCCTTTAATGTAGCACTTCTAACAGACACTTACCAGACATGGAAGAGGATCCGGAGGATCTAGTAAAAGGGACATTTCATGCTTGAAGGGTGGGCAGTTGATCTACAGATTGCGCAGATGATCGCAGGTGGTCCACTTTGCCATGGAGAGGGACTCTGCTTTCACGCTGAGTCGAGTGGTGGACATGGATGTGGCGACTCACCTGTGTCTTGCCTGCAGCTTTTGAGAAGAAACCGCTGTCATGCAGACAACGATCTCGTCCGATCTCGCCAGAACTGAGGACTGCTCTGCAGGAGATCTCAGACTCAGCCTCCAGAGAGTATGGCTTGGTGCGGAACCTTGGAACCGCGTCGAAACGCCTCACGCCCAGAAAAATGATTGTGCTGTGTGGAGTCGGGCTCTAGATGAATCCAAGCAGAGAAGGCAAGAGTGTCGCCATTGTGGGGAAGAGATGACTGGAAGTTAAAGGAAACTCAACACAATCCAGGCCGCAGTCCCTCTTGGTCCACCTACCAGGAGAAGACCCTGGAGTCCATCTATGAGCAATGGCAACCAGTAAACTTCGAGCTGAAAGCGTGGAAGGTCGGGCTCTGCCTGGTGTCTGTGTTTTCCTCCTGCCATTCCTTTCTTTTCAAGGGGATGCTTCAATGTATCAACGCGACATTGGGATCTTCCACTCTGTTTCTTCAAATTTCTTCGTGCGGCGGATCAATTTGGAACGCGTGGTTTCAAAATTTCCCAGCCAGAGTGCGGTTTCCAGCCAGCCTGCAGTTTCCACATTTTCCAGCGAGCCTGCGGTTTCCACGTTTTCCAGCCGCGTGCGGTTTCCAGCGTTTACAGGGTTTCCAGCCAGCGAGCGCGTTGCGTGATTGGTGCCTCCCACAAAAAACACATTCAACCACTCAAGCAGCCGCAATATATTAATTAGTGGTGCATTTTTCGTGTATGTATGGGGTGATTTCAGCAGTTGTTTGTTGGCGCAGGTAGTGGCATGTTGCTTGGTGGCCAAAAGTCTACCCCCCACTCCCCCACCACCCTGTGTTGTGCAGGTAGTGTGTACGCCAAACGTGGTAAGAATGAGTGTACACCAAAGGTGCTCCAAAATGATCACCAAAGTGTTGTAAGACTGCGGTCTGAGTGGCTTTGTGCTTATAGTATGTGTGTTCCAAAACGATCCATTTCATGTATTCCTAAGTGAGCCTGGTGCCCTTGAAGGGTGGGTGTTGGTTTGCAGATGTTTGAAGGCCTGGCTCATGCCAGAGACATCAGAGAAGTCAGTTCAGGGACCCTTTACGAGCTCACAAGCTGGACTAGTCGGCTAGCGGCTAGATAGCTAGTTAAATGCTGAGCCTTTCAGGCGGCTAGTCATGCAAGCCTTCGCCTCATCTCCTCGCCGCCCCTCCCGTTCGCAGGATACGGAGACCTACATTGTTGCGGGTTCCACCGTGGATGAGATGCAAAGCTTGATGGACGACCATATCATCAAGGTCCAAACCATGAAAGGACCTGAGGGTGGGCTGATGAAACAACCCCGCGCTCAGCAGTTTAGTATTGGCTGGCACCTTAACACTACTAATGCATTGCTAGCCCAGAAAACGACAAGAGTGAAAAGGAACACGATACCGAGCTTGTACATGTTCATTAACCCTGAAGATGGCAACCTGCATAACAAACTATAAAAGAACGATAACAAAATATGACAACAAGGCAGCGAGCGCTTGAGAGGAGACCCACACGACCCGTTTGAGCATATCACCTGTTGAAGGAAATTCGAAGGAAACAAATGCGAAAGGAACAGATGACATTTGTGGACTTTCGACCAAGGATGCTTTCCCACCCACAGAAAGCTGGAATATAGTCAATGGAAGGTCAATGGACGTTCATCTCCCCCGCAGCTTGGATGTTCACCACCGACAAGGGTCGTTTTTGAGAGTTATCGGTCAAAGACGCTTTATCGATGTTTATCGTTCTGTGTTTTGCCGAGTTGACACAACTTACTGCAGATGCCAAATACAGTCGGGCCGCCCTAACCTCCAACTGCTGGGCTGTGAGGATCGCCGTATGCCAAAGCCTTCATGGAAAAGATCACATCGCCACTGGGCAAAGATGCAGTTGCGCCGAGAGACCGGGACTGATATTGGCATCACTACTTGGAACAAAGGGCATCGCTACTAGTAGCGCCTGGCATTACTACTGTATAGTAACAAGAATGATATCTGGGGATTGCATCCCAATATATCCCAATGATCTTCAACATGTTGCCAGATGCAATCCTGCATTTGGCTTGCCACAAAGATGTCCTAGCTTTCACTTGAAAACAGGGCGCCCTTTGAATGTCCCTAGGCCCTAGGTGATGTATTCTGTTGAACATATAGATTTGTCAGATCACCATGGCCATTCTGAGGTTAGAATCCTGGCTACTCCAGACGCAGGAGATCTGCGAACTCGCTTTTGACTTTTGTCACTGAGCAGACTCATGATCTCTCGAGGGATTCTGAAAAGGCCCAGAGTAAGAGGAATGTTCAAAGCTCCAAAAACATGTTGGACTCACAAGAGAAAACGATCAGATGATCCCAACCTTCAGTTGCTTTTGGGCCAGCTTCATGAATCCATTTTTGGGAGACCAACTTTACCAGGAGACTGTGAGCACTACCTCATACCTGGCTTTTGCCTTTTTCATTTTTAGGAGATCATGGACATTTGGATGAAGGCTTCGAATCTGAGTGCAATATCGCAATATCACATGCTTGCACAGAATGATCAGATCGCACTGACATTTAAGTTAGGAGCAATCCAATTCTTGGTACCTAGGGTACGTAGTGGAGAACATAGGTATTTCAAGTTTCAAGCAGAATGGACATGACTAGACGCGAGCCATAGTGCTGTTCTAGTTGCTGTCCTATCTGTCCTGATCTTGTGTTTATCCTCAAACCACCAGACATCGTGTCAACCGCACCTTCGTGCCCACTCGTCAGGTGCAAGGCGTTTGGCTCTACTTGGAGCCCATTTTTTCCTCGGAAGATATCGTCAAGCAGATGCCCACAGAGGCCTTGCGAGCGGTGAACGCGAGGAGTACCTCTGGGGTTGTAGGTGGTTGTAGAAGACAATTTACATCAACTTACCTTCATGACCACTCTCAAGCCAGAGTCCTTGGGACGGTTGAGACAGGTGGAAGATTGTGTAGCATTTGGTCAGCGTTCTGAACATTCTTCACAGTGAACTGTGCGTAGAGGGGCTGCTTGGCTGTTGTGAAACAGCTTCATCTTCAGGCCACGATCTTCAAGCAAGTGGACATGGATTGGAGGGCCACCATGGCTGCGGCGTTGGAGCGCGCCTGGCATTTTTGTGGCCAGAGAGTCAGCCGGGATTGGTTGTTGATTTCGGTTCTGCACAGCTGCATCCAGGTACCGCATATACCCCAGCAAAAGGAATGCATCAACACAGCAAATCAAAGAGTCAAAGAACAAGGGTGAACATCTTGTAATTACAGTGGACAGCTCATATCACGCCAGAAAACAACAGAAACTTATCATTATTGAGCACTGAAGTGCTTTGTATGGTCGTTGATGAGTCCACAACTGCCGCCCAATGTTGCCATGATCCCGCACCTCCAGGGCTGGGAAGGCCATGGAAGCGACAAAGGCCGAAGGCCTTCTGGAAATGCTCCAGAAGTGCAATGGAAACCTGGACGTCGTTCAGAAGGCATCCGAGTCCGGGCGGTGGACGGTCTTCATCCGACGGAATGTTACTACTAGTAAGGCACTTGTTTCTAATAGCTTCTTGTTACTACTAGTAAGGCACCTGTTACTACTAGCGTGGCACCTGTTACTACTAGCTTTTTAAGGATGAAAGAATGAGGAAAGGGATTCTGATGAAGGAATTCTGGTTTTCTGGGGAGGGGGAAGCTGGGGCCAATTGGGATTGCTCAGACACCTCTTATAGAAACCCATTACATTGTAGAATTTGGCATGGTTTGGGATCTTCTTCATTGATGGTTATCGGTCGGTTTTGAATTCTGCTGACACTATTTGACAATACAGAAACCTGAAGTGAAGTTCCGATTGATCAGAAAAGCAAGTCCAGTTTGGGCTTCATTTATGGACCTGCACAGGGCTTGAACGATTACCTGGAAATGAAGCGCCTTGCTTTCCCTCGGTTCTTCTTCCTCTCCAATGACAACCTCTTGGAGATTTTGTCGGTCCTTGCCTCAGATGTACTCTTGGACAAGAGGTCAATTGTCAGGACTGACACACCATGGACCATGACCCACATGTTCTGGATAGTCTAGTCAAGAAAGGATTCTTTTGTATTCTTCCCTTATTTTTCTCGGGCAAGTTCCCATGCTTTCCGTGCTCTCGTAGTGGCAATCTTTGGCTCAAAGTTTCCTCCTGTTCATTCTCGAAGATACGAGAAGATGCTCCCAGGTAGTGCCTTTGTCCAGGATTTGAAGTTTTGAGCCTCGTTAGTTCACCTCTTCGCCATTCGGCGAATGAAAAAACTGCGCCACCTCAGAGTCGGATATACTCTGCCAAATACACTCCGTACACCTTCACTTTAGTCGTTCGAGTCGCTTGTTCAATGTTGTGTCCATACATTTTTCTACCGTTGTCCCCCGAAAAAAGTATTCCCCCCCCCATTTGGTCCTCTTCGTCACTGTCTGAGGTGGTGATGCCAAGAAAGGTGGAACCATTGCAGGCTCCTGGACGGAGGTCCTGGCCACCAACGCTGCAGAGATGCTCAAGTCCTCGGACGACCCGCAGGCGCTCTGCGAGACGCTGGCGACCATGGTGACGCTCAGCGAGGACGAACGGACGGAGAACGGCCGTTTGGAGAACGGCCGCGTTTTTTTTAAAAAAATTTTGTTTTCCCCTCAATTTTGCTTTAACGCGTAAGAATTTCTGGAGCGAAAGAGAAGCAAAGCTTCAGAAGTCAGAACACCCTTGTACTCCGAAGTGCATTTGTCAAAGGTATTCAGTCTAAAAACACCCATGCAAGGTGCACGGTGTACATGATGGTAATTTCTGCGTGGTGTCTCCGCTTGTGCAGGGTTTTGCGGTCTTGCGGCGCGGTTGCCTACGCTCTCAGCACAGAACTGGATGCGGCGTAAATGAGTGGAACCGACTTTGATCGACTTTGTATATCGAAGATTGCTGAATGTGTCGTCATCCTCAATGTCAAGTAGGAGATGATGTACAAACACGTAAAACTCCACAACCGCCGCTGCACCACTGCACCACCACCACCAGCACCTGCAGCAACAACAGGAATCAGAACGTTAATTAGACAAATGCGAAGCATGTCCCACAGTCACCTCCCTCGTCCAATCCTCAAGTAGAGTGAATCCTGGGCCTGGGCTTTGCTGGGTGAAACGACGTTGGGTGAACTCAACACTCACTGAGGAAGAACGGTGGTAAGCAGCAGAAAGAAGCCACCAGGGTGCTACACATTGGGTGGCGAGAGGCAATGAACAACAAGACAAACTCATGGATCAACATGGGTGTGGCTGATCTGAAATGAAGCAAAAGAGCCGTGTTTCTTTGTGAATGTACCCAGCGAAAAGCACCTGGATTTTTCAGGGTGACAATCTCCTTGATGTATAACAGATAATAACATATGACAACATGATATATATATATATGATTTTATATATAACATGATGAAAAGTTGGACCCGAAAAATCTGGGCGCCCGCTCTTCACTGATCCTCAGGTGGTGGCCGCCTTGGTCTTCAGTGTCTTGTTCTCCGCCATCAACCAGCCCTTTGGAGTCATTGAGGCAAATGATATGTGGCAGACCCATCGCGAGGCCATGAACAACGTCCTGGTGTGTCTGCTGTACATCAGCACCATCTTTGGACTCATCACCGTGGTGTTGACCATTCTGCTGCTGATCCACATGGCGGCGTATGTGAATGATGCGGATGACTTCCTCTTCTTCATGAACCTGAACCCCACGCACTTGGTGGATTTGTGCATCGTGGTGTGTTTGCTGTGTGGCGGAGTCTCCATCCCACTGGCTGCGGTCGTGGGCAACAAGGAACCCATCGGCTCCATTTGCTTCTTTACTGGGATCCTCACATTCACTGGTGTTTTATACATCTACCTACGCTCGTTGATCGTCAACAACCAACGGGTGGCAAAGCGTCAAAAGGAGACCGAAGAACACCAGGAGACCATCGCAAGGATTTTGCGTGAAGAGCTTGAGAAGATTGTCGATGCCGACAAGACAGAGACAAAAATCTGTTAGTACGGCCGGGAGCCCCTAGTAGCGTCCTTACTCCTAGTGGCGATGCCAGGAGCCCCTAGTAGCATCCTTGTTGCTAGTAGCACCCCAAGTGCAACAAGTGTCATGTGCCCCCGCCCAAAGCTCCACGAAGTGGGCACATTGGGAGACTGAGCATTTTCGATTCAAAGAATCGACGTGCGCTCAGATGGCTGGTATTGCATGATATTCCATGCGATCGGGGCCAAGCTGGTGCCAGACAGACACGGAAAAAACCGTCTCTGCACGGCGTCCATGACGCGGTCTGGTCGTCGCTCCGGTCTCGGAGGCGCGGTGCGTTCAGAAATTGCCCTCGTTCGTCGCGTGCGCCGAGGAGACCAAAGATCCCACCAGGGTGAATCCACACATGAAGAAGGCCTGGGTGAAGCGCGGCGCTCCATGACCCGAGCGGCTCATGTCGTCAGTTGCTTCAGACAGTTTCTGAAATTGATGTGCTGCGCCGGAGGCTTTTGAGGGCATTCAATCCTTGGAATTCCAACCAGCCCAAAGCTCAGCATCTGCGTTGACGATGAGTGATTTGCAACATCCTAAGGCTCCATAGCAACCATTCGAATCCATAGCGGACCCACAAGAATTCGAGACTCGGATCATGAGGATCAGCGAATCACCGCCATGATTTCCTCAGAGAAGGAGGTAGTCCCAGCCACGGCCTTAGACCGGAGAACGGGGTCAACGAATGGGTCAGATACAGACTGTATTAATATGAATATGTTGCTTTCTTTTTACAGCTCAGGATTGTTCAGGTTCTGCTGTCCGCTTTCGGCGCTTCATCCGTCTGAGGTGAAGAACCCCGTGGACCCCCATGCTGCCCGGGGCAACGTCGAGCTGTGGCTGGTGGAGGTGGAGGTCCGGCCTCCAGATTGGGCTGCGCTTGGGCTGGAGCGCTGGTGACCCAACATGGGTGATCATTGGGGGGGCACAGGGTGCGGGTGAGGTGTTTTTTTTTTTTTTTCTCAGAGTTTCCGGGGAGCTCTTGGAGTGTTGGAAAAGAAATCATCATACCTTGGCAAAGCCTGATGATGGATCGGCTGAGCCTGATGTTTCTGGATCAAGGATGAACCCTTGAATGGTGTGGGTCTAGAGCGTGCATGAGCGTGCATTTTGCCTACTCAAACGCACTTCATGAATCTTCATGACCCATAAGACTCATACTTTCGATCGCGGCCTCGACTCAATCATCGTGAAGGCTCGGGCCGAACATCCGACCTGCGGACTCACCCCGCGCCTCAGGCGGCCATGCTCGAAACCATTCGTCACGTATGCTTGGCCTCTGCGAAGGACGCCCCGCAACGCAGGAAGAACGCGTGTGAGGAATGTCGACCGGCAATGGTGTGGTGATGAAACGGAACCCTCACCGGTTTCTAAGTGTTTTTTTTATGTGTGTGTTTTATTTTTTCAATTGAGAGGATGCCTGTTGAAGGAATGAAACCTGCAATGTGGAGGTTGGAGGAGAATTGTCCCGCTACTGGCAATGCTTTTGGTGGTTCCAAGTAAGACTCCCCAGCCCATGAGTCGCTTGTTGCTTTCGTTTGCGTAAAAAGCCCCGGCGGCAGTTAGATGGCCAAAGCTGCAGGACTATGAGGAAAGGAACAAGTTCACGGATTGGTTGAAACAGTGGCCAGGGCAGGCCGGATCTTGATGTATCACCAATCAACCATGTTTCAAAGCTCATTTGGTACATTGCAAGTCGAGTCAAACGAGTCAAAGCTTGTGAGCTGGAAGTTGTCCGTAAGTGGAACGTGAGCGTCCCCTCTCCTGCAGGCAGTGATTGCTATCTTCTGCTTGTTCTGGACACGTGAGGCATGACCCTCTTTCAGGAACTTGACAAGTGTGTCCGGTTGAGTGAGTAAGTTGGTGCCCTTCAAAAACCTGTCCGCGGTGCAGCATGTAGACTTGTCACAGCTTGCGTGCAACTTTGCTAGGTGGAAGCCGGGCTCAAGAGCAACGGTAAGGATGGGGTACGGATGCCCATTGAAGCCAAGAGGGCTTGTCTCAATCGGCCCGAACATGGCCAGAACGCTAGTTTAAGGTTCCAAAGCGCTCCAGACTCCAGAAGGAGGTTTTCAGCATTTGTGCAATCAGGTCCTGCAGGTTGCAGACAAGCTGAAGCTGACCCTAGCAGATATCATTGCTCGGATCTGAGTCAACAAGTCATGACTGCCGTGGCAACTCCCGATTGGAGGGTCCAACGGTCCAACTCCAGAGGGCTCAGGAACCCAACTCAAAGAATGTATTTCGATTACTGCATAGACTTGTGTGTCTTTGTGATTGCCTAAATGATCGGTATTTCTTCAGGAAGAATGGTACTGTACACGTGAGCATGGGATTCACAAGTCGATTTCTGGATGATTCTGTTTGCATGGCTTTTTGTGTGATTACATTACATATATACACTTAAATTACATAAAATTACCAAATAATTAGACATATTTTCATTAATCTATATTTATTTACTTTTTTAAAGAATGATTTGAGCCCTGCCAGGATTTGGTCCGGAATGACATTCCTCCGCTCACGCGATGCACATTGGAAGCTTTGATTGTGATCTTCGTACACAACAAGGCACCGCAGTGCTGCCCGGATCATTGCTGATACCACTTCCTTTTCAACAAGTTCTTTTTTTTTTCCAGGACACTGTGGAAGAACTGGGAGCACTTGGAACCAGTGTAGTGGACGACTTCGATTGGTTGGTTCAGCTGCGATACTATGTGGAGGACGGAGTTGAGATCAGTGACCAGGGCTTTCAAGCATCATGCGACGACCTGATGTTACATTCAAGGAGAACCCAGAGAAGCCTCACCAGCAAGACTTGCGTTGAGCCCAGCGGTTGAGTTGCCTTTGTTTTGTAAAGATATTCAGTTGCTGCAATGTAATTACGATTAATTACGCCTTTCTGCTCAAGGCCACCCAATCCATGATAATCCATGGTCAATCTCCACAGTGCAGTTTGGGAAGTTCCCATCCATTTGAGGTTGGTGCAGGAAAGCACAACTAGAAGCAACATATATATTATATACCTTGTTCGATTCAACTGAGATCGACTATCAAGAGTGAAAGGTATTCCCGCGATTAAAGCCTTCCCCCAAACCACGGTACGTCCATTTCCGTGCCTTTTTTGGGATGTCCCAAAGAAACACCTCTGGACCCGCAACAAAAAACAAATGTGCGCGGTGCTGTGCTTTTGTTTAGCTTTCCACACGAGGTTTGTCAGAATCACCAACAGCTTTCTGGGCTATGCCTACGAATACCTGGGGAACTCCTCCCGACTCATCGTGACGCCTCTCACGGTGCCTTGAGCCGAAGTGGACACGCGCGACCTGCGGAGCCGGTGCGGCGAAGTGGCGGGTTCCGCTGGACGCGGGCCGAAAGCTGCTCACGGACCCTCCAACTCACATGGAGGTGGAGTTCATGCCCTGTTCGTAAAGGAACGTCGTCTTCCAAGGGTGTCGCACATGTTGCATCATGATCCGCCTCCATGTCATGTTTGGAAAATAGTCCAGTCTGCCTATTGGGCCAGGGGGTCGCCCTAATACACACCCATCGTTTCGCCAGGATCGCTGCTACCGAACTTGCCAGAGTCTCAGCCAACGCGGTGGGAACGTGACACAACGTGGCAATTCTTCACTTGGTGTTTCGATTTTGCAATGTTTGCTGGCTGAGTGCAGGACAGCTACCATTGGCTACCAAATGCGTTGGAGTTCCTGTCCAGTCCGTCCTGAAATGGTCAATACACAGGCACTCCCCCTCAACAGATGAACACATATTGAACACCCATTGCTTGGTGGGACCGTCGTCACTTGGTTCAACACAAATCCGAACGGTTGGACCCTCCATGGGTGGAAGGTCGTTGCCAACACAAACGCGGCGACCGGTCAACCGGTGTTCTCCGACCCGAGGCTGTGGTGCACTTCACCTTCTCTACGGTGCTGCTCCCGAGGGTCCAGCAGGGACTGGAAAGACGGAGACCGTGAAAGATCTCGCCAAGGCGGAACAGACGGGTATTTCAAACGGACTGAGGAAGGAGAGACCAGGATGTTGCTGTGAGGGTCAAAGAGTTCTTGCTGTAAGTAGGGATGAATCATGAATATAATTGAATCTATGATTCGCATATATGAACACATTCACTATATGAATACATGATGCAAGGAAAAAGACAACAAAACAAACAGACACATTCCTTTCTTCCCCTAATGACTTTTTCTCAACTGTCGCCTATCTCTCCATTCTTCTCCAGGCCTTGGCCCGCTTCTGCGTGGTCTTCAACTGCTCGGACGAGCTGGACTACTTGGCGATGGCCAAGTTCTTCAAAGGCCCGTATGGGCATGAGCGGTTCCCCCCAAAAAGCCCAAACATCCCAAAAACATCCCCCAAACCCCAGACGTTCTACACGTGCGCCGACCGTTCTTCGTCCACGCCTGCGCCGCGACGCCGCCACGAAGGCCTCGCGGCGTCGGGCGGATGGGCATGCTTTGATGAGTTCAACCGGATTGACGCGGAGGCGGTGGCAGACGCGGCATGGTGGACGGAAGGTTTGGGAAAGGACGGGAAAGGAGGAGATAGGAGAATCCAGCGTTTGTTGTAACATGATGTAACATGTTGTAACTTATGTGTTTTCATTCTTTCAGGATTGTAAGGTGACATCTGATATCTTTTGGTCAACCGCGCAAGCCTCCGCTGCGATCACCAATCAAGCTTGGGCATGTTGAAGGGCGGTGTTGGTGTCAAGCAACAACCATAGCCTTTGGATGGCCAGATATGGTCACCAACCAGTGGCTAGCTGAATGTAGCACTGAGAAAGCTAGCTGATTGGCGCAAGGCTGAGGTATTCAGACCAAACGGTCCACAGGTGTTGAGCGTGATCGCGCAGCAGATCCTTTGCATTCAGAACGCCATTCGAGCCGCTAAGCCAAAAGTTGTGATCGGAAAGACCACTTTTCAAAGTGCTGTGGATAGTCATTGAGCGGGAATGGCTGTGCCGAGGAAAAGAAGACGCACTTTGAGTTTGAGGGCACGGAGCTTCCCATCATTTGGACTTGCAACTGTCAAGATCTTAGAAGATCTCGGCCAAGTTGTGTTTTGGCCATCTCATCTCGGCCACGCCTTCGCGGGCCACTGCCCCAGGTTTTATCACCATGAATCCTGGCTACGCTGGACGGGCGGAGCTGCCTGACAACTTGAAGGCAGGGCCCTGGGTGACACGGCTGCGGGCCATGCCCCATGGAGCAACCCACTTGGGATACCTGCTATCCCCTGCTGACCCTGCCCAGGCCTTGTTTCGAACCGTGGCCATGATGGTGCAAAGCTCAGTGGTTTTACCGCGGCCGGTGGCGGTCGCGGTGCCCGGTGCAATTCGTCAGGATCGTGGTTTTGAATGGTTTTGAGAGAGAATCAAGTGGAAAGTGAGTTGCTGAAGGTGCCAGACTATGCCATGATTGCAGAGATCAAGTTGTACTCCTACGGTTATGAGGACCAACTTACTGAAAGCTTTGGTCTTGTGATTCTCACCCTTCGCTCATCAGGATTCTCGCTCATTGGCCCAAAAGATCGCAAGCAGCCAAGAGCACACGTCAATCTTCAGAAGAATTGTCACGTCACACCTCGTCACAATCCGTTGGCTTCGCGTGACTTTTTCTACCATAAAGCCTATTGGGTAGTTCCAACTGACTGAACTCCATCCGAGTTTGTACCAAGCTCTAGGGCGATCGAGCTGCGTTCGCTCGTTGGCTTGAGGTGACCACCTACAAGCTTTGCTCTGAGCAGCTTTCTTCACAGAAGCCCGGGGCCACGACACGTGGAACACCATTTCTTATCCTCTAGTGCGGATGAACCGACGTATATTCGTTTTGAGCGGTTTCAAAGGTTTCAAGGAGATAGAGGATATGGCCAGTACTGTAAGTATTTACCCGTGGTGAGTGGTGCAGGATGTTTCTTTTTCCCCATCAATCAGAAGCTCAAGATCAGAATCAATGGATTCAACCCCTAGAAAAGTCGGTGGTACTATAGTATAGTACTTACCAGCAGTTCCATGTCGGGGTGCTGAGGGGTGAAAACGGTGCCCCTTGTCCACTCACGAGCGTGTCTAACGTGTCTACCGGTCTATCTACCACCGGTCTGTTGGGGTCTGAACTTCGGATGTTCCCGGAAGTTCCCAACTTGAGCGACTCATCTCAGACTCTGACCGTCTACGGGTGGTTCGAACCCACCGCATGTGGTACTTACCGAGGCATTATGACTATGGCATGCGCGCAGTCTTTGCAGTGCTGGTGCAAGCTGGTCGGTGACGGGCTCGGTGGGGGGAAACGACGACGGGGCGCCGAGCGGTTGGGAGTTTGAAACGATGAATTGACCGAGGCTCAAGCGCAACAATCCCACCCAGGAGGAGCTGATGCCTTAGCTTTCCCTCTTTTGGGGCACAAGTCAGGTTCTGCTTCATGCGGACCCGGACCATCCTTGTTATACGTAGTAGAACCATGTCAAACCAGAGAAGGGGGTCAAATGCTTGGAACTGTTCATGTTCTATCATTTTCTGCAAAAACTGCTTTCGCGATCTTCTACTTTCGCTTCACCGATAATATGTTGGTTCGACCGACACCACCACTTCGACGAACGAAGAAGACCGACGCTTTGCCAAGGGCCAAGTTGATGCTGCAATCCGTCAATGACGTGAACCTCGCGAAGTTCCTGGACTTCGACGCAACCCGCCTCAGTGGTTGGAAGACGCTCTTTAAGAGTGCGGAGTTGATGTTTTGACACGATGTTTTGGATGGAAACATCTTGGGATTGTGCCACTGTGCACCTTGGTTCACGATGCTTGTTGAGTCAATCATCAGGCTATACTGGCTATGTATGGCTATGTATCCTCTTTGAATAGCACGTGAAAAAGATGGGAGCAGATAGGAAACCTGAAGCATGCCTGCCAGCTTGCTTCTCTCAGGTGCCGCTGTACAATGGCATTACAAAGGATTTGTTCCCGGGTGTGTCCGCTGCTTACTCACGACCTGCTAATACACAAGCAACTGAACGGGATTCGCTTGGAATCAGTAGAATTACCGGCACTATCCTGCACTGGTCAAAAGCTGCCACATACAGGTGTTGGATGGTGTTGGGGTAGCCACCAATTAATTTGGCATATGATGTCAATCGCAAGCTACTGCTATTCGGCTGTTCTTTGCCTTAGCGGCTATGAAGCTATTGCTGCACCATTTGGTGGTTGCTGAGGGAATTGCCGCAGCCAGATTACTCCATGATGGTGCTGAACCTAGCATATTTGAGTCAGCCAGTCCGGGCCGGCGCTTGCCATCGCTTTCAGGTCAACAAGCTGACGCAAAACCTGGATGTCACCCATTGCCAGGTTGGGAGCTTGCTTCATTTTGTCGACCCATGGACCTGCATTTAGGAGCAAGGACGCTACTAGGGGCTCCTGGCATCGCTACTAGGAACAAGAAGCTACTAGGAGCAAAGGGCATCGCTACTAGGAGCAAGGACTACTAGTTTTGGTTTTCACCTAGATCTTTGCGACATGCACAGGCGCATCCTTACTTCATCGACAAGATCATCCAATTTTATGAGTGCCACCTTGTGAGGCCTGGCTGATCGCCACATCCAGAGGTAAGATATGTTGTGATATCACAAGATGGTGAATAGTAGTGTTCATCCAATATGGATTGCTTGGATTTTGTAGACCTTTTTGGAGGACTCTTGGATGTTAGTAGGATCGCCGGCCCCCCCCAACCCATATTATGGACGGTGGGTCAAAAACAGCTCCAAACTCTATAGGTTGACCATGTTTGGTGATCTATTCTGTTCATGCTCGGTGGTCGACCAGGGTTCCCCGTGTTTTGACCCACTGATGCAGTGGATGCGATTTCCATCTAGCTGACTTAATCACACAGACACCACAGGGACCTGGAAGAGGTGGGTCAAAGCTTTGGTCGACGTCCCGTGGATTTTACCCAGAACATGTTCTCCTACGAGGTCGGATTTAACATCAAGAATCATCAATACAGCGCCGGCTGCCCTCAAAATGGCGGAAGAGGGGGAATAGTATAAACCGCCCATAAACCACCCATGGGAGGTTTTGTATAAATAAGAATTCAACAGGAAACAATAAGACTTCCAAGGAAGTCCTGGTGTTATTGGTTTCTGTGGGAATTCTTCCTGTATTGGCGAGAATTGTTTTCTTCTCGGATACTGTACCAATAAGAATCCAAATCCTACAAGCCAGCCCAGAGAGTTTGTGGAGTTGATAAGGATGTAAAGAGGAGGAAAGAGGATTTGCAAGGAAAACAACTTTCTACTATTCTAATCCCAGAACAATTTCAGGGAATGAAATGACTTCGGGAACACTTTCGAATGTTAAAGCTTCCTTTCTTTGGGGTGTTTTGACTTGTGGCCCACATCAGTATAGGATTAGCTTCCATTGGCTTCTGATGGTGAGCAGAATTCCATCCTGTCAGGCACAGTGTCATGCTGGTTGGGATGCCCTTCAGCGGAAAGACAACAGCACTGAATACACTGCAGAAGGCGCTCACAGATCTGGCGCAGGACGCAGAGATGTGTGGGGTGCCTGAAAGAATACAAATGATGTGGAATGAACATCGGCGCTTTCCATTTAAACTATCTTTGTTTATACAACTATACTGAGTGATTCCACCCTTCTATGTTTCATGCTTCCAGGCTATTTTTCCTTTTCTGACAATTCTTTGGAGCAACCTGTATAAGTTTCGTCGACCACCTGGAACCAGGAGGGTAGCATGCATGCTGGCTGCATTGTACACCAAGCCGGAACCCGAGGGACTTTGCTTTGCGTTGGACTCTTCGCATGGTGGAAGATGAGGCTCGATTGAATCCAAAGTCCATCCCAGCACGAGACCTCTACGGATGCTTCGAAGAGGCGGATGCTTTGAAGAGATGGCCGTTGATTTTCACGACAATGGCTTTTTATCAATATTTTTGACTTAGTTGATCCAAATCGTTCAATTGAAGATGGTAGCTGATTGATGCTGGAAGTTTGTATCATTCTATGCCCACATCCAGATCTTGCCAGGTGTCAAGAGAGTGGGTTGATGGCATTGTGGCTGTCCTGTTCCGGGAATTTGCACGGAATCAGACTGAGGAGAGTTCTGCATTGTATGACCCGCGGCATCCCGCGGCCAAAATCGTTTTTGCGATGTTATCCACAAATGATCGAACAACAAAAATCCTGCTACGTGTGCTACTTGGACAACCACTCAGTTCATAGTGTAAAGATGTGTAAAGCATTATTCCTAAACAGCCAACATATAAGATATATACTTCAAGAACCCTAAAGTTTACGCTTCTTACTCTGTTCCAACATGACACTTGCGGTCTACAGCGGATCGGATTGTCACGTCCATTTTGCCTGGCAGGTACGGCACGGTCAGATTTCCACACCCGTTTAACTTTGTAATATGTATAAGGCTTTCAGGGGTGAAATCTGACCGCAACTTAGGTGTCGACATGTTGCACGTAGGATTCTAGGGGGAAAGGGTTTGTCCCGTTATAGAAGACAAGAAGCGCAACTTTCGGTACCCCAGTGTATATATATTATATATATCATAAGAGTTTTACCCCACCTGTGTCAGGAGAGAAAGTGGTTGGTCTTTGACGGTCCTGTCGATGCGGTGTGGATTGAGAACATGCGACTGGGTCGATCAATCGGTTTTGTGTTTCATTAGCGCACTACTAGGCTAGGAGTAAGTCTTGATCATGAGTACTGCTACCGCACCGCACCTCATTGAATCTCTCCATTGATTGCGAGTTGACACTTTGGGGACATACCATTAGTGCCGTGATGTACCATGATGATCCATGATGTACACCTACAGAACGGACTACAGTTTCAATTTTGTGGATTTTGTTGGCTGGAGGTCATTGTATAGTTCGATCTCAGGAATACGGTCATGGACGAGAACAAGAAGTTGTGCCTCAACAGTGGTGAGATTATTGCAACTGGCCTGCAAATCAAGCCTGTCAAGTCTGCTAAATTCAGAGTCTATCCTCAGCTGGACAGTTGGACTAGAAGTCCTACTTCATTTGCTGACATCGAACATGGATGCTTCAGGCCATGTCTGCCAACATGCGCACCATCATCGAACCCATGGCGCCTTGGCTTTTCGACCGGCTCTAACCACGACCCGTCTCCGACCGACGAATCGGCTCGGCTCCGAAGGATGTGGAGGTCGCATCGCCGGCCACGATCTCGCGCAATGGCATGGCCAAGAGCTGAGAAGGCGAAGCAGGTGGGCGGGACAGGCGGCCGTGAACGGCGGCGTGGACTGAACAAGATGGAAAAGATGCAACAACCTTCCTGTCCTTGAAGAAACAGTCAGTCAAACCGGCTCAGGTCTTCTTTGAGCCTCATTTGATGGGCTATCAGCACCTCATTGTTGCAGCCTTACCCAGAAAGGAGGTTGTTGGGGTGAAGTGGATGTCTTTGTTTTGCATCACCCCGCTTGCCCTGCGATCCAGCACCGCTGGGTCCGGTGTTGTGAGGACAAGACCCTCAAAGGAGGCCTTCCTAAGGACCGGTGAGACAGTCAGAAGACTTGAGAAGAAGTCCCACTCCTGAGGTGTCTTTGAGTTCCGTTGTTCGACATGTTCATTTAAGAACAAAAAGACATCCGGCATTGTGTCCAGCTTTCATGCGTGCATGTCAGGAGATGGAGGAAGCTGAGCGTTCAGCTATTGCCAGCATGATAGACTTCCTGGTACGCCAAGGATGTTTTTGTGAAACACAGGGACTTGACACAGGAAGCCATGCCGCACGATCAGGGTTGGGTTTTCGTTGGGCTGACTTGCAGGTGAATCAAGTCTTCGTTGATCCTGATGTATTCTGACCCATGCTATATAATTAATTGATAATTGCATAATACACATTGATATAGATCTTATAATAGTTCTTATAAATATATATATATATGATATATATTTATATGGAAGCACACACTTGTGGCTGTTCTGTCTTCATGTGGTGTAAAACATCGGCGATGCATGCGGATCGCCACAGGTCCCGCCACTGATCGCGTATGTTCAGAAGGCATGCAGAACAGTGCCCAACCCAGTTGAAGGTGGAGATGCACAATTCGCGTGTGCTTGAATCCTTGAACATGTATAAGAAGAAGTAGAAGAACAGTATACGTTTGAGGCCACAGAATAAGTCGACAAAGATGGTTGGGTCCATTCCCATCTTTGATGCAAACCATGTCAAGTCATACAGTCACACTGCCAAAACACAAAGAGAAAACAGTTGCAACCGATGTGTCCTGGAACCCATGTCGAACTTCTGACCCGAATCACGATTTCGTCGTGAAACCGTGAAACTAAGCTTGCTTCAGGTCTCTCCGGTACAAGAGCAGAACTTGGTGCAAAGCTTCCTGCAACTTCTCACCACAAAGTTGCAGACTGGCTACAAGGACGGCATTTTTGTGTCACATAAAAAAGGTTATGATTACTGTATATCAGCTAGGACACAAAGCTTCCTTAGACCTAGAAGATTCAATGCAGACATGCCTCTGGGACTACATCGAGCCAGTGTGTTTGCCGGAGAGTGATGGCTCAAGTTTGCCCCTGATCTGCTGTGTGCACGTACGAGGATCCCAACATGAGCCGCGAGGCAGTCGATCCCAAAGCCATCATCACAATGACCGATTGCTCAAGCCTCAGCCATGCTGAACTGCTGAACCAAAGAATCTTCGGTTCTTTTATATACGTTATTTTTGAATTGCCGACGCATCGGCCATGAGTGCATTCATAGATTTGTTATTGTTTGGGTTGTGGTGTTTTTTTGAAGAGATTGCCGCACAGAGGGGCACAAAACACATATGTAATAGTCCGTGGAAGTTCCTGATTGCTGGGTCCTGGGTATGGGGTGGGCATATCACACACACACACATGCATGAAGCTGGACACCTCAAGCACAGAAAACCTTTCTGATTCTTGCTCCCAGGCTACGCTATTTGGTCTGCTATTTGGGGCATTGGAGCTGCATGCGAGTGCTGCCAACACGAGTTGGCCCAACCGATCAGCGGTGTGACACCCACAATCTGACACCTTATATAAATAAACTTCACAGAGGTTCAGTTTCAGAATTCAGACTATGTGAGACCTTCTCCCTTGAAGGCGTGAACAACAGTCCGGCGAACTGTCTTGAAGGGGAAAAGAGCGTCGCCAGGACCAACAGCCGCCCCATGTTTGGCAGCTTTCTCCGAAAGCTGCTCACGGGCCAGGCAGCTGGGCGGCAGCTCTCTCGGGACTCTCTTGAGAACTTGAGACGAATCTCATGAGACAGTGAGATACAGGACGAGATACCTTGCTGCTAGTTCAATGCAGTTGGATCTTCGAATCTTCGCATGAATTTCCCAGCTTTCAATCTCGCAGATCCTCGTGCTATCTCGTGCTTATATTCTTCATGGAAAATATGATGGACCAACTTCGCAGGAGTCTCCCAAGCCTCCCAAGAAGTTGGCAACTCAGTGGGCTTGGCAGCGCTCCGTGGGCTGTTCGCTGCTCGTGGCTTTGTTCGTTCGCAGCTCGGACCGGTCCGTGAAGCAACGGACGTGGACCCTGAGGATCCAGCCAAATCTGCCAGATCGCGGTTCGGTCTTTGACTATGTGGTGGACTTGAAGCAACCAGGCAAGGAGAAAGAGACATTGGCTGAATGAAACCAAACTCCACTAAGAATCTACTGTACTGATTATAGTTCTTATATGAACTTATCGATGGGTGCAATATGATACGGTCGCTCCTTTAATTAGGGGTTTGCAGCCAGTTGTGGCTCCTTTTCTTTGCAGTAAATCTTCTTGTCAGTTTGGCCCATGGTATCAATTTAATTCTGGCTTGGATAATTGCCTTTTGGAAGACACGATGAGCTTGTTTCTTTGTTTTCCTCTCTTTCGGGGATCATCATTTTGTTTCAATAAGTTTTGTAATACTTGGAAAATACATTAGACTATACTGTATTTGATTTGTTTTGTTGTGAGTGACAGGGCAACCGTGAGGTTGCCAGTTCAGTCACTGGTGGAGATTGAACCTCAGACTACTGGGGACCTCAGAGGCTTTGACAGGTAGCAAGGTGGAACATAGACACCACTCAACCTTGCTACCCAACAATTCACGAACCTGTTGACACCTCCTCACAGCCCTACTACGAGCCACCACCCAACCTCTCAATTCGCCGGATGGATGGGACACCGCGCGAAGTCATCCTGCAGGTTGGACCACCTGGATGGACACCGTGGAAGCGCAGAGCATCCCCAACTCCGCACAGGTGCAGAACATCATTGTGCAAACCGTGGACAATGCAGCGATCTCAGAGTGCTGGTTTGCTTGTTTCGATGTTCTTTCAATTTTTTTGCCCTTTAACGTCTTCTTACACTCAAAGCTGGCCTGTTGCTGACGTTTTCGGAAAGGGTTTCTCTTTCTCTGGCAGCTTTGGCTCTCCAAGAAACCAGCAAGTTCAGCAACACCCGAGGTTCGATACCGTCACCTTCTGGAGCATTGTGACTCGGTGGATTCGAGATCTCCCCCAAATCCAGAGCTGGTGATCCCTCCAAAACCTGACTCCCAGGACATTGCGATGCCCGGCCCTAGCTACTTGTAGCGTCCTTGCTACTAATAGCGATGCCAGGAGCGCCCCTAGTATAGCGTCCTTGCTCCGTTCGTCGCGATGCCCTTTGTTACTAGACATAGCTTAGACATGCTTGGACCTGATGGATTGCTTTGTGGCAGCCACCCTCCCCCCACCAACGGGGAGTCTGCATGATCCGCCGAAAGAGACTGCAAGGTATCGAGCACCGCATGAAGCTCCTCTTTTGCGGTCCAACCGGCACTGGTGGGAAGCTGAGGCATCGAAAAGAGCTCGCAGTGTGCGAGTCGGTGCCGGTTTCAAGGGAATCAAAGCGGCGAGTCATATCTGGGCTAAGGCAAAACCGTCTACATGCAGCAGGCACATGCAGAAAAGATCTCGGATTTTGCCGCGATTCTGATGGTGTGTTTTTCGATCAAAGCCCGTCGCAGTCACGCGGAGGCCCTTATGGCAATGCCCAAAGAGACTCACATGTCCATCCAAATCGGCTTCTCAGCCCAGACCAAATGCTCGCAGACACAGGAGCAGACCAAATGGCGATCGACTTTCTATGACTTTCTTATGGTAATCGACTTAACGTCGATTTGTACATTGTTCCTTACGCCAGACTCCAGAGATCTCCAGTCTTTGTTCTTCTTCATTGCTTTTCTTTTAAGCATAAGCATGCCCTCAGCCATTTCAACATGTCTATACTTTCTTTCATCCATCTTCTGGAATGATGCTAACCAAGCTCGAGACGGAACACACTTGTCCTGTCCTCTTTGGTGTCCAGGATTTGGTGGATGCCAAATTGGAGCGGCGACGGAAAGGGGTCTACGGTCCACCCATGGGCCCCGGGCTCGGACGACGATCCACGGCGACGACGACTCTCCGAGTCCTTGCTCCGTTCGCTAGCGATGCCAGGAGCCCCTAGTAACTTCTTGTTACTAGTAGCTACTTGCTCCTAGTAGTACGGCCAGGAGCCCCCAGTAGCGTCCTTGCTCCTAGTAGCGATGCCCTTTGCTCCTAGTAGCTTTTTGTTCCTAGTAGCAAGGCCAGGAGCCCCGTTCGTAGCGTTTTTGTTCCTATCTTGGATCACAGCCACTGCATGCCACTGCTGAAAGCTCTGTGCTGTCATGTGAGGGCGAACCTGCGTGGTGATGGTGGACGATCTCAACATGCCAGTGAAGGCAGAGATGGTCTTTGGGGGGCGAAAAGTTCTTGGACAGACTGAAGGGGTGCAGGTCGAATGGCAGAGTACCACAGCTGAGTACTGAGTCCTGGCACCAGCAGCTTGACGATTTCACACTACTGGAGCGCTTGGGGGCAGGAGAAGTACGGCGCAATGCCGCCGATTGAGATCCTGCGACAGAGTATGGTGGTACACTCAGCAACCGGTGCATCCCACCATGCAAATGTGAAATTCAAAAGGGCAGACTATATCGCTTCACTCGCAACCATACAAGACCACACAAACTTGGCACGCTTCCCTTCAATAGCCTCAGCGGCGAGCTGACCATGTTTGATTCTCTTTTCGCTTCTCTCAGGATTCCACTGCATACGGGCCCACAGGTGGCTGGTTTGACCGCAAGGACGGTGTGTGAGTCTGTGTCGCACGGTCCCAGCTGGCGTTTTCCTGAGGTTCCATTCAAGCGCTGTCCCAGTTGGCTTGCAATCCAACCTAGTAGCGATGGCCTCCACCGTGCGTAGCTTCTTGTGACGTCCGTAGCGATGGCCTCCAACCTACTGGCTTGCTCTTCCAGTGATTCTTTTGGGCGCAGTCCCAGTGACATCGCCAGGACGCGACCCATCCGTTCCGCAGCATTATCGATGTGCCCTCCTCAGCTGGTCGATGCTCCGGGGGTGGCCCTGGTGGTTACAAGTGAATGGAATACTCACAAGAACATCAAGAACATCAAGCAGATAAGTCTCTAGAATTCTCTAGATGTTAGAAAAGAAGATGTTCGAAGGAATATTCACGCTGCGACCCACCGGGTGCTCACCTCTTCGGGTTTGCCAGGTGGTCTACTTCGCAGCGATGGGTCCGCCAGGAGGTGGACGCAACTTCATTACTCCCAGAGCTGGGAAGCCAAGAGACTCCGAAGCCTAGCTGCCTGGGGGCTATTGAATCCCAATTTCTGTCCGTCAAGAATGGCTTCCGCGTTCCTTCCGGCTTTTTGCTGTCACACCTTGATATAGTATCAGATAGATATCATTAGTATCATTGTATCACGGTGTGGAGTGCAGATGTGCGCAGATGGCACACGGGAGAAGAGGAAGGATCATGACTGATCAGACTGAGATTTTGGGCCACATGTACTTGGTGGGCTTCCCACTGCTGGATGATGACAACATGATGCGCCTCGGAAGAACCGTGGAAGGGTTGTTGGCTCCTTCCCTTTGAAGTGCTTTTGATGAATGATTGGCAGATATGGAAAGGATCAACAAAAACACGAAAGCACAAGATGTTGGCCATAGTGTAGGCCAGCACCAATAGCATCCGTTTTCTGTTTGCTTCAATTTGCGGCAGTGGATCCCATTTGCAGCTGCACTGAAGAGTTGGGCAATCCGTTTGGGTGTTACACAGAATAGCCCGAAACACGGAACAGGACTAAATCCATCAGTGGATGGTCTCTGCTGAGGCAGATCTTCAACACCGTCCTGGAGTGGAAATTCAGGGTCTGGAGCACAGCGACATCCGAAGAGGAAATGAGGAAGAGACCATCTCAATGCCTACTTCCCAGCTGGGTGGGACACGTGGTGGGACACGTGATTCCGCCAGGCAGAGAACTATCCGGCAGAAGTGGCTTCCCTCAGCAAGAAAATGGTGCAAGCGACCCTGGAAATCTACAAGAACACGTCCGGGCGCCCTATTACGCTGAGAGGGTATCCCTTCGTGGCTTCCCTCGAGAGTTGGTCTTCGATCGCGGCTGTCTCAGAGTGTTGCCGCATGTTGGGACGCAACAGCCCAGCAGCATGGATGCGTTGAAGCTTTTTTTGAGGTCTTTGCCACCCATCACTGTACCATCTCACTTCTTCACATCAGATTCATGGATATTCAATGATATTCATGGGATGTCTTCCTTGCTTCATTGATCCATCATTTGTTCCATGGTTCCTGTTTGGGTCGAACGGTTCACGTCTTTTCACCCGATCCACCCCGGGATCCTCCCGAGATCCACCGATGGATCGCCTTTCAGGTCCAACGAGCTAAGACCCACGCCAATGAAGGCCCACGCCAAAGAGGGACGAATCGAGAGGGCTCAAGTGTTATGTATATAATTGTCACTGGAATTGGTTTCCAGTGCCACTGGTTGCTTCCTCGCCCAAACAAAGGTTCCTAACCTAACTACCTAACCTAAAGAAAGGGATCCCACCCTTCCCACGGTAGGCGGGCCGCCGCCTTTTCCACCACTACCGTTGTCCTGCCATCAACCCTTGAGCCAAACACATTGGTTGGCGTGATCTCGAATCCATGGTTGCTCATTCGAAGGTGACATGTCGAAGGCTTTCCCTGGTGTTCGATTCACATTCATTCTGTTTTCTTTTCGAATGAGACTCCTCAAAGGACTCAATCCATCGTGTGCTGAATTTTCGATTCGGACTGCTCTTTAGAGTGCTATCATCATCATAGATTCGAAACTTTCCAAGCATAAGAACCTTACGAAGAAATGCTGCATCCATTGGCTTCGTTAAACAGTCCGCCAACATTATTGCTGTCGATATCCATCGGCATTCTGTTGTTTCCGAGGATTGTTGTTTGATCAACATAACTTCAATCGTGGTTCTCCATTCTTGACAATTTGGGGTTGCCATCTTATTCACCAAATCATATAAGCTTTTGCAATCTGTGATTAGGAGAGCCTTTGGTTCACCTCGTAGCGAAATTTCAGGCTTTTGCCATTGAAATCTTCCATCCTTAATATATGCCCACATGCATCGCAACCACGTGAGCTTGTCCAATGATGAGGACATTGCATAAGCCTCGGCACTTAAGGTGGATCTGACTACCCTGCTAATCTGTTTAGAATGCCAAGCTAGAGGTGATATGTCCGAGATTTTGTTTTCTCCGAGATCCTTTGTGCATGCTGTTATGAATACACCTTGCTGTGCCCTCAGCTGTGATTCCGATGCAAAACTCGCGTCCCCGAAGCTGGCAAAGGTTAGCTGGTTCATTCTAATGGGTTGGACTAAGATTGCTGTATTGGCTGTCTCCTTCGCTTCTCTTAGTACCTTGTTTCCTTCTAGAAGATCTTGTACTCTTGCTTTGCAAATCTTCTTTTGTAAGAATGCTACTTTTGCCATCATATCTGGGCGTGAATGCACCGCTGCGTACTGCATGCTTCCGCACAGGGCTCGAAGCTGATGTAATTCTGCTTGGGTTACTTCTGCCTCTGGTTCTTTTCGTCGAATCTTTGGAACATCAATTTGTTCAATTTGATGGATATAGTCTTCTTGATCAATCTTTATCGAAAAGTCGGCTCTCTGCTCAATGGTAACTGTGAATTTGAATTTGGTGTACTCTCGGTTTCCGAAAGGCAGATGTTTTTCTACCCTGGCTAATGCCTGCTCGAATCGCTGATTGCCCCCTCCAATCCCGTCATCTACATGAGTTCCTAAGATTCCATCTAATTTGCTTGGATCTTCACGGTCTCTCAAGAGAAAAATGCAATTATCTAATGGGTGTGCTTCGAAACCCTCTGCTTCCAGCCTGCGACGGAATTCCTTGTAGAAGAGTAGTGGAGCATCCACTCTTCCATATGCATTTCCTCGTAGTAGAAGCACATGTTCATTAGACAGTTGCAACAATTCTTTGAATTCCTGGACTGGTTGCATAGCTAGTTCTCTATCATCCGACTTGCCCCTCAAAAAGGCAGTTTTGATGTCAAATGATTGAACCTGCCAATGTAATGAACTCACTGTCTGTAATATCATCATCCTACCATCTCGGGAAAGTGTGGGACTTTCTGTAGAGACTATCCCTACTTCGGGATCTTGGAATCCTCGAATTACTAACCTGGCCTTGGGCTTTCGCCCAGTTGGTGATGTCAAGTCTTCTTTCCAAGTCAAAACCCATTTTGAAGACATGATACGGCTGGGATGAATCCGGCTTCTAAGCAAAGGTTCCACTGTTTGCGTCTCAATCCAGCAATTTAATTCCTTTCTCTTAGCCTGGTCGAACTGCTTCTTTTCGGCTTCCGTGAGGTTCCTGTATTGGACTTCGGTGTGGGTTTTCTTTACTGCTTTATTCAATGCTTCTGCATGAAAGCTGGGACATTTACAAAATTTTTCCAATCTTTTCATCGGAACTATGACCTCAAATTTACACACTTGAGCTTGTGCTTCATCGGTGGATTCATTACTCCAAAGAGTACCCCTATCCTCGATGATTGCTTCCCCTGAATTAACCCCTTCAACTATCAATGCATTGTACACTGTCGAATCCCCTACTGATTCAAGTGTCGGTTCAACCCCTTCAGGATTTTCGGTCGGTGTATAGTCTTCTCTGAGTTCCTCATCGGCTGTGGGGTCAATCACTGGGATGAGGCTGGCATCTAGTCCGGGCGGCTGCTCAATTTGGGAACCTGTGCATGAGTTCCTACGAACTGGCTCTTCTTCTGGCTGGCCTGCTCGCGGTTCCTCTGCTTCGGCTGGCTCGATTGGTCGATCATCGGCTTGATCAGTTAGATCTGAAAACTGGAACATACCGCTCCTTTCTTTCAGCTGTTCTTTCAAGCGATTTGCCATGGCTTGGAGTTTCTGTTGACTATCGGTTTGGCTGAATCCATGATGGTTCTGAAACTCCCTCAGTGATACCGATCTCATATTTTCCCTTGCTACTCGAAGAAGTCGATTTAGGTGAGTTACCCAAATGATTGTGCGTGACTCGTTCATGATGACTTGACAGGGTCCAACCCATCGACCTTTCTCTAGCATGTTCGGAGCTTTGCGACGATCCCAAATCATGCACAGCTCTCCGCATTTCCAGTCGTGTTCACGACCTCTTGATTGCCTAAGCAATGCTCTTCGAATTGCGCTGGAGTTGTCTGCATCAAGGAGTGCTTTTCGGGCTTCAGTACGAATTGACATCTTTTTCTGGAAGAGGTCGGACTGGGTTTCTTCACTTTCTTCCAACGAATGAGTGATTGTTGATTCATCACTGCATACTGATCCCGGTAATCTCCTTGCTCGACCTAGGACTGCTTGCTCTGGACTAAACCCTTTTGCTACATGCTGTTTTTGGCCTGGAAACATTGTTCAAGAGCATAGTCAAAGTCCTTATCGCTTTTAATCGGGGTGTGATTATCTATTCTGCTTAGCATCTCTTTCACTGTTCCTCCATGTCTTTCTATGCGACCCCTTTGCCATGGTGCTGCTGATGTCACGGACTGAATCCCTTCCTGTTGCAACATGTCTTTCCAATGTTGACTGACGAATTCTCCTGCTAAGTCGTGAACGATAACTTGTGGGGGTCCGGCCCAGTGCATCCATGTTTCTCGAATGACCCTTTCTGCTTCTTCTGTCCCCCTCTGGCACCTCCTTCCTAAATGGAAATGAGTAGCTTCGTCAAAGACATGAATCACATAAAACTTGGTTCCATCACTGTTCTTCCATTCAAAGCCGTCTAGGGTTATCACTTCATTAAACTCCTTGGGCTCTTTCAGTTTTCCAGGGGATGCCAGTTTTGGTGGAACCCTCTCAGAACATGACTGGCACAGAAAGTCTCCTGCTCCATCTACTACCTCTTGTGTAAACCCCAACTTCTTTAGATGCATAGCAAGTTTTTCTGCTGTCGGATGTCCTAAGTTGTTATGCATTCGTTGAATCAATGACCTTTGAAAGCTATCTAATGCCAAGTACTTGGGACCTGGATTACTTGATGCTTGGGGTGACCATGCTGGGACCTCGACGGGTGGTCCCTGGCTTTCGGCTCGAATTTGCTCAACCTCTTGGCTGACTTTGGAACTCGGCTCAACGGGCGCTGGCTCAATCGCAAATGGTGGAGGGACTGCTGCCTCTGATTCTCCGGATCGAACGGGGTCGAGCTTCCTGCCTTCTGGCTCTTCGTGAACCATGGTTCCAAACATGCATATCATTATATGACTCGGCATGGCTGTTCTTCTCTGATTCCTTAGTGTTTGCTTTGTCCAATTTTCTTCTCCTAGATCGAAAACTTGTTTTGTCTTTCTGCATTGGCATATCGTTTTCCTCATCTCTGATGACGTTTGGCTTGTTAGATATCTATCCATACCTTTTCCTGCTTGAATTTGTTTCACTTCGAAGCTGCATAGGCTTGCTAGGTAACTACCTGGCCATTCTTGCAGGGAGATCTCAACGGATCCGGACTTAGGCAGTTTCTTCTGCATCCAATCGAAAACTTCCTCCCAGACAGGATCAGTCAATTCGACTCTTTCTGTATCCTCGGGAGCTGCCTTTCTTTTGGGCTCACGTGGTGACGAAATGCGTGCACGCTTTGCAGGCTGTTCCTCACCTTCTGCGGGAAACAATTCACATAAGTCCTCTTCCGAGATTAAAGGAATTTGTGATTTCCCCTTTTCCTGCAGAATGCTCTTGGCTGCTGCTCTAGCAAAAATCTTTGGGTAGAATGCTGCAAACCGAGACAATGCCATGCGACTGCCGTGGACTTTGCATGACCCTGCTATTTGCGAATGCTCGTGCTCTTTGGTGCAGAACCTACCGTCTAGGCTTCTCACTACACTGTTTGATGTGGTTTGGAGTCTTGTGTATTTCTTCAATGGACGATGATCTTCTGGATGAATCAAACCAAACCTACATTGATCTAGGCTGGCTGTCTTGGTTAATGCCAATATGTCTTTTATCTCCGGCTGGTTCCACATGTCTGACGTGCCTGGGTTCTCCATAGTGAAATGCCGATGGTGGTAGACTTGGATTTTGCATAGCAATGAACAGAGTTCTAGATGTTGCTTGGAAAGTTCACGTCTGTTGGATTTTCTCATAGCCCTTTATGCTTCGGCTTGCATTGAAACGATTCCAAGCGCACCACGGGTGGCACTCTGGAGCTACCCAAATGTTCTTAGGTCGCAGCCTAAAAATCATTCGAAGCAATTGCATCTGGCCTTCAAAAGTTGACAAGTCTCCATGCTCGATGGTGAATCTTTCTGCCCTCCCCCCTTGTCGAATCACTTCTTCAGACAAACGACTGTTGGGTTGTGCATATACTTCTAACAAGTCAACCTGCTTACCAAATGCTTTGTGGTTGGTTTCGGCTCGGATGGCTTTCAGCAATTTGGCTTCGAATTCCGTCTCAACTACTATTTGAGTATCCATGGCCAAAACCTCCCACTCTAGAACCCCTGGCTCTGATGCAATTGTTCCTCCATCTGGCGGCGAGTTTGGCAATAACGAGCGAAATCTGCGATTGGTGCATCCAATGAATTGATCCGGCTCAGGCACCATTGGACATACTGGCTGTCCACTTCGTACACCAGGGCGAATGTCTTGCCGGGGTGCTTCTTTCCCCAAGTCACCTTCTTTTGGCCCCATTGATCCATTGCTGTGGCCGTCCATGCCAGACTTTGCCCTTGAATCTGTGGATGGGTTGTCGACTCGTCTTCGATCGGCTGGCGGTTCATTCGCAATGGGCTTCCAGGAGCCGTGGGTCCAACCAGACTTGCTACCCACTGTGTTGGCGTCGATGACGAAGGAAGGCTTCCCTTTCCGGCTGCACTCGACTTGACCTTCTGCTGAGGCGTCGTTGGTGCCTGGGATTTCATGGTTGCGGCTGATGATCTGCCACTCGTAATCGGAGGTGGCATCGGTTGCTGGAAAACACGAACTTCCTGATCCCAGACTTCCAAATCGCTTTCTGAAAGGATCACGAGGCCGTCTTCGGTCTTTCGCGGTGACATGTTCTGCTTCATCATGAATGCCAGTTCTTCGATCTTCTCCTTTTGCGACTGGACTTCGGTCAGAAGTTCGTTCATCATCACCGCTTGGTCCTGCGGGACCTCTTGCTCTGACACCTGAGTTGCCACCTGGTTGAGGAGGATGGCTAGGAGGGTCTTGAGGCTCTGCATCACGTTCTCCGCAATCGATTTCACCATGCTCATCATGTCTCCGCGAGTTGGCATCGCTCAGACAATCTAGTGAACTTACTCGCTTTTCACAACTCGCACCAAAAATGCTCTCGACATTCGGCTCTGGATTACACAGATCTTGCATTCGAATCATGAGGAGCCCGGTTTTGGCTTCATGCAGTGGGATGTTTCTATTTAGTGCTTTCAAATGACATGAACTCTTTTGCAAATCAATCACTGCACCTAGCTGCCTCATAGTCTGAATCGAAAGCAGGAACGGGGTGGCCTTTGGAACAACCTCTACAATCAACCACATTCGAGTCTTTCGAAATTCGATCGGAATATGGATCTGCTTATAGCTATATTCTATCTGGTTGTTTCCGAATCGAAATGCGACTCTGCTTGCACGATCTTTCACTCGATCTCGGACGGTGATCGGCAGTTGTCCAAGGAGCATCGGAAGGTTGTCTTCACCGATTACGCTCCGGCTGGCACCTGTGTCTAAAATTGCCATGCCGTTCGTTCGAAAGCCGAGGGACTCTCCGGATTTACTGGTGAGCCCAGTGGCGAGCAAAGGCTTTTGCTGCATCGGCTGAGGATTGTGCTTCCTGACGATCGAATCAAACACTCGGTTTCGTTTGGCGAAAAATGTTTGAGTCTGCTTAATTACCTCTTCTGCAAATAATGCTTCAACGATTGGCTCTGGCTCGAAATGCTTTGGTTCGGCAAAACACATATGGCTTTTGGATTTGAACCCAATCCCAAACCCGACCTCGGCTTCAGAATCAATCTCTTCGAAAAGCACTTGTGCAGCTGCCTCATTCTCTTCCATCTCATGAGAAGCTGAAGCTACGTTGGCCTGGCTTTCTTTCAGGCGTTGAGGACATTCCGCCTTCCAGTGGCCAAGCTCTCCACATCGCTTGCAGTGGGTACGAGCAATCCTGTTCAGCAGCTCGTCTTTTCCTTTCGAACCACCTTTTCTGAATCCTTTGGGCCCAAAAGAACTAGACCCTTTTCCAGATTTGCTCAAGCCTTTGATCGGCCAGAATCCACGATTGCGCTTGCGCTCCACAATGCGGCCACGGGCCTCTTGGTAGCTCAGCAAAGCTTGATGAAGATCTGGAATTTCTTGGAAAAGTTCTGTCAACTCCTTCTCAAACCCTTGAACTGTCAGTGCATCGGCATCTCCTGTCGTTGCCAACTGTTCCAACAATTCTGTAAGGACTTCGTCATCTTCTCCTTGGGCTGCATACAGACTCTGATCGGTACCAAAATGGTCTACCGAATCTCCGGGTGAGTCTTGTGGATCCTCAACGTAGTTTGTTGGGTAGACTTTCTTTTTGTCTTGCAATGAACCAGTGAGAACACTTGTTGAAAGGCTTCGCATGGCCTTTTCAATTGCTCGTTCATCAAATGCTCCGTTGGTCATAGTCAAAACTTTCTTCTTGTCCTCATGCCCCAAATTGCTCTGCTTCAGCAACACAAAGGCCTTGATGGCCTTCAGAGTGGTTTCAGGGCCTACATCTTCAAAGGCCACGTCCAACCTGTTGACAAATGACTGAGTGCTTTCATCACTCTTCTGGGTAGTCCTGTAGATTGCTTTGTCAAAAAGCTCGAACGTGTTCAGCTCGGCGCTCTCTTCCCACGATGCCAATGCGGCCAGCAGGCTTCTTACTCCTGTATCAGGATTGGTCAGTTGATCGGCCTTGATCGATCGAACCTGGTGCCACGCTGTACCCTTGCATAACATCGCTAAACGAGGTGCCAGCATATTGCGATCTTTCTTTGGGCATATGCCATCAACAAATTTCACCTTTGCAACATACTCCTTGATGTCGTCTTGGCTGGGGTCGAAACTCGGCAGTAATGACCAGATCGCAGAATTCTTTTCTTCGGATCCCATGGCTTGCTAGCGTCCTACACTAGGCCAACCTGGGCTCCGCTACCAATGTCACTGGAATTGGTTTCCAGTGCCACTGGTTGCTTCCTCGCCCAAACAAAGGTTCCTAACCTAACTACCTAACCTAAAGAAAGGGATCCCACCCTTCCCACGGTAGGCGGGCCGCCGCCTTTTCCACCACTACCGTTGTCCTGCCATCAACCCTTGAGCCAAACACATTGGTTGGCGTGATCTCGAATCCATGGTTGCTCATTCGAAGGTGACATGTCGAAGGCTTTCCCTGGTGTTCGATTCACATATAATTGTATATATATATATATATCATATCTGTAGTTGTATTTTGAACAGCCTCAGAGGCTGTTTCCAATATTGGAGTCAAATGGTTTTGATTGATGTTGATGCTCCTTTATATAGAGAACATAGATCAATGTTAAGAGTCCCTTCAGGCTTGATTTCTCTGAGATGGGGCGCCCCATCAGTTCAATATGATCTGTGAAAAGTCATGGAACGTGCCTGCGCGCCCTCGACAAGAGAGTGGGATGCAGCAGGTTGCAAGGGTGTTGTCATCTCCACCACATCAGAGGAATGGGACTTTTTGGATGATCTGAGAAGGTGCAGCATTGCTTATTTTGTCCCAATGCATGTTCATGTTCTGAGCAAATATGGGAAGAACTGACGTTGGATGACGCGCAGAAGGCGATCCGATCTTCTCAGACGACCATCTCTGCAAGGAGGATCGGACGAGTGTTGGTTCCTCGATCGATCGGATCGGCAGGTGCACTACACTTTCAATCTGCGAGACTTCTCCAAGGTGATTTGTGGCGTTGGAGCCCCGGAGTGGCGTTGGTGTGTTCTTTTTGTGCCGGAGGAAGAATATACCGGCATCCTGCGGCGATAGTCGGAGAGGCCATGCTAAAGCAGTTCTAGTCTATGGTCATATCTAAAACACTAGCCCACCATGCTATATCTCTGATCCTACCGTACAATCACCTACAGTAGTCATCCAGATGCTCCAAACTTCTGAATCTCTCAGGTGCTTTTGCTCAAGAAGAATGAATGTGACGGCCGTTTGGCTTTGACTTTGGGCCAATCTTTGGGGAGGAGAAGTTGAGATAGTTGAGCATTTAGTCCTCAGGGAGCTCAAGAGAGCAAAGATAAACCAGGAGACAATTCTCACCCATACTACTCCCAAGTGTATCATAGTGTAGTTGCAGAGCTGCAGAAAGTTGCCAATGCAGATCATGGGTAGAGATTCAATGAGATTCATAGCTTGAGTCTTCGGTTGATGGAAGCTTCCAAGTTCAGTAAACACGTGCAACCACTGTGCATAGTAGCTTCTGGTTACTAGTAGTAAGGCCGGGAGTGCCCCTAGTAGCGTCCTTGCTCCTAGTAGCGATGCCCTTTGTTATTAGTAGCGATGCCCGGTGAAGCTTTGTCGAGGGTCACCTGACTAAGGTGCCAGCCGCCACGTTCGACTATGGGCACACGACGCTCGGGTATGCAAGCAGATGCAAGCAGTCTCATTGTTCGGGCGGCCCCTGGGGGTCCACTGACCAAATTTTGGCCGAGAATTCATGAGGCTCTTTAACGATCTTTAATGTAATTTAATGTAATTACAAAAGAACATAACCCACACATATTACATACTATAATATATTATATATTTATACATATGATCATACATGTCACACATTTCATGTGACCGTAGTTGCTTCTATTCAATTAAAAGTCCAATCCTGTCTCTCTTGTTTCGACCGTGGCGACCGCGATCCGACCGTGGCGACCCGGCCGTCTGCAGGAAATCCTTCGGGTCTTCGGGGACCGGCTGATCGACGACCACGACCGAGAGTGGATGATGCCACTTGGGTCGCCAAAGCATCAGTCGAGCTTGGGGATCTATAAGCCTTGTTAGGGGATCTATAGCCATCCGCATCTATAAACGTCCTTGATTTAGAACAGGATACAAAATGATTTGGAAAAGGGGTTGGACTGGAGATCACTGATGTCGGGAGACAGATTGATAATATATATTTAGTCTAGAGGAAGATGGGCTCATGTCTCCTTTCTCACATATGTGGCATTTGGATTGAGGCATCAATTGCGAGAGCAGACCAAAAAGAACTTTCAGGCTGGACTTCTATCAGAACTTGCCATAAACCAGAATAGTATTTCAAAAATGAGGTTGTGGCATGCTAGACGGTCTTGAGTCTTGATCTAGAAAGGTGTGGTCGTTGCAAGCAGGTCTCGTTCGATGAGATTATGATCCACTTGGATACCAACAAGGATGGCAAGGCCGGAGCAAACAGATAGTTTTGCATAAACCATGCATATCATTTACTGTACATTTTGGACTGACTTGAACAGACTGGGTGCCTCAAGTCAGAGCGCTTCTTTTCGTGTCCTAGAACATGTCGGGAGTGCCACAAATCCTTGGCCCAAGCCCTTGCTGCCTTTCAACAATCTTAGACACCTTGGCATTCTCGTGATTCCAATATGGCTCTTCCCATGAAAAAGTCCGTGATGAAGTCTATGAAGTCTATGAAGAAGACAGCAAAGTCGACCGCTATGAAGGCCAAAGTCATGAAGAAGAAGGCCGTGAGCAAGATTGCACGAGGCAAGCTGGCCAAAGCTGTAGTCTTTAGTGGCAACAAGGAAAAGACTGCATCGGGGCATGCCAAATCGGACCTCATGAAGAACAAGCGAGGCAAGATCGTGACAAAGTTGCAGAATGCCGCGGGCAAGAAGGCCTACAAAAACATCTCTGCCTGGACCGTTGCTTGTCAGAAGGCCAGGAAGGAGCTGGGCATCAAGGGCTTCTGTGCTGTGGGTGGAAAGACAGCTCAGGGCAAGGCACTCTACGCGAAGGCGAAGGCAATCTTCGCCGCATAGTTCGGAGTGGCCGAAACGAGACCAGGCGGATTCACTCCTGCACTTGCGTGGTAGTTCACGGAGCCAAGGAGTGCCCGCCAGTGATGGAGTTTGCCTGAGCCCAATCTGTATAGCTTTTCTGGGCTCTGACACAGGACCAAGCTGCAGACAGATGAGTGCGCTTTGTTGCCAGTGGGAAAAGTTTTATGGCTAAAGGCTGCAAGCTTTCCAGCACAAGATGTTGACAAAGATGATCATTGATGAGTTGTCATTTTGACCAAATTTTCTATAGGTCCCAGCTTTAAGCAGCATGTTTTTGTTTGCAAGAGTATCCCCAGATTCCTCGCAGGTGAATACGCTGGACGAGGCGAGGTGACGCTGCAGGAGCTGTTTTGGAGAAACATGTTGACGGAGGAATTGTTGTTCTGTAGAAATGTTTGGATTAGACGAGGACTATGGGACTCTTCAATCTATATTCCAGGGCTGTAGGTATCACTTTGCCAGCGTGTAAAAGATCATCACCCTATACACACTCATACAGACCATCAAGTGGAGACACGTGGCCTGGCAAGCAACGCAGCTGATTCCCACCACCCACTTGACCACTGAGTCCTTCACTGAGTCACACATAGGTGCGCACGCTCTTCTTCGGCGACATGCTGTCGCCTGCCTCTATCCCACAGCGACCATACACTGAGTGCGGTGCCCAGATCCAACTTCCTTGGTGCCCCGGTCTCTGCCATAAACACCTGTTTGGTCTTCAATCTTTTTTCTGTTGGGGATGTCAATGTTTGAGCCACACCAGGAACCATTAGTCTTTTTAGAATTTGTTGCTCATGTGCGGGTTCAAGGTGGACTGACATAGCGGAAATATAGGCATGCCAACGCAGATGGAGAAAGCAGGATGATCTGCAGGATAAGAATAAATTGAAGCGACGCGTCGGGACATCAGAGCTTCTCTGAAGCCTTTGGCTTTGTACTGGCTCAAGAAGTGAAGACCTGCATGGAGCTGTGGCTTGGCTGAGCAATTGAAGCATCGAGGGTGAGGGGGAGAGTTCTTTAGCCAAACACCTACAGTACTGCCAAGATCTGGCAAGCACATGAGAACACATTGATCCAAACAATTGGATACAGTAGCAGAATTAAACAGCTGCTGTTGTTTCCCTATCGCATCCGATAGCCATGGCGACGTTTGTTGAGACTGGCAGGCTCGCAATTCACCAAGGATTGTGTTTGATGTTTAATGTTTCACAAGCATCCTTGAAAGGAAGATTGTGGCCGTGGGGAAGAACTACCGGAAACACATTGCGGAGATGGCGCAAATAGGCAAGGCTCCCCGGATGTGAATTCTGTTTTTTGGAGTCTGTGGTGTGTGCAAGGTAGGAAGGGGCCCGCTGAAGAGCATTTGTGAATAGCATAGCATATCATATCGATCAAGTGCAACACACCATAAAATGGTATGCCCGCTTATCTTGTGCACTTGCTTCCTACACTTGTCATGAATGTCACCTGGCCTTGCTGCAGCTGCGCAGGAAGCGCCAAGGATGAGAAGTTTTCAGCCGAAGCTCCCAAGGCTCCAGTGCTCTTCTTGAAGCCCACGACTTCGTATCTTCCAATGGGCACCTTGACAAGTCAAGGAGCAAACTGAGAAGGTAAAACAAGGCTGCCAATTGTCGTGAATAATGCAATGGGGCACCCTGACTGATGACATCCAGAGTTTCTCTTTTTCTTCCCATCAGCTCGTAGGTGGCTAAACGTCGCATGAAGGGTACAGTTGGTACTGTACAGATGTTGAGGTTCACTATCCTTCGTTTGTGTGTCATGGTGTTTCTTTTTCCACAAAGAGTTCTAACTTGACACGGAGATGCGTGTTTTTTTCTTCAGGCACAAAACGGCTGAACCCCCTCAACTCCGTGTTGTTCTTCGTCCCCCCACTTCGCCCAAAAGGACGGTCAGCGGGGACGTGGCGGCTTCACCCCATCCACCTCAGGTGCAGGACCCATTTTGCTGCCCGTGGGCATTGGTCCCGTCCACCACGAGGCGAAGGGGTGGATTCTCACCACCCCCTGTGGGTCGCTTCGGCGAGTTGGGCGGTGTTGGGTCGGGGTGCTCCGTTTGGTGCTGGACTGGAGCCTGGACCGGTCAGTTTCAACCGGTGTGGGAAGAGGGTGAAGGGGTGAGGAAGGATTTGCCTGCCTCCATTTGGGCCTAGTCCAATCAAGCTCCATGCATCCATGGTGGCTGAACATGTACGTAGCATTCTCATCTTGGAATTTTCCGTCTGATTTTGTAAATCACAGAAAATAGCAGAAATCAACTTCCTTGAGTGTCTTTTTGCATTTCACCCTACAGGTCTGAGGCCCACCTTTTTAAGGGCTGCTGCACCCACAAAAGCCTAGGAAAGGACCCCACTGAAGGCCAACCTTTACGACTGTCATAGTCAGCATCAATGACACAAATTTGACACAACACATTTTTCATATAGTGAGATCTCACACATTTAATAAGTTTAATCGTTTATGTAGATAGATTATAAGTAACAATTAGAAGATCTTCAATGTGGTCAAGCTGGAAGTCTCCCAAAATGCAAAAGCCGAACCAGCGCTGTCGGCCTTCAGGTGGAGCTTGGCATCGTCATTGGAAAACGCTGCAAGCCGCTGGATCGCCTGAAAGATCGACATGGAAACACGACAGTCTTACGGCTTACGGATGGTGTTTCCAAGACAGAAAAAGACATTTCTTACATTAGATGTGTCTTTTTCACAGAAATCCATGGAAACGGTGTAACACGATGTTTCCAACATTGGATGCCATGTGGTGAAACAGTCCCATTGGATGCCATGATATTGGGGCGCTGGAGGACTGGACGTTGTTTTCAATGTGGTTTTCCCGAAGAGCGTGATGGCTCCCCCAGCTAGAGCAACTTAAGCGATCCGCAGGCACTGTATCATCCCAATGATTGCAATGTTTGCTCAGCTGAGCTCATGCAACAACGGACTTGGTAATTGCAAGACCATGTTTTTGTTCCTCAAAGATAGAATGGGTCTGATTCACAATGAACAAACACCTGAAAAAAGGGGCTTTCTGCTTTCATTTATCCCCTTAAATTTGGATGGATTCTCCATGTTTCCTTCCTATCGACTGCACGCCGAGTGCCCACGACCGTCTCCTAGGCGTGTGCCTGAAGCAGCTGCGATGGAGGTGATCTCAGGCGGAGCTCTTTCGAAACGAGTCAGTTCTTTGGTCCTTTGGTCGGGCAGCCATCCACCGAACAGATACGGGTTGTTTCGTTAGAGACCAAGCAGATCTCTTCACAGCTGAAATCCTGCCGAGAAAAACTGGCTTCGTCTTTGTTCACCAAGCATGGCCTCCTGGCACAAAACCAGTTTCCCGCCCATCGGGGGAGGGGAAGTTCGTTCGCTTCGTTCGATCTTCGCGAACCGGGAGGTTTCCGCACTCGTTCTGCGCCATCTCTGCCAGGCTATTGCGTGGCATTGGACCTCACTGCACGAGATCTACAGACAGCAGCCAAAGACCGGGGCTTGCCCTGGTCAGTCCCCAAGGGCTATGAGCCATGGCTGATGTGGGAGAGGGACCTACCGTAGGGCAAAAAACATGTCCGCTGCATGTTGGGATTCACCGTTCAACCCATTGTCGGAGTCCCAACAATCTTCAGTCAGTCATTTTCTAGCAACAGTTGGATATGATATGAATCATTGTATTCTTCCCAGATGACTTCACTAGCTGTTGACCCTGTTGCTTAAGACTCATTGAGTATTTCTCCGGCTTCACCCTTGGGCCTTCGTCGACTCTTGACCAAGGACCATTTCACCCCTGTGGGGAAGTTCATTGACAAGCAGGACAGGGGTCCACGGTTGGGTTCGAACATGTTCGGATTGCTTGCCTGCCTGCCTGCCTGCCTGCCTGCCTGCTTGCTTGCTTGCTTGCTTGCTTGGATTGCTTGCATGATGTCGGTTGAATATGCAAAAAGTGCGATTCATGAAGCATGCTTCGGGGGACACAAGATATGTGAAAAAAGGATAACAAAAGGTGATTTCTTTCTTCTTCGCACTCAAGCTCTTGGGATCCTTCACATTGTCCAGGAGGTGCCCGATCCAACGAACCTGGAGCTCTTTTGCGAGGTGAACGGCCAGCAGCGGCAGAGGGGCCACACGGGTGACATGATTTTCAAACCTCCGCAGCTCATCGCGGAGATCAGCAAAGTCTTCACCTTGGAGCCCGGTGATCTCATCCTCACCGGCACACCTGAAGGAGTTGGCCCCATCGAGGCGAATCAAGGGTGAAGTTGGACCCAGAAAAAGGCTTACTTGAATGGAAAGGAGTTATTCTAGAGGAAAAAACAACGAACACCAATGGCAACATTGAGTTGAAGGGTTATATAAATCAAAACCGTCAACGACTTAACCAATAAACTCAAGTGGAGAGTCTGTGAAAGGAAGGGATGTGCATGTGTGGATCACAACACAACAACAATCGTTCGTCAACAGGACCTGGTGGACAAAGACTTTGAGTTATCACTTTCACAAGTTAAAGCTTGAATCCTAGGTCTCAATTTGCAATCCCAGTCAGGCGGGCGACAAGATTCGTGGCGGCATCACGGGCATCGCTGGGGCTGAAATCAACTTTGATGTGGCCATGGATGCTGAGTAGGAACGAGGAGTCATGGATGCTCGGCTTTCGGCTTCTCCTCCCTCCACGAGCGACGCGAGATGCGAGTCGCCCTCCAAACGTGTGGAGCGCATGACGTCGAGATGCAAGAAGAAGGATAAGTTGGATGGTTCCAGAGTGGCCAGCCTCCCACTTGGTACAAGCTGCAGAGTGAGAGGCGCTGTGAGAAAGAAGCACCTGGCAGAGCGAGTTTGATGAAGCACCGTGCGTTCGACGTACTGTTGATTCCAGTATATTCCAGTCACTGGGCGCTTCGTGTCTTGTTCGGTGCTAAGGTGTCCTGATGTAGCAGTGCTGCAGAAGGCAGGTCAATTGAGACTCCTGAGACGTCGATGTGGTCGCTAGTCCAGCAGCTAAGGCTGCGCAAGCAGCTTTGATAACACAAGCCACCCAACACTGGTTGATACTGTACACAGTGGACCCAACCGTATGGCCAGGAGATCGAAGCACATTTGGTGAGCTACAACGAGATGTCTTCCAAGCCCATGGACTTGGTGTGCTTCCTTTACATGCAGCGGGACTCAGCTGGTTGGTGTGAACAGGACGGAGGTCAACGCACCGACTTGAAGCACCTTCAGCCAATGACTGGATGAACGAATCAGGATAGTGGAAAATAACAGAACATTAATATGTATACTGTATAAATATGTTTGTATGCCAGCCTTGAAAGGAAAGTCCTAATAAGTGAAAGTCCTGATTGATCAGGTTGGAGCCGTTCAAAGTCCCGACTGATTGTACTCGTAGAATTGTGCCGTGTGCCTTCCATACCGATGGCGAGGTTGGAACACCTCGCACGCGTGGCTCGTGTCATCAAGAGCCCGGGTGGAAACGCCCTGCTGGTCGGGGGACCTAGCTCAGCTGAACAAAAAATACGGCAACAAATAGATGTGCTGCTAGATCCACCGGAAAACCGCAACACGTCGCGTTTGGTTTGTGTTTTTCTTACACGCCTTTGGTTCAACCAGTTAGAATTCTGCGATGATGTGAGATCAGATCCAATCTCCATTCAGATTCATGATGATTCAAGTTTTGCTTAGTTCCAATTCCTGGGGATTCAGCCATTCCTGGCAAAAAGCCATTCCACTTCCACCTCAGGTGGGCTTGGGCGGCTCGGGCCGACAGAGTTGCACCCGCTTGGTGTGGAGCCTCAGGTCGGTCGATACAGGTCGATGCGCTGTGGGAGACCCTGGGTCGATGGTCATGGCACCAGGAGGCTTCATATTTAATCCTTACTTATGCCTTATTAAAGTAAGATTACAATAAGCTTATCATTTGGTCTTACCAACGATAGTGACCGAGATTTACCAAGCTTTTTGAGTGGACTGGTCGGGTTTGAGGTGGGTCACGACCCATTCCCTTTCATGGGGTGATCGGTTAATGGTGTGGTCCATCTCTGATGCCATGGAGGACCATCAGGGACCTCATCCGATTCCATTAGAGGGAAGGTTGAAGCTAATTCAACCTGTTGACAGTCTCCATCTCGGGGCACTGAAGTAGCAATCTCAATGAGGCCTGCTACATGGCGGACTTTGCTGTCTTCCAAATCGAGATTGCCAAGGGCTATGATATGTCAGCATTCAGAGAGGACAGGCCTTTGGACCCACGGCGTGGCTAACCGCCCTCACTGCGTCACTATCAATCATAGGTGTGGAGGATGACGGTTCCAAGTTGATAGGTAATCCTTATACATTGTCATAATCTTTTGAGAAAGCAAAGCAGCAACGAGCACAACGGCACACCTCCATTTTTGCGTACGGTGAAACGGAAGGTTAAGTAATTGAATTGTCTTTTGTCAGCTTGCCAACTTGCCATTCATTCCTTTTTCAATCCTTTTTCATTCATTTTTGCTCCTTTTGTAACTTGAAGGCCTTGTGGCAACCAGTGCTGGGTGCCCCAAAGCACTGCTTGATCCTGGTGGACCCGCGTCATCCCGCGTCCGTCATGGTGCAGGACATGAAGAAAATGCTGACAAAAGCCGGTGGAAGCGAGGAACGCACGATTTTCCTCTTCAGCGACACACAGATCAAGGCAGGGGCCTTGGTGCGCCTGCTTTCAACAATCACTGACAAAGGAAGGATATGGAATAGGCAGTGGAAGACCACTGGGATTTAGAAAAAGAACATCGCGACTAGTAGCTCCTGGCATTACAACTAGTATCTACTAGTAGCAAGAAGCTACTAGGAACAAGACACCTTACTACTAGGAACAAGAAGCCAGGGGCTGTATCGCACTTAAGCAATTAGCAAGTCGAGATACTATTCGTGGGATAGCTTTGGAAAGGAAACCTGGAAAAGATTCCCATAAAAATGACCGCAGGGCTTTTCCCTGGTGGTCTCACCACATCCTACTTCATTGCCTTTGCAGGATGAAGGCTTCGTGGAGGATGTGAACAATCTGCTGAACACAGGGGAGATTCCTAACCTCTTTCCTGCAGAGGAAGCTGATGCTGTGCCTTTTGAGACGGGAACCCACAGACAAAGTTTTGTCTCAGAAGGTCTTTGATCAACTCACTGGACTTTTCCCAACAGGATCACGGATGCAAGTAAGTATGTTGTTCACTTCAGGATGACAAGAAATGGATGACGTGTCATGACGTATCCTGGCATGTGGTGAAATGGACCTTGAACCTTCTGTTCTCGTGTGGTCAAACGAACTACGTTTGAACATGAATGTCGATGTCCTCAGGAGCGGGTTGCGGTCTGCGAGATGGTGCGCAAGGCGGCCGTGGATGAAGGGAAAGCTCCAGTGGCGTGCTCAGTGGCTACGAGTGGCCGCCGAGACAGACAGGTCGAGGATTTTTTGTACTCGTAGCTGTGAAGCTCCTGGGCCAGACGCCTTTGCGACGCCTTTGCTCTAGAGGTTTAAGGCATTTTAAGGCTAGGAGGTGCTTGTGGTATTTCAGTATTTCATGGGATTTCTTTCTGGCGAGAAGGGCATGAGCCATGTGAACATGTTGTGAAGCCATCTCTTCAAAGAAGGTTGCCTTTAGTTGGCATGCATTTGGCAGTCTTTTGCAGTGCTTCGCAAGAGGTTGGAGTCAACCGAGCTCAGCCAAGCTTAGAAGCTGCAGTTGCAAGTGCTTGTTGGGTCAGAAACGACGCTTGTTGTTGAGACTAAATGATGAGAGAGAAGTAAACCACACACCAATTTAACACTTGTTGGGTTTGAACGAACACCTCTCCAGAGACAGCAGAGACGGCTCTCCACGCTGGAAAGATGGTGTGCTCTCGGGCCGTCTGCTCCAATGGCCTTACCCGAGCTGTTGCTACGGTGCCTTTCGAGCGGGGATTCACGACAAGATGCGGAGATGCAAGTCTTGCAGCTGCAGAAGCAGGACTCTGTGACATGGCCAGAAGAGAGGGCCAAGGCGTATGCAGTGCCTTAGGCACTCGGTTGCTGGCTTCAAAGGCTATTGCTTGTTCCACTCGTAATAAGAATCGCTCTCAGCATAGCAATTGTTGGAATGCCAATGTTTCCCATCCACTAATTCGAGGAGGAGTGTTCTGGAAATTCAGATGAGACCACTCATTGCTCACTCTTGTTAGCCTGTCTCAGACCAAACATTTGCTGGACTAGAGGATGACTGCAAAGATGGTTGTGGCAAGTCGCAATGTACTTGTGATTCTGGGGTGGGGTCTATGTTCAACGAACGAGCTTTTGCTATTTGTTAATATTTGTGACTTGTTTTCCGAGGCTGGCCTTGCTTTAGCTTGTGCCCAGATATTGGGAGATGTGAACATGTCCATAGAGGCAGGACTAAAGACGATGGGGGTTCGGCCTAAACAAGATTTGCTCAATTCTGCTTGCCTTTTCATTTTCTGATCACAAACTCACAAACACAATCTCAAAACAGAGCCCTCATTGCCACCTCGATTCTCAAAATCAGTCACCAATTGTGATCTGAACAGCTCAAGCCTTGCTCTTCGTGGAGTTCTCGTCCTGTCCAGATCCGGCACTTGGCGGCCTGCCTCTTAAAGAATCAGCTGCCTGGTGTTGCCAGACCCGAGACGCTGTCGACACTGCAGATGGCCATTTTGCAGGAAGGACTGTGAGTGTCGTGGAGTCTACCGAGTCTACCTGCTGGGTATTTCCATCAGGAACTCTTTCTTTCCCTTTAAACAGCAGTGTCAAACCAGAATCTCAGAATCTCTCATCCAGCCGGAGCTTTGTTTGTTCTTTATTTCCCATCAATGTGATACATGTTTCCAATCCTTCACTCTGACTCTTCAACGGGTTGATCCGTTTTTTCTCCACTTCTTCTCACCTCTTCGACAAAACAGGTCCCACGTGTCGCCTTTCGGAGGCCTTCGAGTGCCTGCACCTTTGTCCCACCGCCGCGCTCTGTGCCGCGCGCCTCGCCACTCGTGGCAAGGCCTGGCCGCAGCTGGGGCCGCAGCTGCTGGCACTGGGGCAGCGAGGCCGCTTCCGTGCGTGGCCTTGCTGGCGTGAGGAGTTGGGAGTGGTGAGACACGGTGAGACCTGAGAAGAGCTTGGGTTGTTTTGGATGGTGGAGAGATGTTGGAAGCCGTGCTTTTGCTCGGATCTTCGGCTGCTCACCTGGATGAACTTGATGATTGATTTGAGCGAAAGAGTATGCTTCGATGGGGGAAGGAGTGGGGTATCAAGGTATTCAACCCAACTGCCCCAAAGACATCAACTCCTGTCCAGTTTCTCAACTCGAAATAACAAGCGCCTTTGTTCACGCAGTTATTGACTGTTCCATTTCAGCGCCTTTTGTTCACCAACTCTCAGCCGTCAGGCTTGGCTGAGGAAGCTTTAAAGGTCATGAGCATTCTCGCAGAGGAAGGCTACCACGACTCGGTGGAGGACATGACCGAGGTCCGGGGTGATCCACCGCGATGCATCCGCGATGCAGAGACCGTGGCGCTCGAAGAAGACAGGGATGGACGGATGGATTGTTTTGAGCGACGCTGTTTATATTTTAAGGGAGAAAGGACTAATGACAAAGTCGAGAGAATCTGGAGCCTTTAGAACATTTTAAAACATGGTCCTTTAGAACATGATTAGTGCGAGCGCTTCTTCAAGGAAGCGTATAGCTAGGAGCTTACTCCCTTACTTGATTAAGAACATGTCATGTCCAATGCCGGTCCAGGCTGCCTTGACATCACTGCGCTCGGGCACCTTGCCAATCCGCTTGGCTGCTTTGCAGGCGTGTCGTTTGTTGGATGGACTGGGATGATCGTCCCCGTTCATTTCGGTCTTCCTGGAATTGCTAGAAAATGGATGAACATGGTACTCATCTCATAGAAAAGATGCATGATTGATTCGATGGTGAATCTAGCATGGCGCAGCAAACACACCTAGTCCAGATACTATAAATGCCATACAACATGTCACACTGTTTGGAGTGCACAACTATGTTTCATGTGCCGCTGGCCAGACTTGGAGCCATCGACCGAGCCGGTCAGGCATTGACCTCGCTCAGCCATGTGGCTCAGGCGAAGGTGCGGGGTGCAGGGCGGTGGGTTGGTGGATTCGATCGGTTAAGAAGAAGCCAGCGGCTGGGAGGTGATTTGTCCGGAGAAACGCTGATTTTTGTCCACGTTGGGAGCAAGCGATCCGTAGGATCGTGCGCACTACTGTTGGTTGGACGTGGCTGGCCCAAGGCCCTTGATTCAATGTAACATGTTGGCTTCGTGTTGCAGTGCGGGAACGCACCCTCTCATGAACCGCATCCTGGAACATCATGAACCAGTGTTGGGCTTTTGAATTGAACCACACGCTGTTTGTGCGTTCCTGCATGGAGGCCGCTGTTCTTGCAGCTGCTTTGCAAGCTGGTGAGAAGCCTGAACTTCGCTGTCGGGTATGGGGAGCCTTGACCATGTCAATGTCTCAAAGCAATGGACCCCCAATTGAGACGCTAGCGTGAATTGGACGACAGAAGACGAAACATAACCAGCAAAGGTAATTATATAGGCAATTCTAAGAGATGTCCCTGGTTCATCAATGCACTCGCAAGCGTGCAAGTATCTAGATTTGATGCAAACATCCCAATCATTTGAGGTTAATCAATGTTAATCATGTCCAATCATCGAGCCATCGTCAGTGATTAAACTTTGCTCAGCGCGACTTTCTGCTCAGGACTGCTTGAAGCCTGTGTCGAGGGCTGCTACAACATCCTTTCCTTGGCTGACCTAGACAAGTTTCTGGACTAACATTTGCTCCGTTTGGTTTGCATGCTGCAGAACCGTGCAAGTGCCCACACTTTGGTTTTATGTCCTAATATATGAGCCACGGTCAAAACATGCGAAGACCACTTTAGTAAAGAGGGGTAGGTTTGTGCACAAACCCCTGCAAAACGATAAGGTCCACCTCAAAACCGATAACCCCAGCGCTGTATATGATCATAAGTATGTGACGAACTCAAAACACTGCAAAACCATAAGGTCCAACTCAAAACCGATGACGTCCATTTTTTGGTTGAAGAAGAATAAGGAGTTTTGACCGTCCCTCATATAGTTTTTCTTCAATACACCGATGCAACTTTTCATGTCTATGTGTATATGTTATTTATAGTCGTGATATGTAATGGCTTGCATACTCTATACTTCTACAACGTTTAGATTCACACGCAACTTGCCCTGGCAAGTGCTACGGCCACAGTTTCAACAATGGCCGGGGCTAAGCAGAGAACAGACAGAAGAGAACAGAGAACACAGGACACAACGGAAACCAGAGAGACAAAAGGAGAGGGAAGAGAACAAAGAGAGGAGAGAAGAAAGCAGAGAGAAGAGAATAACATCCGCTGTTTACTCACAAGTTCTCCTGCACCACCTGGAGAAACCACTTTGCGGCTAAGAACACCAATATGAACACACGTTTGAACATCCTTTGCTCGTCCGCTTGTCCTTGCCGATCGAGGTTGATGGTGATCACCCAGATCTCGGTGGCCGAGGACCCTGATGAAGTGGTCGCCGAAGCGTTGCACGTTTGGGAGGCCCTGGCAGCACAGGGGCTCCAGCGTGGAGGTGAGACCAGCGATTTCGTGGAGCAAAATTTCGGGAGAGAGGGAGAGAGTCTGAAAGGAAGGGAGAGAGGAAGGGAGCGATTTCGGTTAATTCCTGTCTTGACACCTTTTTGATCACTATCCACTTCAGATTGATGGAGGGTTTGCCAGGTGGATGTTGATTTGATTCGCAAATCGAAACAGAAAGCAATTGCCAATTGCAGGTGTTTTCGAGGAAGTGGCACCAGTTCTGCCAAAAGTGCTTGTGCCACTGGTGCTTAACACCTTGGAGAGAAAGCAGCTTGGTGTCATGTCTGCAATTGGACAAACACTTCGGCTGATGATCCAATATGATCCACACCGTGATGATCCATGTATGTAGTCGCCGCTCCGGCCAAACGACCGGCCCTCCGGCGAAGCTCGACGCCGCTCGAGATGCGGGCCGCTCCCAAGGATGGCAAGAAGAGGACTCTTCTTTGGGTCTACAAGAATCTGCATGCCAGTGCCTCATGGCCATGTCTGAGGTGCCACTGACGGGAATGGAGAACGAAAGCAGGTGTCAAAAGGATTTGGAGGGGAAGGTGGTAGCAACTGCAGCCTATATTCTTTGTAGTGACGACGACTGCAGACGAAACCTCGGTTTCTCGAGGCCAATTTGTTAATCTGTTTCTCCACGCTGGGGGGGGGTCCTGTTGGGTCAGGCTTTGGCCGATCGCATCTTGGAGACGATCCTGGCCTTTCTACGAATGGCCTTTGCTTCGGAGGTTCGGCCGACCGCGTGAGGCGCGCGCGCGCGGGGGGACCTAGAGCAGCTCCGAAAAATATTCTGGCGGCTGCAAACCGAACCCTTGTTCATCTTGTTACGAGGTTCGACTCGTGTTTTGAACGTTGGACTTATGAAACATTGAATTTCAACACCATCCTTCATTATCCAAAATTTTGGGCCGCTGTTTCTCATTTAGAATGTTGGGAGCTGAGTGCACACATGCCCTCAACAGCAGTCAGGAGCCATGGCAAAGGCGGGCAGCATTTTTGGCCTTCGGGGCAGTTCAGGACCTGCAAAGGGAGGCGGAAGACCGGCCACTCACTAACCATTCACTCACTGCCCAAGTTTTCACGCCGCTGTTCACCACTATGATCCACTATGTGTATACTGTAACATCCTGCTTGAAGTGATTCAACTACAGAATCCGACATTCCGGGGTGTCAAACAGGGGTCAGTTTGTAGTGACTTGATTTTCCAAATTTTCTTGAGAATCAAACTTAGGTCTCTGACCTATCATCAAAAAGTCAGCAAACATCTCACCTGGGCACGCAGATCATTTTCTACAACGTTACTCTCAAGCTGGACATGTTGCGGTGGGCTGAAACTAAAAGGACCCTGTTTTGAAATGGCGGCGGCCTCTTTGAGGCCTCGCAAAGGCTTTTCATACCCCAGATCTGGAGCGACGTTTGCGTGCTTTCGTCGAAAGTTCGTTTTTCGGTAGGTGCCAGATGCAGGACAACTCTTTCCCCATATTTGGGCGACAAGGACCATGCACAAACAGTTTTTCTGCTTTCACCGGGGGATGGAAAGGTGTAAAACCATCGCCCCTGCAATCTCTTTAGATCAGACTCAGGATACCACATAGAACACAGGTTCCCTGTTTTTGCACTCGTTTACCCCGTGTTCGAATGGAATGAAGCTTGCTGGGGAAGAACTTTGCCCATCACTCAAGTTGCATTTAAAGTTTAGGCCATTTCAGCAGGCGGGTGGCCTTCCACCTGTCGGCTTTCGAAAATGACATCGTCCCACATGTCCACATGCAAGTATCAGCAGTTTATATATAGTTGGGACATGTTGGGACAGTCTTTCTTCGAAGCTGTTTGAAGTCGTTATATAGGAAACCTAATTTGCTTCGACCGAGCACCCTCCCTCCCCCTTCTCTCTGTGCAGCAGGAGGGCCCGGCCGCGCAGACGTTGCAGCCCATGATCCACAAGATGCTTCCGCTCTTGCTGGAGGTGGACAGAACGGACAGACTGGACGCCTGGGTTTCCTGTAAGAATCAAAGGGCGGCAGCGTTCCCCTGTGGAATGTAACAACTGGGTCCTTCTTGGCTTGAAGTATGCTTATTATAGAAAGAGCCTCTGGAAAAAGACTCAAAAGACTTGTTTCAACCTGTTGGGCGATTGAACATATTTGTAGCACCTTGGGATTCCATTGGATCCACCTCAGAAAAGAATCCAACAGCCACGCTTTCCGTGGATCTCGCTGTTTCTCCACCTTGAGACTTGAGGCCTTGAAGGCTCCGGACACCGAAGCCTCGGCGGCCGCTTGGGCACTGGGTCGAGTGCTGGAACGGAACCCGGCCTCCGTGCCCGACGAGGCGCAGGCGCGACGCCTTGCGCGGGGCGCGACAGGCGAGTGCGGGGAAAGACAAGAAAAGGGAGAGTCGAGCCACCTACTGTAGAGCGACATGGGATGGCCTCTAAGATAGACGGAGGACAACGTGCCTTGGTACTCTTCTCGAGGCCAAAATGGCAACTTCCAGTGGTGAGCTGGAAGATTTCGGTACATCCAATCACGAGGGAGACGGTTGCTACTGTATTGCTCAGTGTCAAGACCCTGAAAGGCATGGGGCACTCTCTTCACCAAACATTGACTACCTCGTCAAGTGGATGCCTTACCTACAGACGTTACAGCCTGTCATTTTCTTGTTCATTCCGGCCAGGCTTCACTCTTTGAGCTTGCCATTGTGCGATTGCGAGAGCCGGCTTTGGCTGAACAGCTTTGCCACTCGCAGACGCTAAGACCAGGCAGCAGGAGGTAGTGAGGTAGCTGTAAAAAAAAACTACCGGTTGGAAGACTTGACGCCATTCTTCCACTGCTCGGAGCTTTGCATCTTGACATTCACGGTCCAAGTCTGAGCAGGTTGAGACACCTGCTTGGAACACCCAAAGCCTGTTCAAACATTTGGTGCAGCAAGACTTGTGCATGAACAGTGCCTCTCAGATGAGGCTATTGCTTGGAAGAGATCGCTGATCAACAGGCCGGCACTCCACTGACCGCAATGAACAACAAAAAATCAGTAGATGAACAGGGGACTGTGGGGGCAGGTGAAGGAAAAGAGTTGAAAGCTTAAGCAGGGCTTGCAAACCCGGGCAGGAGACATGCCTTTGGACCTTCTCTCTAGACCTACCACATCTATGTCAGTCATACGTTGAATAGATTTTCGGGTCTCCATGGGATCTTCAACGGTTCGTGCCAATTTGGGCATGCCAAAGAGGTCTCTTCAACGCGAAAGGTCTTTTCCCTGCTCCAGGATGCTTCGCCCATGGTCGCCCCCAACTTCGACTCCGACTCGGGTCAGACTCCGTAGACCTGAGATCTCCGAGGCTTCAGATCACCCGCCTTCCCCCCGCCTTCCCCCCGCCTTCCGACATCCGTAGGCCGCGGTCTTGGAGCCAATGCTCTTTGGCCGCGTGGTGGAAGCGCTGCTCTCCGGTGCAACTGAGGCCGTGCGTCGGTGCGATCGCGGGTGTTTTGGGGGTGGTGATCAGCCACCAGACTGAGCGTGATGCTGCATGATGCTGTGGCCGAGTGGACGGGGGTCAAAACGTGAAGCATTTCTGGGTTTCATTGGCCTTAATTAGCCTATAGTTGACATGGAGCTGCATCACTGCTCCATGTCACCATTTGCCACATTGAAGAGATCCCCAAGACAGTCCCACACTGAAGTTGGATGCTCTCCAAGGGTGAAACAGTGAAACAGCTGTGGAGCGCAGGTGGAAGAGGAGAGCCGTGCACACCTGGCTTTGTTTGGCTACTCGACTCGATTTTTGCTTGTTTGGGCATTGTTTAGTATATTTTGTGACTGGTCAAATGGATCATAATAGGACAGACGCCACACAAAAGCACGCTCGTTCCTAAAGGTTGCCTCCTCGACATTCTTGGTCGGGCTGGAGAGGCAGGGGGTTCATGATACAGTCTGCTACAGCTTTTTTGCAAGCATCTTAATGCAATGTCGAGAACGTGATGGTCCATAATGCCCTCAGTGATGCTATCATTCTATTTGGGACGATGTGTGTCTATCAAATTATCTCTGCAAACAAACCCAGGCAGACCTGAATCCATCCACATCTTTCAACCGCAAGAACTGCTTCACCGACATGGTGTCACCCATTGGCACAGGACTGCTTGGAGCAGATGGAGCTGGTGCTACAAGAGGTGATGCGCCGCCTGCAGCTGAACCTGGCGCATGGCCGGCCTGGCGCTCACAGCACCGCGGTGGAGGACTACCAGTGGTAGGGGACAGGAGTGGTGGCGCTATGTGGGTTCGGGGAGAACGTCGAGAGGATGTGGTACCTGGGTAAAATGGCATGTGGTTGATGGTCTTTCGGGCTTCACGCAGTTCTATGCTGACAGGACACATACTGACTATACTCACTTTTTCTAACATGGATTTGTGTACTGTTTGTTTCTGGGGGTTGCCAGAGCTTGATTTTGAAGGCCAAACTTTGTTGCGTTTTTTGCTCAAACGGAAGCATGCCCTTCCGACAAGCGGCTCTACCAGTGAGCCAGAACAATTGAACATGGGGCCACGCCCACACTACCCCAAGCACAGGGGCCATGTCAATAGCCTAACTGCTTACCAGAATCAAGGAACTATGATGTGGACCACCAACGCCAGCTATTGTTGCCACCCCGCGATTTGGTGGTTTGCTTGCACCACAGCATCCTGCAACGTACTTAGATGGACAAATAGAATGTGAATGGTTAGGCAATCCAAGTGCATCTATTCTTGGGATTGTTTCATGCAGACCTTGCCGTGTCCAAATCCCAATGATTTCGCCCATCCCACCACCGTTTCTGCCGTCACAGCTGAGGCCTCTTCCGCAGCCTCCGTGTGCTGTTCTTCCGACTGGGTCCACGTGCAACTCCCAGGGCGGAGCAGATTGGGGAGTTGCTGAAGCGAAGCCTCAGCTTGGACGCCACAGAGGAGGAGGGACAAGATGGGAATGGAGCGAAGGAGGTGAAGGAGGAGATGAAGTTCATGCTGATCCCCAAAGCCAAAACAAGGGCAGATCAGAATGTTGATGGTCAATTTGCTCCAAGTTGGGCGAGTTTGGATTCAGATTCATGATAACAAAGCACGCTTCTTCCTGTTCCTGAGTTCTCCAGGGCGGCGCTTCTCCTTATATGGTGCTTCGTTGGTTGCTCAAAAAAGTTTCATGGTTCGTTCAAGTTTCACCCAACATGTGGCACTGGGATGTGTTTTTCGACTACCAGTAACAGTCTCCGTGAGGTAGAACGAATTATGGGAAATCCAACAACCACTTGGACTTTCTTGTAGTTTCATATTGGCATATTGGTTTACAATGTCGAACCAGGATCGGGCAAACGGGGAAACACATGTCAAGTGAAAAGAATATTATATCCTTTTATGCATTCTATAACAGTTGTATAACTTTACAAATATAACATATATAATGCAGCATTCCCTAAGGGCCTATTCTCAGCATGTTAACATGTTATCCAGATACCGTACCTGAGAGCACAGGAGGCCCTTCGAGTGATTGGCTCCCTTGCTTTGTTGACCAACACCCAGGCGTGGCTGATGGGGATGAGACGTTCGTACAGCAGGGACTGCGACAACCTCCATGAGATGGCAGTTGGTGTATGTGGGAGCCGATCGTAAATGCAAATCTAAGAATTATGAAAGGGCATGTGTATCTCAGCATCTGTGATTATAAAACCTCGCATCACGGTTGATCGGCGATTGGTTCGCGATTGAGACAAACATTTGTTGTATCAGAATCGACCATTGTAAGAGGAGAAATCAATATATTCTATGGCATGATAAGGTAGGGATTCACCCCAAAGATCTGCTAGAGGAATCTACACCCGTTGTATCCCTTTGGCGGGCCTACCTCTTCCTATACCCACAGATTCCTTAATGGTCCACATGTGGCTTGAGTTTTTGATATCTTGTCTATTTTGTATGGTAGCCCACTTTGTGGAAGATGTGAAGGCAAAAGTGAACGGCAAGCGGCAAGATCAAGAGCGTCTGAAAGGAAGCCATGGATGATTGGCCAAATTCAGCGAATCAATTTGCACCTTTGTATATGTGAGGAATTTGTGCTTGCTGCCTCCAAAAACGATTTGCCTTGGATGCCACCATGTTGCAAGGGTGCATCAAAGAGGATTTAGAGTCTAGAGTTGCAGTAGACTGTGACACTTTCACGGTTTCTTCAACAAACGCACGTAGAACGCGTGCGCTCCGCCACGCGAAACCAAGAAAAAACCGCGCTAAACCCACTACGCTCGGGTGAAGTCCCTCGACTTGACTCGACTGCACCGCCACGCGCGCGTCGCGTGACTCGTCCACCGTGTGACGAGGCGTGTCTTCAGGCCTTGGGTCCTTTCCTTTTGAAGGCCTTGCAGCAGCCGGAGATCCCCTGTGCCTGCAAGGCGGCCACCCAGGCCATCGCGCAGCTTGCCAAGGCGACACGGACGTGGACAGGTTGAATGCCTCCTTTGCAGTGATTGGGGGAGGAGACCACTAACATCCACTAACCATCTATACATATCTATAATATAACAATCATAAATATTGTTAATGCTTTTATATGCTTTTATATGCTTGGTCCTATCAAGTAATTGTCGACGTCCAATTAATGACTACCAATTGAAGGTCAGCAAGGTTTGAGATTGGAGGTATTGGAGACTGGAGACCACATCCATCCAATGAAGGTGATGACCTGATGATGGATGATGGTTGATGAGATTCTGTGTGAACCATGAGAAGTGATGCCGTCAGTGACAGTAAAACATAGTATAGCAACATAGTTGAGATGCTGAATTCGAATAATATGGATCTATTTTTGCCGGAGTGCTCTGTACCGTCAAACTCGCCGCCAACTTCCTGACCATTCCACCACAGGCAGTCGGCGAGGCCGCCAGCTGCATCTTGCTGCCCGCAGCCGACGCCTTGGTGCCGCTGCTAGCAGTGCATCCGCTTTGGGCCACACGGTGCTTGGCCGCGATCTTCCAGGTGGGCCCATGGAAGGATGGGATGCCCATTGAAATGAATTTGGCCATGATCTAGTCCACGTTTGCCCCCATCTCTTGTTGACGCATGAGGCGGAGGTCCATCAAGATCCGAGCCAATTGAACGACGATCTCTGCCAACCAGGTCCTGGGTGCGCGAACACCTCGTTTGCCAGAGCTCTTGACATCGATGCGTTCGGCATTGACCAGGATCTTGGAGGAACTGCTGTCAAGCTTTGAGGTTTGCATCGAAGTACAAGTGATGCATAGTGATACGTGTATCGTATCGTCGTATCGTGTATGTTGGGATTAAACACTTATGGAGCTATGATCAGCTATGCCAATGCATCAAATTGAATTAACACAATTTACATAATTTAATACATACTATATTTGAACAACCCATGCTAATTATTCCATGACTTGGATTTCAGGGCCACAAGTCACGGGATGTCCAATGACTGCAGGACAACGGGCAAGTTGCCCATACTGACCTGCCTGGCAGAGGCTTCCGGCGACATTGCGAGAGAAGGGCATGTTACTGTTAGTTTGCAATCTTGCATGAGCAAGCGAACTAAGTGTTGAGACGTAAAGATACTATGAGGATACGACCATGAAGTCTTGTGCACTCCCGGAACATTTTCATGAATGTGTCAAGATTCAGATGCTCGTTTTGCCCATCTCCAGGACCCCGTTTGCGTCGTGCTTGGATCTCTGAGCGGACGGCAATCAAAGATGGGAGAGAGAGTGGGAGAGAGGCATTGCTGGAGGCGTGGAGTGAGCAGATGCAACACCAAGTGACCGTTTTCTTTGCTTTACTGATTCTCCTTGGCATCATCTTAAAGGCAGACGCACATAGACATTCCCCAAAGTACGATGATCATCAGAGTCTGGAAGACGATAAATATATCTAGCAAGTGGGGAGCTAGTGCACTGTGTGGAAGAGTACAGACCAGCAACAAGAGTAGTAGTAATATGTTTCACGAACTTGAGTGACAGGCCGTGCTCTCAGCCCATGAATCTCTTCTACGCTGCAGCCGAAGTCAAGGCAAGGTTTGTTCTGAGGGAACAACTAAGGACCACAACTTGTTTAACAGAATAAACATTCTTTTGGTGTAGGTCATTTTTCAAGGCCCAAGCAAAACTTCCAACCTTCTCTTTATCAGTTTTGCCACAATGAACAGCGGGTTCTGACCATATTGTACCTTCAAACCTGTTGTTTCCGTGCTCTTCCAGAAGTGCGAGGTATGCCGCTAGGTGTGCCTTTGGCGGATGCCTGGCTGCTCTCCCTGCTCCCACACTGCCAGACCTCCTGTGCCAAGCGCACTGCCTTACTCATGCTGGCGCACTTGGCAGAGGACCCACTGCGTGGTTTGGTGGGAGGAGCAAATCGGGACCTCATGGCAAGGGAGTCAACCAACTAAAAGTGCCGATTGGAGAGATGTCACAGGTTCAGATTCTTTTGCGCTGATTTCGCAAGCTTGCATGCTTTGTTCAGACTTGTCTCTTGTGGTCCATTAGTGTTGGCATCTTAGCAGGGTTGCTTACAAGGAAAGAGGTCACCAGTCACCGTGAACTAGTAGCAAGATTGGTCGGAAGATGCTTTCATACCACATCTATATGGAAGTCAAAAGAGCCATGTAGCTCAAGTAGGTTTTAGGTGCATTTTAGGGGCACGCTCGAAGACCTAAGTCCTCCAAAGTCATGATTTACAGCTGAAGACCTTTGAGGAAATGCCGGGAGACTTGCGGGCATTCCTTGCAGCAGATGGCCACGCAAGGGCATGCGTGTTGGAGCGGCTCAATGGCAAGACACAACACAAGCTTCCTGTTGTACGTTAGCCTATTATTTGCTACCACCCTTGGCAGCTTACAAAAGGCTAACTGCTCAATGCCAGGTTCCGCTTCACCCGGCAGATTCACGTTTGTCAACGTAGATGACACTGGACGAGCTTCCTTGCATTGCATGGTGTACTTGACCACTTTAACCGGTTTGAATTAAGACTGCGGTCCGGCTCACTCAACCCAGTCAGTTGAATACAGGGATTTGGCCTCAAACGTCGCTTGGCTTACCTGGCTCCAAATGCATCAGCAGCTTCAGGCTTGCGACTGTGGGCGCAGCCGCCGCGAATAAAGCGCAGCGGGAAGCAGATCCTCGCTTGAACAAAGATGAGAGTCATAGAGAGACAGAGAGAATCACGTGAGTTGGAGCTCAAAATGGTCTCAAAGTCGAGGGGCATGCAATGGCCTTGGTATGGAAGGGATCTCACCAGAACTTGGGAGGTTTTCAGGTTGAACGAGCATTTGTTACAGACGAGACACACGAGGATGAGAATTCAGTTTCCAGCAAGACGTATGCCTGCATCCAGGCAGAGAAGCTTCGGAAGGTTCTCTAATGAGATCAGGAAGATCACAGACTCCATCGTCACCGGAAGATCTTGATGAGACAGGCAGAGATGTGATCGGACCACCGGTGACGAGTTTTCACCATCGGGTCGGTGGCAGGTTGAGCCTTATTCTGGGTCGCTTCATTGATGTTCAGAAGTCAACGGTCTCCGTTCTTTGCCAGGGTTGAGCTCCATTATTTCCAAAAGTCGACCAAAAAAAAGAAGTCAACCAGTGACATCTTCGTCGAGACTGATCGGTGATCGACGTGGGTGTTTTGAAGATTCAGATCAGTCACTGGGGTTGGCTGATGTTGAGCAAAGAGAACCACAACCACTTGTTAATTTGCCCGATTTTGAGGACATGAGAAAGGCAGCCCGAAGTATCAAAAGCGATATCAGCCTTTGGAGCCTTTGCTCAGTGACATTGATGTTGATTTGCCCCAGGATCCTTTGGCAACATCTAGGCCTGGTGAGGCGGGGTCAGTGGCCAGTGTTTGTATGAGGAAGGTATCATGTCATCTCACTGGCTTAGAGTTGATGAGAACTGCCTTGGTATCATTCACAGCTTCAAGCAGTGATCCAAGTTGATATGCTGGAATCTAAAGACGGATCTGTAGTGGAAAAGGCGGAAAAGGATTCACAACGGCCCAAGGTAAGTCAACCTGATTCTAGATATGGTAACTTGCATAAGTCCTTTGATACATCACAGTGCCCTGTGACCTTGGACACGGTGGGACATCAAAGACGGATCATGAATTTATGCTGTTTGCATGCGTTTTCTTTGTGCATACATTGTCACGCATCGTATACATCACTGCAGTCTTTGGAGCAGACAACATTGTGTCAGACCAATTCGCATAGAGAGAAGCAATGCAGATCTTTGTCAAGACTTTGACTGGCAAGACCATCACGTTGGATGTGGAGGCTAGCGATACCATCGACAATGTCAAGGCCAAGATTCAGGACAAGGAGGGCATCCCGCCTGACCAGCAGAGGCTGATCTTCGCCAGAAAGCAGTTGGAGGACGGGCGGACTTTGTCGGATTACAACATCCAGAAGGAGTCTACTCTGCACTTGGTCCTGCGATTGCGAGGAGGCATGCAGATCTTTGTGAAAACCTTGACTGGCAAGACCATCACCTTGGATGTCGAGGCCAGCGACACCATCGACAATGTCAAGGCCAAGATTCAGGACAAGGAGGGAATCCCCCCTGATCAGCAGCGTTTGATCTTTGCTGGAAAGCAGTTGGAGGACGGCCGGACTTTGTCGGACTACAACATCCAGAAGGAGTCTACTCTGCACCTGGTCCTGCGATTGCGAGGAGGCATGCAAATCTTTGTGAAGACCTTGACTGGCAAGACCATCACCTTGGATGTCGAGGCCAGCGACACCATCGACAATGTCAAGGCCAAGATTCAGGACAAGGAGGGAATCCCCCCTGATCAGCAGCGTTTGATCTTCGCCGGAAAGCAGTTGGAGGACGGCCGGACTTTGTCGGACTACAACATCCAGAAGGAGTCTACCCTCCACTTGGTCCTGCGATTGCGTGGAGGGGGGAACCTTCAACTCTACTTGAAGACATTGACCGGCAAGACCCTGACGATTGATGTTCAGGAGAGTGATACCGTCGACGTTGTCAAAGCCAAGGTTCAGGAACTGGAAGGTATGCCAGTGGCCGAGCAGTGTTTGATTTTCGGAGGAGTCCAACTGGAGGACGGCCGTAACTTGGCAGAGTACAACTTCCAACGGGAGTCCATGAGGTGTGGACACCTGGTGCCTCGTTTAAAGGGATCCCCTGAAGCCTAAGAGCCAGGCGGAGCCTTGTGGAGCCTTGGCGGAGTAGGAGTGGAGCTGCCAAAGGCGCAAGCTGAGCAAACTTGCTTGCAGGTCGTGATGTGTCTTGAGATGAAGCTTGATTTGTGTTTTGAACGGACATGCATGTTTCAACATGTTTCAACATAATTGTTGAAGTGTCAAGTAACTGGCTCCTAACTTGATTGTTCACACAGATACCTCACCTGGCGGGTGACCAGCCCTGCTTCTAGCGGCATTGGATCCTACTCCCATGCGCGTGAATGCGCAACTGCTCGCATGAAAGCTTTGACATGCAAGTGAATCATGTACAGAGCCTCCACTGCAGTCACTGCATCATCTGCATCCTGCATGGCGCGAGCCCAAGAAAGTGCTTCATTGCTCCGCGCCGTGCCCTATCCGGTCACATTAGCCCGTGTATGCACCACAGGTAGTAGTAGGTGTTTTCCCGATCAAGGAGAGTTGCATTTCCACACTTCATTTGATGCAATCCGACCATGAATGGTCCACTGGCTTCCACATGTGTTGTCAGTGAAGTGAAGATTCCGATCATGCCGACTTGATGTCTTTCTTGCCCATCCAGGGTCTTTCAACGTTTGAGTCGATGCGAGACCTTGTGTTGCCGCACCCCTGCAGGAATCTGTGACATTAAGATTCAGATGATCTACAACGAGAGCAACTTCTTCAGGTTCTGAGTGATGCAAGATGAGGTCCAACATGGTCCAACGAATATGTGCAGGACAGCTCCGTTGGTGCATCGTCAGCAGGTCATAGAGAGGACCAGGCGCCAAGTGAATCTTGCTGCGCGTGCTTCCGCGGAGCGAAGAACATGAAGAGACAAAAAGGATAATGCAGAAATCCATTAGCCATGCACTTGTGCCTAGTCTTGCGGATATGCAGAAATCATGTGCAGAGAAATCCATGTTGCGCTGCGACATGTTTCGCTGCCTCGACCACTGCTTTTGCGGCGGGTTTTCAGCTTGAAGCTGAGGACGGGACCCTCACGCAGCTCTTTGCCTTCTTTATCGAACGTTGTCGAGCGATGGCGCGGATGTGGGATGGGCGGTCAAATTTTTGTCCGTAATCCTTCATGATTCTTCGGTTGAAATCTGCTGAATCCGTTGAAAACCGTGCCCGCCCTTTTCATCCTTGTCAGGTGGGCTGTGTCGTGTGCTTTTCGCCCATTGGAGACAATTGGCGCACCCGGCTGCGACAGCGCCCTGGTTGCACTACGAGGGAAACGCTGGTGGTGAGTGACACCAATAAGATGCTGAAGTCAAGCTTCATGCCTTCACCCTTTGATAAGTCATGACGTAGGTGTTCAATGTATTCTTTTCTTTTAGCTTTCCCGCCACCCCTTTTTATTGTTGCAATGTCGACGCGATGTTGCCTTAGACCGTTTTTTGCACACAATTTTTGGCAATGCAAATGGATCATGTTCATTACCCATTGTTCAGAACATTGGGGATTTCAAATTTGCAGGATTCATCAGGTCCACACAAATCAACACATGCATGACTGATGCCGACTGATGCCTGCTTGGATCTACTGCGGAGTTAATTTCACCAGGTTTCCTTCGTTGGTGAACTGCTGTACCATCGACTGGTACACCGCTCGGAGACCCAGAGATTTGCAACAAAAAAACATGACACATCAGACATATATGATGAGATATGATGAGAAAGTCTGAGTGAAAGGGACGGTGGTTTTCTATGCTTTAAAGTTAACTTGAAAGAGTAGATACGAACTCCACAGAGGTCCAAACAGCTCGGCGTGCCTATTCGCACAAAATCGATTTGCGCAGCTCAAAAATACCGCGTGCTGGGTCTGGAACCGCGTGGAGGCATGGCCACCTGATGCTCTCATGGCGGTGGCCACCAAATTCCTGGAAGCCATCCCAGATCTGGACAATGAGGTCAGTCTGAGAGCTCATTGATGCTGGCCACGGCACTGGATTCGAAGTGCGGTAAGATTCGGTTGGAAGCTGATGTTGAATCTGACGGAACTTTGAAGCCAACCCTGCGGGTCAAAGTTCTTTCTTCAATTTGAGCTGATGGGGGGTACGATGGATAGACCATGCCAATAGACACCGGATGACACCGGCCTATAGTGTCCACAAGAACCCATCGGATCATTTTTGTTAATTATTTGAGCATCTTTGATGTGTTCAAGCTCCCGATCCTTTGGTATTCCCAACTGTCTACGACCAAGGTCAGCAAGGCTGTAAGGTCAGCAAGGCTGTAAGGTCAGCAAGGCTGTCCTCCCAGCTGAGACTGATACGACTGATGAACCCGGTACACTCTCTTGGGAATTGGGAGGGTCCCTCCTTCTTCGCCAGGTGCGACAAAACTGCGTGGAAATGTGCCAGTGAGGGGCTCAAGATGGCTCAATTCATTCAGAATGACATGGAGAGTTGAGAGTCACGAGGTGTAGAGTCTAGAGACAATTGATTGTCCAGAGACCTTTCGGGACCCCACGATTTCGATCGGGCTGACATGCAGTGAGGGCAGCCAAACGACAGGGACTGGGGGATGGTTTTCTAGAAATCCATATCCCTTTTCAGGCCCTGTACTGTACTTTCGGCACCACACCAAGGCAACAAGGGTATCGAGATGCGAACAACTCCATCGGCTGAGAACACCCCCCCCTACAAGCACCGAACTTGACGTATCCATTCTTCCAAATGCCGTTCGTCCGTTCGGCTCCACGCAGTCCACACCCGAAGTGTTCAGGTACTTCCACCTGTCCTCGAAGAAGCTGGCCGTCCGCTTTGAAGATGAACTGAAACGCTGGGGTTCCCTGGAAGATCTCTGACCGTTTCTTCAGTCCGCACGGTGCTATGCCCGGTAGTGAGCAAACACTGGTGCGTTTTGGCGTGCAAGGCATTTATTACTCGACGCCAACTTCTTTCTTGGAGCTGATTCAAACCTTTAAGGTGCCTTGCCGCTATGTCATGTGGTTCTTGAACATAGTTGGCACGGCTCAGCTTGGGCACACCCCCAAGCCCATAACACTTCAATCAAAACAAGTTGGTACCCGGGCCGTATTGTTTGAGCATGTTTGAGCCTATGCCTTTTTCCCTGAGTCATCATCACGTATTGCTTTACATTGTGCTGGCTGCCGTTGCTCTGCCCCAACCTACGCTTTGTGCAGTCTCTTCTGGGGGAGAAGCGCGATTCTATCAGCAGCTTGAAATCAAAGTACGAGGCGGGACACAGATGCACTCAACAGGCTTGCCATTCCCGCTAGCTATGCAAACTGTGTTGTGGGGAACCCCTACCAAATCGAGCCGGTGCACTGCACAGCACTGCCAGGTTGGCCTGGAGAAGCTGACGACCACCGAGCAATCGGTGGAAGGAATGAAGCAGGAGGGGAGCTCTCAGGGATGCCTCAGGTATGCTATGGATTGCCCGGGCATGTGACATCAAAGTGTAGATCAATGTGTTTATGCTTGACAATCTTGACATGGAATGACATACAATGGCTAGGTAGGACACGCACTTAGCAGCGGAAGCTGACCCAACCCATAATTGCCCAGATTTTCACACTCTCGACCTCTCAGAAGCTCAATGCGGAAAGCAACACAGGAGCTGATAGCACTTCAACCCAAGTTGGTGGAGAAGAACAAAGAGGCCATGGTGACATGCATGGCAATGCTACCTTCAGAACCATTTGCTTTGCTTCCCTGCAGGTTGGAGAGATGATGATCGTGGTGAATGAGGCCGCTAGTGCGTGGTCGACTTCAAAGTCTGATTAAATGTGGCGACCATTCAACGACCATTGAATTATGATTGAGCGGTCCACCATGGTTCAACCAGCTTCCATTTTTAAAGGATTTAGGATATTTAGGGATCCACTGGGAGCTTCAGCGTGGCCACGGTGGTAGACGGTCGTCGATTCAGGAAAGTGCCAAGACAGAGAAGGTCAAAGAGGCTAGCACCGTCAGACACGACTGCTAGAGGTGACCGATTTGTTTTTACCGAATCAGCGAATCGGTTCAAAAGAAAGTTGAACAGTTAATTTAATGTAGGTCTTGCATGGCCTTGCTATGTCTTGTGCGTATTTTTTTGCTAAACGATTACTTGAGCAGTAAGTATGGCTGCCCGCGATCTAGCAACGATGCTGAATGGATCCTAATGGGAATCAGACCAGTAGTCGAGTAGCATTGAATGGACAGCTTGTTTCTTGACTTTGCTCCATTTCTGCAAGTTTAAAGCTCGCATGGACTCTGAGGTTGTGGCTGCAGATGAGGCTGTTGCCAGCAAGGCTGCAGCTGAAGCTGACGGCATCAAGAAGGACACTGATTCGCCGTTTGTTTCAGTATTGTGTAGTCACGTCTCAAGAACTCAGAATTCTGTGCGCTAATAGCATCATCCACAAGCAACTCAGGTAACATTATATAGTTAGCAATGTCATTGGAGGCGCGATTGTTAAAACACAATGTTTGGATTAGGTGCGGATGGACATGGGTACGCTTTGAGATACACTCACCAAATTGTGATAGCCGCTAAACGGTCACCCAAACTTCCATGTCCATTCGGCAAACAGTTGTGTAACTTTAAGCATCTCTCACAATATCAGAACGCCCACCGATTAAGGCCTGCATGCCTGCTCTTCCTTTAGATTCATGCCATCGCAGGAGTGCGAAGAGGCCTTGGCTGAAGCAATGTCGTGGCCTAAGAGTACATTGCGTCGTTTTGGTGTCGACCTGATTTCAAGAACATAAAAAGTGAGGGATAGTGAAGGAGAAACTATGTCGGATCTGGAGCTCAACATCACCTGGACATCATATCCTCCCAGATTGACTCTAGACTCGGCGTCCTCGTCCAGGCCTGCCTTGAACGAAGCGCTGAAGGCCTTAGATACGCTTTCCAGCAAAGAAATCGCAGAGGTGAAGGCACTGATGCCGCGGTCTTCGACTCGTCCCGCCTCTGACCTTGGTCTGCGCGGGCGTCGTAAGCGAGCGGTTGGAGGGCGAGGGAGGTGCTGAGGGAGATGCAAAAGGAACTCCTGGAAGGGAAGGACTGGAGTAACTTCTTTTTTGTTTTTTACATTTCTTTGGATAGATACTGTAATATCAATGAATGAGAATGCAACTACATGTTCTTTGAATTAACGAACAGATTATGAGATTTTCCTGGCAAGCAATGGAGGAATGTAGACCCATCCTCGTCCAACAGCTCAGTGGTTTGCAATTCAGCCAGGCCATGAAGAATCCGGCGGCACCAGTACGACTCGTGCTCTCAGCTGTTTGCGTTCTTCGGAATGTCACTGTCCCAGGGTGAAGCAGGCTTAGCTTTCTACGGATGTGCTACGGGTTGGTACGGGGTGGGCAGGAGTCACCCATGTCAATGCTGACAATTACACGGGGCCCAGAGCGCCATCCCCAAAACGAGCGCCAGTTGCCAGTTGCTGCTTTGTGAGAGAGAGATGAGAAATCTGTAGGGAAGGAAGATGAAGGAGCTTTTGCGCCCGCCAACATGCATGCCTATGACTCGTACGAGCGAAACGACCCTGAGGTGAAGCCTGTGAGGGTGAAAGACGAGAGTGGCAAAATGGTTTGGAGCTCAGCGGCTGGGGGAGATTGCAGATAGCGCGGCTGACATTCTGATGCTTGTTCAATTCTTTGGTCTCTTTTTGTTGGTGGCACCATTTAAAAACAACTTTCCTGAACGAAGACAGCCTGTATTTGGGTGCGTTTCTCTCCTTGGCTTGCTAAGGTGGATGACTTCTGGCCAGCTGCTGTAAAGATGATCTCTGACATGGGCTTTCTGCAATCTTTGCCACTTGGCACAAACACCATTCTTCCTGTGACGCCTGTGGAGAGCAGCAGTCACCAGGTGAACATACGTACCATGGACCTGGATGTATATGTCATATGTGAGAAGACACAGTCAAAGATTGACATTGTCACGTCGAGAGGAGTGAGATAAACATCAAACGTTGGCCACGATTTTGGAAATGCTGAGGCAAACCTTCGATAAAGACAACATCCCACCTGCCACCATCAAAAAGATCGCGGAGTATACGGTGAAGGAGGACTTTCAACCAGATCGAGTCACGGCCTCAGGATTTGCGCGGATATGCCAATGGAATATTTGCTTTGCTGAGGTCCAGAAGTCTTCGACGGCTGCTTGGGGTTTCGCTGTCTGCTTTACTCCATGCTGTTTGGGATGCCTTCCTTTAAATATCGTTTTGTGAAGCTAATTCATCGGTGGAAGACCTTTGACGGGAACTTGTCATGACAGGTCTTTGCATGTGGGTCCGTGCCATGGAGACCTACGATCGGGTGGCCAAGGCGACGGGCGACGCTCGATCGGTGGACAACGTTGTTCCGGAAACGACAGGTCTCCTGGCAGAGATGCGATTGATTATTGCTGCCGTGCAACTAGAGTCTTTGAGCATCTTTGAGCCATGTCCGGATCCGCATATCAGAATATCTCAGTCATTCTCAGAGGGGGAGAGAATCCCCGAAGCAAAAGCGTGACAATGCTCACTTCTGAAACATTTGGGCCTGGCCTGACTGAAATCATGTCATTAGTTTGAAGCAGCCCGTGGCCTTGTTCAGGTTGTAGCGCCAAAGAAAGACAGCCTGGCTGAAGCAGAAGCAGCCTACCAGGGAGTGATGGGAAAGCTGCAGGAGAAGCGTCAGGTCCTTGGCTTGTTCAAATCCAAAGATCGAGACCATCCTTACTGCCCGGCTGTTGACGCGCTCTCGCTGGGCTTCGACTGGGAGCTATTGTGAGTTACTTTCGTGTATGTGCGTTTTTGCGCTTGCATTCTAGCCAACCATTTGCTTCAAAATCATGGGTGATTGGCAAGTGCAACGAATCGTTGCACAGAAATGGACCCTTTAAGCACAGGGTTTTGGCACCGCCGACGACGAGCTTGAAGGGTTTGGATATGGTTACTTTCCAGTGTTCTGTGTTCACCCTAAAAAGACTGACCCACAGTCATGAGTCATAGTCCATCCATGGTTGGTTTTAGGTCCTACATCACAACATCTCCATTGTCCTATTGTGTTGCAAGTTTCTTCCTTCAGGGGTCTTCATCCCAGCCATCCTCAGTACCCTCCAAAAAGGCGCTTTCCGCGCTCGCGCTTTGAGGCGCCGAGCTGCAGAAGGTCATGGATGAGCTCACCGCCTTGAACGAGAAGCTCTCCTCATTGAGGTGGATTGGAGTTGGGAATCCAGATGGAGCATGGCAATGTCTCTATGATGGGGAAGCTGCCAGGGGCAGTGTAATTATGGGGTGAAGTTGGGTCGGCTCCCACCATATTGGGCTCTGTCAAGAGAATCAGTTCAATGCAGTTCCACAATTTTGAACGCAGGCATCGCTATGCATCGCTGCATCGCTATGCATCGCTGCATCGCTATTCCCTGCAGAAGGTTTTTAGTTGGTCATTTCGCAATCCCTGTCGCCACTTGTCATCTCCTGCAGGCAGGAACAGGATAACCTGACCAACGAAGTGGACTTGTGCCAGAAGAAGCTCGAGAGAGCCAGGACCACAGCAGGAGCGTTCCGATGTGTTGGCAGACGAAACACGACATGAGTTTCAGCCTTCAGGGCAAAGAACCATGGACAACCCTTGGAGCAGAGTCATGCAAAGACTTCAAACATTTGAAGATAGATTGGTCGTGAGTTGGGACAGTTCTTTTGTTTCATCAACATCCATCATCAATCATCTGCACTGCTAGACATTTTCACCAACAGCATCCACCCAAAGAAGAGCAAACAGAAAACCAAAAAACATTGGCTAACAAGAATAACCACCGCCGCTGGACCTTTTTCCACGACATCCAACAAGCCATCATCCCACACCTGGTTGACATCCACCACTGGGGACAACCATGTTGCACCCTTTCCCAGTTTCCTTATCGACCTCCGAGTATAGCCCCTAGTAGCGTCCTTGCTCCTAGTAGCGATGGCGATGCCAGGAGTCCCGAGTAGCTTCTTGTTCCTAGTAGCGTCCTTATGATCCCCAAGGCCGAGACGTTGATTACCTCCCTGGGCGGTGAGAAGACTCGCTGGACGCAGAACGCCATCGACTTGGCGGTGCGGAGCCCTAGCGTCAACCGACCATTCGTGGAGGTGAAGAATGGTGAAGACACGGGACCTCGGATGACCTCGGTGGGTCACAGGGCTTGTGGATGGTGGTTTGATGTTGATGTGCTTTTGGTGGTGATAGTGACACATAATATGACTTCAGACATACGCCCTACCTTATGAACTTATTTGGAGGTGGGAGTGACTTAGTGAAATAACTTAACTAAACGTATTACGTACTTGGCAAGCCATGTAGGTGGTGGTTAAAAACAAACAAACATTAACTAAAACTGTCAAGGTGGTGCATGTCTTTCATTTTGATATTATTTCTACATAATTTTGAGTCTATGGGGACCCACATAAACAGCATTATTTCTAAATGATTTCGAGTTATATATTGAGAGCAGTGAGCTGACTTTTGAGGCAATTCCTCGTGAGCGGTTGTTTCTCTGCCCGAAGGAAACAGGAGAACAGGAAAAGAGCTTGGGTAAAAAAGGCACACATAGTCGTTGGAAACAGTGGGAAAGGCGGAAGGAAAGGAGCATGGCCACCAAACCCATATAGATAAATTAATTGAGGGGTGGGTGACTACACAGCCACCCATTAAATGCGCCTCAACAGGAGAAAAAAGGTGGAAAAGGGCAGAGAACAAACAGGAAGGACACCAGGGAAAAAGGAAAAGCGATTGCTAAAATATTGCGCACATAGTTGGAGATGTCAACAGACAGCTGGGTACTGAAACCGGTGTTTGCTTGTGAGAAAATTGCGCCTTTTTGGCTGTTGGAACTTGGAACCGTAGATTACTTGCTAAGCTTCTTGTTACTAGTAGTAAGAATGCTCCTAGTAGCGAACATTGCTACCAAGGTGGTTGACTACTCAACTACTTATTATGACACTGTCACCCACCGTACCACCCACCTCAAAAACATATTCTCTTATTTTGAGGTGGATGGAGATAGCCGCATGAAACTATTTCTAGACTCACACTGTGAAATAATGTACAGGTTTTCATAAGAATTTCCAACATAGGTCTGACATGAGACCACCTAGGTGGGACAACTGTAAGTCGGCCAGGCAGCGAGGATCCAGAATAGGCATCAACATTCCTAAGCCTACAGTAAATGGTCCCCACAAAATAGACATTGACACATAGAGTAGAGGTTGTTCTCCCCTGAATCTATGTACTTTAAGCTTTGATAAATTCGCATTTCCCCAGGTGGTGTATCCATAATCTTGTTGATTCTTCAAAACCTTGCCTAAAGCACCCCAGCGCTGATGCACGTGCAGCTAGGATTACTTGTTGTGCCCATCTAAAACTATCCAGCCGAAACTGGTTTCACACATGGATAGAGCAGTCAGCGCGCGCGCGCGTGATGGTCGTCATGGTCGTCGCCAGGCCGATTATGTGAATCTCACCGGTGACGTGCTCCCGACGTGTTTTTGTGCTGGTTGGACGACGTCAGCTTCGCACTTGACTCTGGTGGAGGGAGGACGTTTGGACTTACTACTCCCGAAAACCAGTTTACAGGCTTTTCTTTGGACACTTTTATATATTTGGGAAACAAGTTGTGATTGAACATATTCCAAAGGAAGTCAATAGGAATCCACAAAGGGCCGTCGCCGCCAAGCCCTAGCATCTATCAAACTGCCAGTGAACTTTGGATGTCTGATACGTTGGAGAGGATAATCATATAAAGAGCTGTTGTCATCCACATCAGTTTTTGGGTTATGGAGGCGTGCATGCTGCATTGGGCATCCAGCTGCGGCACAATTCTGTGCTAGTCCGGTTATGTCCATGAACTCATAACCTCCACCACTTTGGATCATCTTGGCACAAAGCAATCCTTCGTAGCGATTCTGTCGTCACTGTCAGGACAGTTACACCAAAATCACCATGGTTCGTAATTGATAGTTGATTCTTTTTAGTAACCAACCCCCTAATCAATCCAGTGGAATCCTGAAGTCTAAACATGCCAAGGACTTTCTGTTGGAGTTTCCAAGTGCGTTTAGGCGGCCGTAACATGGTTTGGCAGCTGCTGGTATTGGGCAGTGGAAACTACAGCGATGAGGTCGGTGCGCTGCCAGGAGCAATTGCAGATGCAAAAGCATTTGCGGCGAAGATTGGAGGCAGCGAGTTGTGCGACTCTCCTCCAGCAGCATTGCTAGACCTCACTGCAGCTGCTCACTATCAACACATCGATGCTTGGATCGAGGCACCAGACGAGCAGAAGATGTTGTATTGTGCAGGGCATGGCTGCAGGTGCGGAGGCATTTTTTGCAGCTAAGCCTTGCTGAATAGTACATGTTTGTCACATTTGGCCCTGTGTTCTCCTTGGTCTTGTGGCCTGCGGTGCCAAATCTGGACCTGCATAGGAACAAAAGAAGGTAACAAAGGTATCAAACGAAGCGACCTGGTTGCAGGTATGTCCAACCTACAACCTACCCAACATTCATGACATGCTTTGTTTTATTCCCTGTTCCCTATGCCAAGTTTCGAATCATTCTTTTGGGATGTGAAGATTGTAGGCTTCAGCATACTCAGCCAGCTAGCCTGTCTCAGGCCTGGAGACCATCGACGGCCAACTGATTCCTATCCAGAACTACATCAGAAAGAAAGTTGACGCAGTGAACAAACAAGGCATCACTGTAGCCTGCTTTTTCGCTACCTGCCAAGGCCAACATACCGGTCAGCTACCTGAAGACAAGATTGGTCAAGAGTTGGAGCACACCTTCGCAGGTGGCGACAACTTGTTTGCATTTTCCTACAACTGCGAGCCTGGGAAGCTGGTGCTGGACTACAGCAATATGTATACAAAAATCCTAATTGGTCTCCTGCTTGAGGGTGGCGAAGATGTACAAGGAGCCTGTACCTCGTTGCAGGAGGTCCTGGAGGATTTACCTGACAAGGTATTCCAAGTGTCAGCTCACATGGAACGTCCTTGGAATGAGAGTAACCTGGGCAGGGGCTCTCGTGCTGTCCTTTGGAAGGAGTTGTGTTCTTTGTCACCAACCCCTTCCTCAACTGCGGAGGCTCAGGAAGCTGTCCTGGCTCTGGAGGTGCCTGTGCCTGCAGTTTGCCGAGACTGGGAGGGAACGATGACATTGTGGAAAGACAGGTTCGTGCACGAAGACGGTGGCGTAGGAGCCATGTTGACTCTGTCCGTAGGGTTTGTGGAGGCATTGAGCAACTTCAAATTACGCCACAGTGATGCCACGGACTGGGAGTTCTTGCTTGTCCTGCCAAGTCACATGGCCCTCATCAAAGAATACTTGTGTAGGCTGGGCCTTCGTTTTCCTGAGCGAGCATCCGCTTGGGCAGATGCCTTGCAACAAATCCTGTTGTCAGCTGATGATGAGCAAGCCAAGGCAATTTACATGATTCTTGCTCGGTACGCAACCAACGTCTACAATCTTCAGCTCAAGCGGATGGTTGATCACGAAGTCGGGCTGGATCATGAGGTTCTGCTGCGAGTTGAGCGATGCCTGAGCGTGGCTGCGAACGGCTTGGTGCAGCAATGCATGCACACAAACAAGATTACTCAAAATGTTCTCGCCACACTTCACTGCTGGGCAGTAGCACACAGATGGCTCGGGAACCATAGCAAGTGCAATGAAATTCTTGTTGATATGTTCCGGCCTTTGCTGCAGCGTGCAGCGGAAGATGTTCAGACGTTTTGGCTGGCTCGACGGGCCGAAGCGCAAAATTACCGATTTCTGCGCAGTTTGCGATCAAATAATGTGTCGCTGCCCGTTTCTGATGGCGACGTGGGCCCTTTCCTATATGACGCTACTCGATGGTACTTCGGGTCGCTGCTGGGACAGGTCTCCAACACAGACTTTGCATTTCACATGGAGTTGAATGAGTTGCTGACGTGGCAACCGCATGAAGGGAAGCTGTGTACACCCTGCATACCCTTGTGCCATTGTGCGTACAGATCCATGCTTGTTCGAACAGTATCCTCACATTACCGTGTAGTGCCGCGTGAGCTTGGCACGCTGTGCTTTCCCTGGGCGAGAGCTTGGATGCTTGTTTGTCAAGGCAACTCAGGCAGCTTGGTCTGGCAGACATCCCGCCACAGGAGGATCGGCAAACAGGTGCCGGAAGGTGTTGAGTCAGCATCCGATTTGGTTGTATATGCAGCCAAAGCCGGCCAGGTGGTGCTCTTGCAGAGGATGCTTTGACAGTTGTTCTTTGCGACATGTGAAGGTCAACAGCGAGTAATTAGCAGCGGCATGCTTCATAGCAATGCGATGAATTGCGCGTGGTGTATCCTGTGTGCAAAAAAATTAACATCGTTTGGCCTCCAGTTTGCCTTCCTGTCCTTCACACTCGCCGGAACACTCGTCATGTTCCTCAAATGTGAGCTGTAAAGACTCAGAATACCATTTGGCCAAAACAAAAAGTGGCTTTGAGATGACTTCTAGCTGCTAGCTTTGGGTCGACTTGATTCGCCCATTTACCTCCAAACCCGCCCTTTCGCCGCTTGCATGTCCGTGGCAGGTCATCGTGGCCAGCGGCTTGATTGCATACCTGGGTGCCTTCACGCCGGACTTCCGCGAGAGTGCCGTGAGGCGAGCGGGGAGATTTGCTTGAAGGATGCCCCCCCAAGGATGGCTGAGTCAACTGTTGAATTGTGTCCTCCACAAAGAGAAATGAGCGAATTGGACCTTCTACCAGGAAAGAAACACAGGGCTAATCGATGCCAGAACGATGATGCTTTTCCATGCCAGATGAGAAGTTTGCGTCCATGACGTGACAACATCTATATAATCCCTTCAGAAGTACAGGTCCACATCAGCACCGAACCCCCCGCCCTTGGGCCATGCCGTTTGGGTCACAACGTCCGCTTCTTCATGGGGCGCAGCGGTCAGGGTCACCGGTTCGCGTCGTCACCGGCCAGGGAGTGGGCGGGAGAGTCCCGGGAGCGTGCGATCCCGGGCTCTGAGAAGTTCAGTTTGGAGCACTGTTTGGGTGAGCCAGTGAAGGCAGGGCGTGGGAGTGAAGGCAGGGCGTGGGAGTGAATGTGCAAGGTGTATCAAGGCACCGTTTGCGTAAGTCCTACGTTTGGGGGTCTTGAGGCAGAACGCGATTCCACAGTTTGGCATGGGAAGTCACTGCTTTGTGCGGACAGGTGGGAAGCGACGGTTCAGTTGTCTCAATGTAGTATATAGATAAGCTGGACATGTCCACCCCAAATAAGTCAACATGTTCAATTGCCCCCCTCTCCCTTGGAGCTAATATACCTGCTCAGTTTCATCACATTATGTTAGTCAGATTCTATTGTGGCTGTCACCACTCAGAGGTTGGTCTAGATTTGCCTATGACAGTCCTATTGACAGATGGTCGAGCAATGGACATCAATGGACCTTGGCAATGAAAGGCCCGCTTCCCACTCTTGAGTAACTCAGACCAGATGCCATCGTCACTCCAAGTGACCAAGGTTTTGGCTTGGCATTTTGCAGGTCCGTGCCTGGGTCGTGGCTGGCTTGCCCAACGATTCCTTCAGCATCGAGAATGGCATCATCATGGACAAGGCCCGTTTAAACCGTTTATAGGGGGCATCGCTTGCATTGGCAGGTTTCTCAAAGCTTGGAATCTCCGAAGAAACGGCTTCATGGCATTATGTCAATACGTCAACACCCTAAAGGTTCTATGTGCCAATGTTCAAAGTTCCACGTTCAGTGGCCTTCGTGATTGCAAGACCTTTCTTTTTCTGTCCCGTGGTTCACAGGCGCGACGGTGGGAGTGCTCAGATGTGCTTTTTTTGCAGAGTCGTAGTTTGGCTCAGCTTGAAAGCGGGCGTGAGGTGATAGAGGGTGATGGTCATGGTAATTACAATTTAGATTCTTATTGTTGCTAGTAGTAAGGCACTTGTTTCTAGTAGCTTCTTGTTACTACTAGTAAGGCACTTGTTCCTAGTAGCGATGCACTTGTTACTAGCTGGTCATGGCGCTGGTCACACCCCCACGGTGTCGACATGGAACGAGGAACGAGGGTCCGACTCCTTGGGGGATTTCAGGTCCAAGGTCCATCATCTAATGAACCTAGTGGAAGCTGGTACTGGTTCGAAGCTCATTTAGCATATAGTGAAGCTGTACTGTGAAGCTGTAGTTGTTTTTTTATTGTAGTTAATCCTTGAGTTCCGGCGTTCCCACATGGACCGCATGGAGCAGTCGAGTCGAATTCGTGGGCCTCGACACTTCGACCACCTCAGGTGGCCTTTGTGCATCGACCCACAAGGGCAGGCGAATCGGTGGATCAAGAAGCCGCCCTGCCATGTCTTTCTCCCGGAAGGCCGAAGCTCGGCCTTTTGGATGGTGTTGGGTCATGGTGCTGCCTGTGCTAAGCTGAGAAAGCTGATGGCCAGGATGGGTCAACCCCTTCAGCTCGTGGTGGCCAAGTTCACTGATGGAGACTACCTGAAGCGCCTGGAAGGCGGGATTGAAGAAATATGAAGACATCGGATTTGAATGAAACTTCAAAGACATACTAGAAAGCTTCTTGCTACTAGTAGCGATGGCCTCCACCTAATAGCGTCCTTGCTACTAGTAACTTCTTGTTACTATAGTAGGATTTAACAGGTGTCTGAAGGTTTTGGGGTATTTCAGAAGATCTTTGGTCCCATTCAGTTTCTGCCAAGCTCCAGGTTGCATCCAGTTTGGGAACCCCATGTTGATCGAGAACGTGCAAGAGGAGTGAGATCGATGATGAAATCGATCATGAGATCGATCGATCTGGCAAGGGGATGCTCATGAGTATGTTCATGCATTCTACTGGTACTTCCAGATTCTCCATTGTCGGCCCCAACCAGCAGAACATCATTAGACCTTCGACATTGGAGCCGCAAAAGGACGGACCTGAAGGGTACTCATTGTTGGGTGAAGCGCACTTGTTCAAAAAACACAACTTCTTGCCAAGCTGTTTTCAAATGGTACCATGTGTTCTCCGCTTTGGTGTCCCATGTTGCTGTTGGTTCAGTGGAAAACTGAAAACGGAGCCAGGAGACGGATCCGGCCGTGGAACCAGTGCTGCTCCGGCAGACCTTCAAGAAGGGAAGTGCGCACCGACCTTGGCGGAAGGAGATGGCCGAGTTTAAGATTCTTTAACATAATATGTTTAGATTTAAGATGATTTAACCTGATATTTTATATATCAAATACAACAAGGGTATTGTGAGGCAATGGATGGTCAATGGGTCTGTGTGCAAGACTTGGATCCCCCGATCCCCCCATAGCGTTTTTCTGGTTTCGGGCTTGAAAACCATGTTTGTCCCATTTTATCACATGTTTGTCAGGGTGGTGACAGTGGTGAATACATTTGGGTGGCCGCAACTGGTCGGCCTGGGATTTGAGCCAAGTGTATTACCTGAGCGGACTGGACAAGAATCTGTGTGTCAAAGATAAGCAAGGATTCTTGCGGTGGGTGTGAATTTTCAAAGGCTGACCCCTGAATGGTTTGCAATGTTTTGCAACAACTGCTGGATGCAAAGGACATGTACTTCTTTGCAAGTCTTTGCTTAAAGCCATCAGAATTTGCCACATGTGGCCCTGGGGATCGACCTTGGACCGAAGGCCGAAGGGTTGTGGTTTCGATGCCGAACATCGTATCGGCAGATCTCCGCTCAGGATTATGATCCGGCTTGGTGAGGCCGGATGGGCCGGCGTTTGGCGGGAGTGGAAGCACGAGCGGTTCCAGTCGAAGTTTGGCAGAAAAGCAACAGGAAAGATATGAATTGAGATATGACACATCAAGTAATATTAATATAATACTTACAGTATTATAGTTGGGAGTTATCCAAAAGGTCCTTGTAAGGGTTTTTAATGTCGAGAGCCTTGGATGACATGATCGTGGGTCTCGCGAAAGTTCTTTTTCGAGTTCGCGAATGTTAATGTTTTTTTCGCGAAAGATTCGCGAAAGTATGAATTTTTATTGTATGTTCTTTGGCGAGCCTTCAGGCTTGCCCCATGCATTACCACATCCTTTTCTGACCGTCAGCAGCTTCAACTTTGGAATCCGTGTGAAGCTTCCTTCCTGTTTCATGTAGTCCACCCTATGTTATGTATGCCGTAAAAACCTCCAAAGCACAGGGATTATTTCGCGAAAGTTTCGCGAAAGTCTGGCGAAGGTTTCGGCGAATGAATCGGCTCCAGAGGAACCCCGTAGCCCATAGCAACCCCACAAACTGTATTTAGAAATCGAGTCCCTACCAGGTTAAATGGTTTCATGACATGGTGAACCCCCGCGAAAGAAAAACACGGGGTTCGCGAAAGTTTCGCGAATGTTAATGTTTTTTTCGCGAAGAATGGCCGTTTCAATAAACAAGAATATTGGACAACCACCAGTTATATAAATAGTATTCCCAGCTTCTCTTTTTTAAAAACAAGCGCCGCCAGTCGACCATTGAATGGTCCAAGAGCTTCAAGTTCTATTTGACCACCAAGCTGCGGAACCCTCACTACCTGCCGGAGGTGCTGTGCTGACCACCGAGAGAGACATGAGAGACGGAAGTGTGGAGGAATTGTTCCAGGGTTGATCGAACCTCAACCGGATGGGCCTAGGGTAGGTATTTCCTTATAAGGTCATTTGCAGGTTTGGTTCGGTGGTGAATGCTTGGAAGGCATACCTCTCCCTTGAGACAGGTGGCAGCGAACATGTCTGGAGTGAAGAAATGGGAACCAGCGAGTCTCGGTTCACGTGCTGCGTCCGGTCCTGTCAGGTAGCTGTCAAGGTCACCTTGCTGAACTTCATGATCACGCAGGCTGGTATGCTACAGCCGCGTCACGGCCTTTCAGTTGCTAGCGCTGCTGGTGTATGCAAATGCTGGGGGCTTTTGGCAAGCTCTCCGCAGGTTGGACTGCAAGATCAACTGCTCAACATTGTAGTTGAAAAGGCAAGCACCGGACCCGTGAAATTGAGAGCTGTTTGTGGCTCATTCTGGTTTGGCATGAGTCCAGCAAATTCTCCGAAGAAAGCGGAGTCCAAACGCCATGTACCGCACTGTAAAGCATCAACAGAAGAAGAAGCGGCAGTTTCCATGAAGTTCCTGTCATATTGCTGTCAAGCTCTTGTGAACCAGCAAACAACATTCAGAGATCCATACATTTCTAAGTGTTTAACCTATACTGACATGTGTTTCATTCTGAACACCTGGGTTCTCTTCACATTGCGCTGCGGGAGCAGCCTCAGGAGCGTCCGGACCTGGCGGAGGAGAAGGCCCGCCTGGTGGTGGAAGGCGCCACCGAGAAAGGAACGGGGAGAATCTTTTGGACGCATCATAGCTCACGCTATTCACTTGGTTCTAGAGTTTTTTGGGAAACTTTACAAGTGCGTAACCATTGACCCCATGATTTCATGACCCATCCATGGTGGCGAAACTCTGACAGTTGTATGGATGGTTTGGGGATGTGGGTTTTCCGGTCGAGAACATCGATTCTAAGGCGACAGTTGGAGTGTCAGGATGTTCGAGGATGGCTCCTGTGATCCTGGGATCGAAGAGGAATCCAAGAGCCACATTGAAGTCATCTCATTGTTTGAACCAAGAAGAATCAACATAGGCCAACGTCAGAGGCTGCAGCCCATTTGTAGAATTATGCCTGTCAAGTCAAACCAAACACCCTCCAATTCTGTGTTCCTCCTGCTTTTGCTTTTTCTCATCAAACACCTGGGAAACGCCAAGAAGGTTGCCAAAAAAGCATCAAAGACAAAAGCCTTGGAGCCCATGCTGTGCCCTGTTTGATTGACATTGGACCGGCTGGAGGGTCTGATCCATCTCGCAGGTGCCGAGAACAAGGAGCAATTGGAACTCACTGAGAATAAGATCCTGGATGCTGCCTGGCGCAAGACTTTTTGGGTTGAAGATGAAGTGGGAAGAAAATGATGCATCATTGCAGGGACGTGCCACTGGCATTGACCCACAACCAAATGGCTTGGTCTCAGAGACTTAGCACCCACAGAAAGATAGAAACCCTCAAAAAGGACCTAATAGCGATGGCCTCCAACCTACGAGCGATGACCTCCTGGTATCAAAGATCTTTCATTTTGCAACAAACCCAATTCATTTGGCGTTCCGTTTGCAGACAGAGAAGCATAGCGCATGATGGTATGATGGGGCATACTGACCATACTCAACCTCGGACTGGGTCAATGGGTGTACTGAACCTTTGACTCCAAGTAGGACCTCAGCCTTTTGACAGGTGCTGAGCTCATCTCAAGGAAACATTTTGGAGGATGAGGCAGCCGTTCAGGCTGGGGAGACGTTCTGGATTTTCTGGGACGTTGGGGAGCTTTGGAACATCTTGTTGTTTGGAACTATGATTTCGTCACGTTGCCATGCTGCTCACGCTGGCCAGGTGCTATCCGCCTCCAAGCAGCTTTCCAACGAAATCGCTGGGGGCGCTCAAGGTCACAGATGTCACAGAACTTCGAAACATTTCGGCGTTTTGGGGCCCAGCATGTTAGAACTCGGATAAACCGAAATAAGAAGTGTAGGTTGGAGGCCATGGCTATGGCTATTAGCAACAAGCAAGAAATACTGCAGGATGTTCTTATAGGTCTCATTCCCATCGGTCTCATTTTCAGCGAGCCCACGGAAGGCACCCTCAACGGAAGACCCAAGGCCCAGAAGCAGCAGACCGCTGAGACCACGGAGCGTCAGATTGATGAAGCGCGACTCCAATATGTTCCGGTGGCGTTGGGCACTCAGCATATGCCCTTTGTCACTTCATAGCGTATGACCTTTGGTATCCTTTTAGCGTATGACTTGAACTTCTTGCAAAGGCCCAAGTCTGCCCCTTTTTATCCTTTTTCCTCCATGATCACTATTTTCTGCTGGTATGAATTCTACAGTCAGTGGCAGGTTCCAGACAGCAATCCTCTTCTTCTGCATTGCCGACTTGGCCAACATCGTCCCCAAGCCCAGATTGCGCCCTTGTGGCTGTTTTCTGTAAGCATTCCAAAAAGGAAGGACACTCGGTGACTCGGTGTTCCTCTAAGGATCCGATGTACCAATACTCCTTGCCCTTCTTTATCAACCTCTTCAGAGCAGCGATTTCGAAGTCCGAGAAAACCGACGACATTGCCGGGGCGCTCAGTTCGGTCTTCAGGGGAAACAGCGCTCAGTTTGGTCTCTTGCCAAGGTGCTTGCAGTTGCAGTCAGAGTGATTTCTGGTTCGAGTGCCTTTTTGCATCGCAGAGAGATTTAGCAACCCCCTGATCCAAGGGCATGCGCATTTTGATCCTCAACGACTTCTTCATGGACCCATTGCTTTTGACAGATGATGGTAGCTGGGTTTTCTGCAATACCTTTCATTTCCCACCTTTCTCTGTCAAGAGTTTGCTAGGCTTCTAGGCACAGTCAGACAGGGAATTGGCTGTGGAGAGCCTGAGGTGTTTCACATAGATACATATATATATATATATTTGTATTTTGGTTTAATTTTGGTTTAAGTTTGTGTAAATGTTTATTTCCCTTTGCAAAGTTGTTGACCTGTTACTTCAGGACATGCTGTACAAGAACATTTGTCGCTCGCTCTTTGAGAAGCACAAGCTCCTTTTCTCTTTCTTGCTGACCATGCGCTTGCGCATCACCACCGGCAAGGCCGCTCCATGAGTCGACGTTTCGAAGTGACTTTTCTTCAACGACAGTTTAGTGCACTGTGTGCTTCAAGCATGTTGGGTTGCTGGACAGGAAGATACAGGAAGTGAAATATCAAACTAACAGACTGACACCATGTCACCAAGTTCCACTCCAAGCCCATGGTCATCCTCTACAAACTGTCCTGATGCTCCTTGGTCCCCCCCGGTCCCCCCCCAAAAAAAAACAAACAAGCACCGCGTGCCCCAAAAACCCAGCGCGCACCAGCAGCGCACCGTGCAGGTGTCCATGTCCGACTACCGCTTCTTGCTGACCGGTGGCACCGCCATGGAGGAGCCACCCGCCAAGCCAGACGACTGGATTCCTGACAGGCGAGGTCGGTGATCGGGCCGCTGGTGATCGGAGGTCGGTGGATGCATGGCGTTTGGTTTGAACACCCTTGGTTTTCGGTAATTGGCGAAGCTCATTGCTGTGATGTTTTAACTTGCTATTGTTTGCCCCACAGATCCATCTTGGCACATCCTCACATGCTGAAGTATATATGTTGGCATCCTCCACCCAAGCCCACTAGAGCTAGATATCTTGAACACAACAAGAAATAGATGATAATTCATTGATGTTGCACTTATACTTATGCAGTAGATATACTGCTGGAATTGACCTGCTTGGTTCTTTGGACAGCTCATGGCTTGCCGATCAGATGCTGGCTGGAGATTTTCAAGCTCAGCAAGCTGGATGAGATCTACACCCCGCTTCCGGAGATGGGGTTGGGCCTGTTCGGGAGAGAGGAAGGTAAGGTTTTATTCACTTGGTTTTATTTTGGGGCAGGGCTGGGGTGAAGAAGGTACAGGTTTTGTATCATGTTCCATCGGTAGGAGGTTTTCGTGCGAGAGTTTTTCTTTTTGTTCTCCATGATGGAGGAAGCATGCTGGGCAAGAGGAGCCGGATTGCCGGATAATACGTTTTTAAAGGTTCTGGCCGCTGCTTGACCCACAGTTGGATGATCCAGATGCCGAAGATGAAGGCTTCAATTGGCCAGTGTAGGATAGACCGGATGGATTACCCCGCTTGAAGAAACCTACCAATGGGATGCTCAACAAAAGGGGGCACAATGATGCACAATGCAGACTTTGTCTTAGCTGCTTAGCTTGAAGACTAGGAGATCTACCCCCAAAGGATATCGTAAACGTTTGATGTGTGTGTTGACCCATTTAAGCCCAAGATGGTCTTTGCAGGTTTCGCTTGTCGAGGCAGCGACTGCCTGGGGCCGCATAAAAAGCCTTTGACCAATTTCCCCTATAGAAATGGAAATCCTCGCCTTGGTCAAAGAGATCTCAGCATCAATGATTTAGCCTGATGTTTTGGAGATGTTTCATGTGGACACCATTTGGTCCAAGTCTACCAAGCAATCCCCCCTCCGCCAGGCGCGATTACCTCAGAGAAAACCCACGAACAACTTTAATTTGGGTCTTGAGCTACATTTCATGGGCATATGATTCATGATACGCATACATATAGATATGGATGGATATGGATATATGGATATATGGATATGGATATGGAGTGATGGATAAATTAGATAGATCATATTATAGTGGTTTGGCCTTGCAGGAGAGCTTCACGAATGAGTTGAAGAGATGGAAGGAGGTCTATGATTCCAGCGATCCCATGAGGCCGTCCACATCTCCATCCCCCGTCCAACACCTCCACCTCCCTTCTTCGGTCGGATTGTCCGGATGGTCGCCATGGCGCAGAAGACAACGTCTTTTTGTTTGGAAGGTAGAGAAAAAGCTTCAGACTGAGGGCAGACAATCTCTTGAGAGCTTCTTGGGCGAAAGAGTCGCAGGCTTTCTCCCACTGCACCAGAGTGCCATGGCAGGTGCTTGGAGAATCTCCGAAACGCTCCAGAGGGTGTGAAAGGCACGCTTGTCAGCAAACTACCATTGGCGCCAACAGAACCATTGGCTTTATTCTAAAGCACGCTGATTTGATTTGATTTGCAGGTCTCACGCAATTTCAGAAGCTTCTGGTGTTGAGGTGGGTTTCGGAGTCGCGTTTTGATTCCGCTGTTACACTGATCACACTGATCCTTCGCCGCTGTTCCGCCTCCCCACAACTGGTGCGGCCGGAAGGTGTGTGCGGCCGGATCGTGTCCTGCCAGCAGTGCTGACTTATGTGACGGCAGAGGCGTGGTGCAGCCGGAATCAGCTGGAAACACCCCAGAATGCTCCCAATCTGCAGCTGTGAGGGAAGAACAGGTGGACCGGAAGATTGGGAGAATATGGAGAGATTGTGTGCAGATGTGTGCAGAATGTTTGCGTCCTAAGCTACAGCAGGCATCCAAGTTCAATCAAATCCATATAATAGGAATTCATCACATCTTAAAACCCTCCTGCTTGTGGTCGCTTTTTGTTCCTAGTAGTATGCCAGGAGCTACTAGTAGCTTCTGATGCTTGTGGTCTGAACTCGCTTGCTGTGAGGTGCCACGACCCAATCCCCCCCAAACCCACCGGTGCCCACCGGGGCCCACGCCTCGGGCCGAAGCCCGGTCAGATCGGCGAGAAGTTTGTGACGCCTCCGCCCTTCGACATTGCTGGAAGCTCCTTGGCAGGGCGAGCGTGCGAGAGAGTAGCAGAGTAGCGGCGCGCGAGAGTAGCTGGATGTTGTCGAGCAGAAAAAAGAAGACAGAATACCCCAAAGGTATCCCCACAACAAAACCACCAGGGATGGGCAGGGTAGTCTGGTGGAAAAAGAACAATTCCCTAAATCTTTCTTAGTCCGGGACTTTATGCCCTCGCACGGATCCCTTGTGGTCACGTGTGGGGACCATGCTGCTTTTGTTTGGTTATTTTTATATATTTTTATTGTCTTTTTTTTGTTTCTGGATTGATACACAGACTCTTGAGGGACGGGAATCTGCTGAACCTGAACCTGCAGCATTTTGTTTCTGAACCGGGCCATTTCGGGTGAACACATCAGCCATGCCACCCCGAGATGCCATCCCCTTCTACCACTACACAAGTGACAAAGGTGTGGAAGGAATCCTGAAGGATGGCAGGATTGACATCTCAGACCCTCGAAGGGGAGATGCGTTTGAAGGCCCAGGCACGTACGGGACGAAGTACCCACCATCGACCCGCACATCAACCATCGCTCGTAACAATTGGGACGATGGATGGAAACACGCGATGGAACATGGCAAGATGAAAAACTATGTCCGATGCGAAGTGCCACGTGAAGAGTTGAAGGAATGTCGTGGTCATGGAGGGCGCAAGGATGGTATTCTTGTCCATCCAGGTGGCATCGATCTCAGCAAATATCCCACCAAGTTTGGAAGAGTGGGAGAGCACAAGGTTTCAAAGGCTTTTCCATATGACCCTGAAGCCATTCGGAAGGCCATGTATCCTGACGTCCCAGCCCAGACCAAATTGTGCAGCCAGACCAAAGCAGTGAGAGTTGGAACACAGCAAGTCAAGCAGGTCAGCAGAGAACCTCTCAACAATCGGTCAGCCCAAACCAGCAAACTCCCCAGTCAAAATGAGAGGTATGGTAGCAGGATTGTAGCGCCTCCATACCCTGACACCAAAGCAACATGGGGGAACAGCTGTGGCCACAGTGATGATGAACCACACCACAGTGGACACAACTCTGCAGGTAACTACTATGAGGCCTTTGCAGATGGGTCATACCGCTATGAAAACTTGGACGGCTCCACTTATGAATGTGATGGAAGTGGTCGTGCAGTGTTCACAGCGCCAGACGGCGGGGTGACTGATTACTCCTGGCCCGGTGATGGACAAGCGGACAGTGGTGATGAAACTTATGGTGACAGCTATGGCTGCGATGATTATGGAGGCGACGATGGCTGGGATTGTGGAGATGACGGTGGCTACGATGACGATGATTATGATGAGTGGTGATGCAAAGTACTCAAGTTTAGTGCTTCCCACCCGAAATATGTCAATGTACAGTCTAGTGCATTTTAGATCATTTAGTCTCTATCGCTGCTGTGTGAGTGGCATTCATTTCCGCACAGTTCAATTCATGGGCTTGGGAACAGTCTGGAATGACAACCAGCTTGTTTTCACCAACAAAGGATTTGGTGAAGGGGTTTGCATGCTTAGTTTGGGCTGAGCATTGTTAGATGCCTATGGAGCAGATTTCCCTCACAGAAAGACTTTTAGACACAACCATCTCTTGTGACAGCAACACAACATTCACCATGTGAGATGGCCATCCAATTGAAAGAAGAGTGCTACCTGCTGTGGTACTCGCGCCACTGAGGTTATGCAGATTCTTCCAATACATCGCCATTGATTTTCATCCTTTCGCCTGGGTGTCCTTCTTAGCGTTGTTGTGCTTGTTTTGAGCCGAGGAAACAGGACCTGAGGCAATTCATCAAATGTTTCGCAGTGGAATGGCAAGCTCAACATGTGAACAGGGTGTGGTGAGTGTGTTTCTCATCAGCTTTTGTCGATGTCAGGTCAGATCCATCTTCTGCTCTCTATATGTTCGCGACAGACAAGGCAGCTGGTCTTGAGCAAAAGCAGTGTATTGTGTAGTGACTTGCCTCACGACAGGTGGGGCCTTGTAAATAGGTAAATGGGGTGAGAAATCGGGCATTGCCTTAGCGAGGGTTGGTACAGCAGGGATGAAACATGACCAAAAGAACAGTGTTTTTGTTTTTGCTGTATGACATGACGATCTCACGCAATCTCGTTGCTTGCTTTCTCCCCGATCTTGGAGAGAATCCAGATTCACATGTGAATGGCTCGATCGTTCCCAATGTTGGGACAGAATGACTTTCTCGAGTGCTGTTTGAAAGAACCGCTGTCAGGGGAGGGAGATCAACAGCCTTTCTCTAGGCCTCGGCAGGGTGTGGGGCTTTGGGGTGGGTCCATAAGCAATGCATGGGAGTTCTTCTGTTCTGGAGCCATACTCAACATGTGGGCTGGGAATGCTTTGTATTTTCTTCAGGTGTTCCATACCCATATGAATATACCCATGTCCATGTGTGGATGTTCCCCTTTTGGATTTGAACATTCAATAACGGATTGTTAAATTCACCCAACTGCTCAGCGGAACAGCCTGCACTACCAAAACAACATATATAAAAAATATATATAATATATATATATATCTCTTACCATCACCGTTTGTGACCTGTTCCTTTGACCTCCCAAACAAACACCAGTCCGTCCGCCCCACCGCGCCAGGTCAGGGCCAGGGCCCCAAGGCGGAACGGCTCCTCAGCGATGCGACCGAGTCGGGCAGCTGGGTCCGGACACCGAGGGACGCGGAGGGGGACGGCCGGTGGAGGGAGTCGATGGGGTCGTTTTTTGTCATCTGTAGCCATGTGATGTGCATAAACACATCCTTTTTGGAGAAATCCTTTAGGATTAGGAAGGAGCGGGACTGGCTTTCTAAGACAACACAGAAGCCTGCTTCCACTGCGCAGAACATGAGGTCCTGCTGCAAAATTGTCACCTCTTTGCATCTTGGATGCCAAAGTTGGACAAGATCCTCGAGCAGATGGACCCGAAGCAGACCAACTCCGATTTCAGGCGTTTAAACTGCAGGAGAGAAAGGAAGACGATGGAATTTGCAGACTAGTCACTATTTTGTTTTCTCTTGAATGTCCCTTTTATAAAGGCATTTTTTGGTTGGCATATTTTGTTTGCATGTTCATGTTTTGTTTGGTTCTGCCATGTGCTTTGATGGATAGTTCAAACGCATGCCAGGCTGTGGTTGACGTCCTATCCATCTGACAAGTTTCCTGCGAGCCACCCAGCGTTTTCAAAGGTGTCTTTGCAACCAAAACTGCACCCTTTGCTCCTAGTAGCGTTCTTGTTCCTAGTAGCGATGCCCTTTGCTCCTAGTAGCGTCCTTGCTCCAAGTAGCCCTAGTAGCGTGATTGCTACTAGCCTTGGAACAGAACTTGAAGACCGGACAGTGAGTGTGGTGCTGTTTTTTGCAAGGTGTCAATTCTGCAGAACAGCGTGTTGGCCTCAAGAGTGAATCTGACGTCCCACATGACATTCACCGCCTCTTTAGTCTTGATATGTCTGGTCTGGACTCTTGTTCATTGTCGGAGGTAGAGGATTTTGTTGGATGTAGAGGTATATCAGGGTTGACAATAGTTGTACTACACATATTGTTATTGCTTGGTCAGTTGCAAGTCCTGTTTTACATGGAAACTGGTATGCATTCGTGATCTTCGTGCCCAGGTGAAGATCACCAATGAGGCACCACAAGGCTTGCGGATGAACCTGGTCGGCTCCTACCTCATGGCTGGGCTCCCAGCGAACGCATGGACCCGCCGTGGACGGCGAGGCGTGGAGCGTCCTTTTTGCGTCCTGTTTTGCGGCTGAGGATCCCATCAGCAATGAGGAGTTCTTTGAAGGGTGTAAGAATCCGCAGGTCTTGGACTCAGCATGGAGAGGAGATTCAGCATGGATTCAACAAGTGTAAAAGTGGTCAGTTTTTTTGGTCAATGACATACAATAAAAAATACACCAGCATAGACCCCAGATAGCTAGGAAAATCCAACTTTGGCCATCATTCACTCAAAAGGGAACACATGGCCTTCTATACCCGGTGTTCCAACTATATACTTTGCTTCGCGACGAAGGCAATGAGACAGACCGTTTTTGCTGAATCCTTTAAGCACAACGCTTGTGGATTCTAGTGCTAGGCATGTTTACTCCTTTGTTGGAGAGTTGCTGCCTCCAAATGCAGCCAAATGCACCGATCAAATCAAATCCGGCCTTGCACCAGCACCCAGCACTCCGCTCCGGCACCAGCACCGACACCTTGTCTGGAAAGCGCGCACAGCCAGCTCATTCCTATTTGTGCTATTTGAAGTAAGAATGCCATAGCTATCGCTACTTTAAGGAGAAACATGTGCCAACCATTCTTTCATAGGAACACATATCGGAATACGTGAAAACATGACCTCTGTTCACTTTCACTTCTCGGGCGCAAAGGCAGTCCACGTCGCTGTCCAACGTCCTCGTCGCTCGTCGCTTCACCCAGGCCTTCAAACGGCTGCTGTTTGCCTTGTGCTTCTTCCACGCGGTCATTCAGGAGCCAAAGACGGACCCGTGATCCTTCCATCCGAACGGTGTGCACGTCCCGTCGCATTGGAACGATGGTGGCTCCAAAACGGCCCCGCTGGGCCCCCGATGAAGCGTATTCCAAGAACGGTGGGGCATCGACCCATTCAGACCATCCATGGGATTTCAATACTTCCATATGACAGTGGGGTCATGTTCATGGGGGTAAATGATGGGTAAATGATCCGTCAATGAGGGGTAAATACATGATATGATATGATTATGTACAACCTGTGTAATGCTATTATAGTTGACTATGTATTTTTTTGTATATAAATTAAATATATCATTTATTACGAAAGCCAGCCGATAGGCTAGGCTTGAGCTTTTAGACCGAACGAAGTGAGTTGAGGGGGTGTTGGGGGGGGGGTAGGAGGCGAAAAGGCACCATTTGAGAGGGTGAACCCGGAGCTTGCCTGGGGAGAGCGCTCCAAAGCGCGGGTCAGAAAAGCAATGAAAATGGGGTTTGGTGATGCGAGTGATGCAATGGACGCCGAGTAGTGCATCATTAGCATCACGAAGGGCTGTGGAGGCTATGTGGACAATGGTTTCTTCTTTTGACCCTCTCGTTTGGCGGCTGCGGGCTTTCGTTCCCCCCTTCTCAGGCTTATAAACTCTTCCAGTTTGATGGATTCGTTGGGCCATATCGCCTGAGCTTCGTCTCTGAATCGACCCCCTTTTTCGGCCTTTTCAGGAGCGTCGGCTTTTCGGCCCGCTGGGTGCCGGCACCTGTGGGAGCGGATGGACATGGTGTGGTTCTGCATCCTGGGATTCTGGTGTGTGATCAAAAGAGAAAGGATCACCAAACTGATGGAAGTATAAAGACTATCTGGTGGAGAGAATTTAAGTAGACCATGTTTCGAGAGAGACCAGTGAAGGCTGGGTTTCTTGAAAAAATTCTCAACTTGTTGGGACGTTTGTTCTGGAGCCAGACAGTTGCCCGAGTACCAGCTTGGCAGTGCGGCACTGGCAATTGTGTGAGATGATTTGATTGGTGTGTGCAGTGCATGTGCTGCTGAGGGTGGAACATACCCTACGAGTTCACGCAGAATGCTTTGGGCTTAGATGGTATCGTAGTGAGCAACTACACGTCGGATCATTCTCAGCTTCGACTTAGATCACATCCACAACCAGAAATGTCCTCAGTTAAATATGTGAGATGTGAGATGTGGCGCGGACTATGGATGTTTCATGAATTCTCAAACTGAATGGCCTCCCCAAGAAGTCTAGAACGATCCCTGACAACCTCGGACCACGCAAAATAGGGCGCATGTTCTTTCTCCATGCAGGATCTGAGCCCCCCTGGGCTGCTCCCTCTCAGGACCTGAGGATCTCCGCCCGGCAGCTGCAGATGTTCATCGATGAGTCCCCGGAGCAGATCCAATTCAAGGCCACGAGGGAGCTGGCGGCCTGTGTGGCGGGAAGAACGGGTGTTTTTTGTTTTTCATAGGTCGAAATCAGAGGGAATGCAATGGGTTGGTGGTATGATATGTTCACGAAACGAAACCTGAAGAACGCCCCAAGTTGGTTCGTTGGGAGGCCATTGGACCAATGGGCCATCCCAAGCAGTTGGTTTTGGCATGCTTCGGCCTGTGCGAGGGCTTTGAGATGTGTTGCTCCACGTCACAGAGTTGAAAGACCGTTGTGGTTTGCCCTCCCAAAGCAGAACACATGGATATCCACCAAGCAAGACCCCGGCGGTCAGTTTCTGTGATTTGCAAGCGTTTTGGTGGATATATATATATATAATCAATGTTTCATGATATTTTACTTTTTTTACTCAACACACCATAGCAGCCCATGACAACACCCGGAGGGGAGCTGCAAACGGATGGTCCCCAAAGTCACCGTCTTCGAAGTGGGCCAAGTGCGCAATCGATACGTATCGTGTCCGTGTCCTTCAGGCGATCAACTACTTGGCGGGCGAGTGCAACTACGGAGGGCGGGTGACAGAAGCGCAGGAGCCGTCTTGCCTTTTGGTGAAAGTCTTGAGCTTGAGATAGCTTGAGACTCCATGTCCTTCCTCTATCAACTGTAGACTCTATGCTTGAAATGTTGTAGTTAGATGAGATGTAGTTAGATGTTGCTAGATTGTTCGTGCGATTTGATGGTCTCTGTGCGTGCGTGCGTGTGTGAGTGTGTGTGTTCCTCTGAGTGGCGTCGAAGCAAAGGTTTTCATTCCAGACCTTTTGGCAACAGGATCGCCGATTGTTGATGACCCTTTTGCTGGACTACTACAATCCAGAAGTCCTCAAACCAGGCCTCAAAGGGGATGTGCGCGTAGAAGGGTAGTGGTTGAAGCCCACAAGTGCGGTTGAAGCATCAAAGACATGTCATGAAACACTGAAGATTGAAGCTGAATTGAAAGACCATGAGTGGACGTGTCTTAAAGTGATAAAACCCATGGAATTCAACTCTCTTCCGCACCCAAAAGTGCTTGATTTGAGACAGACTGGTGGGGTTCAACATCGGCTTTCACTCTTGGATTGCTTCTATGTTGCTGTACATGTTTCTTCAGTCCATGTTCCCATGGTTTTGGGTGTTTTGCATCTTTCAGACCACACCTCAGAGTTTTCATTCGCAGGCCACAGCCTATGTGTGGAGCATCCCGAGTTCACAGTGCCTCCAGCTGCTTCATTGGAGGACGCTGGTTCGTTTGGTCGTTTCTGTAGAGATCCCGCGAGCTGTTGGAACATTCTTTACCCAACCCTAACCCAAGACACATAATCAAACATGTGTGTATTGGCAGGTCTTCTAGGGATTCTTCTGACTCCAAGCAACGGTTGCGATGCCAGGACACCTTGGAGATGATCCGGCAGACGCCCATAGTGACACCACCGGGCATCTATGGACCGCCACAAGTTGTCTTGCTGCTCTTTTGGATGAGTTTTGTGACCCAAGATGCGATTTTTTGCTGTAAGACGTCGTGGAAAACCACACTGAAACAACTTTCGCACATCAATTGGGTTGCAAACGGTTCAACACATGTTCCATCACTCAATCTTTATGTTTGAATCAATTGGATTGACCAAATAGCCATACCCGAGGGGCTTGTGTTCGCAAGCCGTCCAAGCCGTCCATGTTGAACCCCTCAGGGTATCTGCCATGCCAGCAAAACCAATTTGCAGGGCTTCTTAGTAGCGTCCTTGCTCCTAGTAGTAAGGCCAGGAGCCCCTAGTAGCTCCCTTGCTCCTAGTAGCGATGCCCTTTGCTCCTAGTAGCTCCCTTGCTCCTACCAGCCCACAATTCTTGTTCGAACATTCAAGGTGAACCCACGGTAGAGCAACGCTTCTACAGCAAACAACAATTTGTAGAACCTAAAGACATGAACACAAGCAGCTTTACAACAGTTGAAAAGGCAAGGCAGATGTCAATTCTAAAAAGTAGAGGTATGTGAATATGTGTAATTAAGTTTTATTTGCCTTTCTTTGTAACCGTTTCTACTTTTTGTACAGAAAATAAGATACAGGTGACATAAGTTCAGTTAACCCGAGAACATGCAAAACTTGTTGAACTATCATTGTGTTTGTTATAGGTAGTATACGATATTAAATGTATGTTACAACAACCCCCAAAAGTAATTTTGTGAGCTCCATATCCCCAAACCACACTACCAAGTACCCACCATTTGGGTTCACGACATGTGTGTCGGAAGCAGCGTGTACCCTACGATTCCAACCACCATCATCAGCGCGTGGGGTGAGCTGATCTGAGCGATGGGGGCTCCCAAATCGAAGAAGCCCAGCAAACCCTTTGTTACTAGTAGCTTCTTGTTACTAGTAGTAATGCCAGGAGCTACTACTAGCTTCTTGCTCCTAGTAGCGATGTCCTTTGTTCCTAGTACCTTCTTGCTACTAGTAGCGATCGCCTCCAACCTAGTAAACATGAGTTTGCGGGAGTTCCTTTGGGAGTCGCTTCATGCAGTTTCAGATAGCATGACTGATTCTGATGCTGAAAATTGTCTTCACAGCGATTAGCGGGCGTGGAGCGTTGGTTGGAATTTTGTGGCTATACAGCTCATGCAAAACATGGTGATTGTTTTTGCGGACACCAAACACTAGAAAATTGCCAAGAATCATCAAGAATCATTGAAATTTTCACTATATAATTAAATAATTGTTTTGTTTGACCTACTAGCGTGTCACGGCATCCAACAGCGTGATTGCAGGATTTCATACCAATGCAAATCTGACCCGTGAGCAGAATGAGACCTACGCTGCTTGGCAGTGTCGTTGTGTGCGGCGAAACATCTTTTGTACGATTTGTGTGAGGCGATGATGGAGAACTTGCTTCTGACGGTCGGGCAGGCCCATTCTGGCGGGTCCCATCTTCGCTGATCCCGGTCGCAGCAAGGCTTCAGCAAAGTTCAAGATTTTCCTAGGTCTTTTGGCGCACTTAGCGCAAGAATCCCGCCACCTTCCTCAATGGTCAACTGCAACAACAAATGAAACCCGCTGAAAGCAGCATGCAGGCCTCAGGCAGTGGTGGAACTTCCCCCGAAGAGACTGTGGGTGAGGCCGGGTGATGAAATTTCACATTCAATGACAAGATGCCCACAAAAAGGTTTTTGCTGTTGTCTTTTTCCAATGTCGCTTCACAGGTATGATGAACGCATTCTCATTCCTTCAGCACAACAGGCGGCGACTGACATCCTGCGGCGGATGCCAGAGCAGTTTGATTTGGTCGAAGTCCAAAAGAGGTGCGAGTTTTTTTGTCGAAGCTGCATGGCTAAGTCGTGATGGGCTATGTTTGGTGATGTTTTTGCGCAGATTCAGATCCTCGATTTCGCAGTGTGACGTCCCATAGCTCACGTCGATTGGAAGCTGCGCGTGTCCGAAATGCAGCAGCTTGCCAGGTATCCCACGATGTACGAGGAATCCATGAATACTGTGCTGGTACAGGCAGATCCCCGGTTTGAGACTGTGTTAAAACTTGAAACAGGTTGTTTGGAGGGTTCCCGTTTTTTGGGGCAGTTCCTGTTTAGATGGGCAGTCAGATGTGTGGCAGAGTGGAAACCTAGCAGAAGATGGAGGGCTGTTTCGGTTCACTCCTCCTCCGCGCGACCGCGACCGCTGTGGAACCCAGCAGGAACTGACCCGCTTCAACAGCCTCACCCGGGTCATTGGGGCGACCCTGAAGGTGGGATTGCCGTTCACTTTGTTGGTGCAAAGACCCTAGAATCGGGTGGCTAGAGCAAGGATGGCAACAGACCAGCGCATCTAAATCTAGGTCTTCATGATCTTGACAATTTGTCATCAGGGTTTTCACCCGTGGTTGTTCGCACCATTTCGGTCGCAAGGACATCCAAAAAGCCATTCAGGGGTTGCTCTTGATGAGTCCGTGCCTCAGCCCTTTTCCTTCGCAAAGCCCATCCCTTTTGCGTTTCCTTTGGGCGCCTCGCCCGGTCGGCGTTCGCTTCGCCTTGCCTTCTCTCGGTCGTAACGAGGTCCAGATCTGGAGCAAGTCTTCCTGTCGATCTTTAACGGCAAAACGTGCCTTGGGCGAAGGTTAGAGCCGTCTCCGTGCCAGGTCCAACGTTAGGGTTTAGAAGAGTTTTTTCGGAATAGCAACGGACGTGCTTTCGGTACCCGTGAGACGCCGTGAGATATCAACCTACTATGATAACCCTAATATAACCTATTATGTATCCGTTTGAGGTGAGTATAGTAGACAATTGCTGTTTGGGAATATGGATGGACTGACTGTTGGCGAAGCGCCAGACAGGCCTGCTTTGTGGTTGGCCAACAGCTACCCTTCGCTGAAACCACTTGGTGGCTATACTAACGTGGTAGCCTCAATGGAAAGTCAACAGAAGCGAAACAAGACAAACTTGTATAAGAGCGTGCCACAGGTTGTTGACGCAGTGACAGGTTACATCATATATTATATATATGAGATCGGTGGAGATCATTGCAGTTCACAAGGAAAAACAGGTCCTTAGATGTCCTTAGGCTTTAGGACAAGGCGCTGCTCGACTGTCCTTCTAAGGACTTGATCGAACGGTTGAAGTTCTTCCAGGCACTGAAGATACATGGTAGCCTGCAGTATCATGTCAGATCATGTTAGTATCCTTGTAACTCACAGAGCCATACTTCACAACAGAATCGATGGGGTACCATGCGCAGCTCACCCTCAGCATACAAAACCTACTCCAAACCCTAAGTTGTTCCAAGCTGTAAACTTGGCTTGCTTCTTTGGTCCTATGCAGCGTCAACAGCAAAGCTTCCAGGCCTGGATCGACCATGGGATTCCGGTCACCTTCTGGCTGAGTGGCATCTACTTTACTCAGGCGGAACAAAAGATGCACCGATCGATCGGCGTTTTGGAGCGAGGTGATGCCTGGATCGATCCGTTGTGGCTGCGTTGTGGCTGCTCCGTTTGTCACACTCTTTGGCCCTCAGGCATTTACCACAGGTGCTGCGCAAAACTTTGCCCGCAAGTGGACAACTTAGCTCACTGCAAGCTTTTGCACTGCACCTGAAGCGCAGTGTGAAACAGTCAGCCACTGCGTGATTAAGACCTCCCAAGGTGGGCCATTCCCATTGACACCTTGGTCTTTGACTTCGACATGCCGCCCGCGCGGAGCCAAGACCCATCGCCACTGGCCTTGCCGGCCGCGCCACGGATGTTTTGCCGCGTTCCCCGTTCCGAGGATCAGCAGCCCAGCAAGAAGCCGGAGAACGGGGTCTACTGCTATGGGCTTTTCTTGGAGGGCTGCAAGTGGGATTGGGCACAGTCCGGCTACCCAGGTCAGGGCATAGCCCCTGCCGAGCGAAATTACTTTGAGGTGACCGTCTCGTCTCCAAATATTTTTTTTGAAATAATATCAATAAAGTATTATTTGGAAAGGCATGTAGGTGGTGGGTCAAAATAATATCTACCATGTAGAAAAAACAAGATGGAGCCCACGAACCCGAATGCAAACACGTTCGAAAAGCTACATATGTCCAAATGACGCTCTTGTAGGACACTCTTGTGGGACACTCTTGTAGGAAACTCTTGTGGGACACTCTTGTAGGAAGCTCTTGTGGGACGCTCTTGTAGGACACTCTTGTGGGACACTGTTGCGGGACACTCTTGTGGGACACTCTTAAGGGACACTCTTGTGAGACACTCTTGCGGGACACTGTTGCGGGACACTCTTGTGGGACACTCTTGTAGGACACTCTTGTGGGACACTCCTGTGGCTAACTCATTTGGGACACTCTTGTGGGACACTCTTGTGGGACACTCTTGCAGGACACTCTTGTGGGACAC